TTTTTGAATACTTTTTTGACCACACCTTCATTTGCAACCAATTTGTTGACGATGGGAAGCCGAAAACAAGATCGTAAACCCAAAAACACGGGACTTGGGTGCTGTGGGCTTGTTGAAGTGATGAGCCCTGACGAACATGAAGGACAAAAAAATGCCGGAAAAAAAAACAACAACCAGAATACGTTCTTATTGAATTCGATCAAAAAAAAACTGCAAAGACTGAAATTTTAGCGGTGTTTTTGTGGGGCCAGACCCAGAAGGGGCCGGGAAGAAACCTTTCACGGCGAGATTGTTTTGGTCCTTGTTTTGTAGGAGCCCGGTGGCACATGAAGAACAACAAGGACTCAATGATTGTGAGATATTATCCACCGGTCTTCAAAGACGTTTTCAAAAATGTGTGAATTTGTGGTGTTTAAGATGCTCTTCAGCCAAATTGTGAAACATGTAGTCTTACATGTGGTTTTAGCCAGTTTCAGACTTGCTATTACGGCGGCCCTTTGCAGCATAGGATAGCGGTCCCTTGGGCCAGAGGCGCTAAATGGTGTTCTTTGGACTGGCCGCATGGCAAGTTTGATAAATGTCCTTTACATTGCTTTCTGTTTTGGTTTGTCCCCATTAATCAACAAAATGAAAGCCTGCAAAAATTGCAGTTTACCCTTGCTTTTGTGGGCTGGACCGGGGCCAATTCCTCCTGTGAGGCTGGGGGGTAACCATTCAAGATTTGTTTTGTAGTGAAGCACCTTGGGTCCTTGTTTGGTAGGAGCCTGGTGGCTCATGCAAAAACAAAAGGCTCAATGACTATCGGATCATTATCCACTGCTTTCGTTCTAGATTCCGATTCTACATCATTGGTTGGAAATTTCCTTTCAGAAGAATTCCATGGTATTTTGATGTATTTTGTACTGGGGTGCCTGATTGCCTCGGACTCCCGTAAGATTAAATGCTGCCGTGTGAGACAGCCATCCTTGAGTAGTTTTTAGTCATGCCAGCTGTTTGCTGATAGCGTCTTTGTTAAAATCGGTTCTTGCTGGGCTGCTTCTGTTCGTTTTGTACCTTGATTGCCTGAAGATGTCACAAATCACGTATGGGATGACTGAATGAAAAACACACACAAATCAAACATTCATAGCGGTTCGATTGGCACCCCTCCTTTTCCAACCGGGTGCTTGTTAATTTTGGTTACATCTCTGGGTGGTCTTTTTTTTGCAAGATTGGATGTTGATCATGGCCCCCCGAATTTGAATACAAAGTAGCAGCACAAGCAAGTATGAAATGAGAGGCCCTGCATGCCTGTCAACTATCCAAAAAAGTATGACGAAGGGACACAACACAAAATGCAGTTACGGGCCAAAATGAGAAGACTAGGAAGACTTAGGAAGACCATCCTGGGGTTTGGAGCACTGAGGGAGGATTCTACAAAAATTGGTCATGACCTCATGGACCCTTTGATATCTTCCAGAATGATCCAAAATGCTCTTCTCTACAAAAGTACATTGGGGTTTTACATATCCCAAAAAGTCTCAGCAACCATGTCTCTACAAAAAGCTATGCACGGCCTGTACTAGAAAGTCAAAATGGCCTCTCTACAAGAGTGAGTAAGGGTTCTGAGGTACCTAGAGCATGTAAAAGCCGTCTCCCAGAGCACTTTGTAGAGGACTCAAGGCCATTGGTTTTGTAGGGGAAATTGGCGTGGGGATTTCTGTCTAATTATTTGCATCATCAATCATCATCACACTGCTTGCTTGTGTCGACATCCTCATGTTGCGCTGCTTGATCTTCGCATCCTTGTTTTTAGCGGTGTGTCCATGGGATTCGTCGTTTGATTTTTCCTTGTGTCATCACGCTGCATGCAAAAACGCAAGAACCGTGCTATTGGATCGATGGGATGTTTAGAAATATACGAACACATGTAGCGTCAAAATCATTACGATGTCAACTTATTTGTAGAAATTGATCCTGTTTGACCACAAACACCAGTGCTTTTGATCAATATCCTTAAAACTGGAAACACATTCCAAGCAGATCATGTTGTGTCCCAAGTGAAACCGACCCTGACAGAAAAAAATAGAAGCAACAATCAGAAGTGAATGTGAACTACCCCACAAGTTTGCCTGGAAACATTCCAGGTTCCAGACGTGACAGCACACCGCTGCTTCAACACAGAAACGATCTCCACCAACAAACAGCTTCATCGCAGCGAACCAGTGAAGAATTCAGAAATCCTTACAAGTCACACGCACAGAAAAAAATAGAAACTCCAAAGATGACTCGCTGAACCCAACAAATGATGCACGCCTTTTTCACAGTCCATGACACCACGCACCAATGGACCAAGACCGCCAAACAGAACATGCAAAGAATGTCGACGCAAAATACCACGACTCCCACACTCACGATCCAAGCAAACCCTTCATAAATTCGGATGTGAAAAGACTTGGCCACGAAGATACCTCGCGTGCGGACCCCCGGAGGAATTGAAGGGAAGGAACAAAGCAGAAAATAGCGTCATTATTGCGCCGTATCAAGGATTTATGTCCCAGCCCCGACTATCTTATCTGCGAAAAACAAGTGGAACTCACATATCCTGGGCCGTGTCGTCTACTTGTCGTATCGTCCACTTCAAGTGATACAAGTATATGCACACAATATTCTGCACAGACACAGAGCCGCGACAGACCTTTTTTGTTGCAGAAGGGATTCATGCAAGCAAATTGAGGTTGGACCACGTTCGCTCCCAACACAGTTCTGCAAATGCATTGGACGCCGGCACCATGCCATGTCAGCGACGACAGCGATGCTACAAAGTCTTGTGCCCTGCCTTTGTGACCTGACTGGCACTCGCCAAGTTAGTTTTAGCGAGTTTTTCGTGGTTCACTAGTCATTTTGGGCGTCTTTGTGCTGAAACTGGCTCCTGAGAACAGCAACCAACATTGCGCAGGACAGGCAACAGGCCTTTGCAGAATTGCTGGTGTGGATGGTGGGCCTATTGTCTTTGCTGTTGTCTTTGAACATCTTCATTGTTTTACCTCGCGGGCCCAAAGAAGCAAGAACAGCAAGGAGAGGACCCGGAGAATCTGTGGGCAGGACCTTGCAGGCTGACATGTTTGTGTCTGAACAGTTTCCGCGCAGCTTTCGCCAAATTCGGCCACAAAAAAAGGCAAGTCAAGAAGCCGAAACTGCCACAAGGAACACCAAATGCACAAATTTAGAGCGGCGTCAACACAAGCTTGAAACGGTACAACATAGAGTTTAATATCTGATAATGCATTGCAATTGCGACAAACAAAGCTCATGCATGCTGAGTTGATCCGTCTAAATTTGTGTGGTTGTTACAAGATTGTTTTGCAGAATTCAAACATATGCAAGTAAGTGAAGGCTACACAGATCCTTACAGGATCCTCCAGGTTCTTCTTGTTTACACTTTCCGTGACTCCTTCATCTTTTCTTCCATCCTTCCATTCTTCCATTCTTCCATTCTTCCATCCTTCCATCCTTCCATCCTTCCATCCTTCCATCCTTCCATCCTTCCTGATTCCTTGTTTCGTCGCGTGAAAATTGATCGTCATCGATGATCATAAATATTAAAGATGATAATAATTGATAATAATTGATAATAATTGATAATAGTTGATAATAATTGATAATAATTGATAATAATTGATAATAATTGATAATAATTGATAATAATTGATAATAATTGATAATAGTTGATAATAATTGATAATAATTGGATAATAATTGATAATAATTGATAATGATTGATAATATGTGTTTGATCCAATATGTTTTCTGACACCTCCCTGCTTGTACACCGTCTTTGTTGATGTCTTTTGTGAACTGTTAAACTTGTAGCAGGTGATCCTGAAAGACGTACGCGGCTTCTTGGCACTGGGTTTCGTTTCCTGGTGATCCTGCGTGAGAAAAATACCGGGGCGGCTGTGTCCAAGCCCAGACTTCTTATACTTATCCCACGCCGCCATGTTTGCAGTATTCAAAGTTTCCGTTGTACCGTAAGAGGTTCAAGATACGAATGTATTGGGTTCGCATTGCGTTTTTCAAACTTAACCTGACAGGCTGCAACATGGCAGCGTTTGTGGAGCAAAGGATAGCGCAAAGATTTCTGCAAATGCACGCAGACCTAAGGAAGCAAAGAGAATGAAGCGTTTTCTTTGGTAGATGAGCTTGGTGAATGTGTGATTGCCATGGGTTGCCAATGATCAAGTTCCTAACGATGGATATGTATTGTTTTTATGATATTGATGTTGATAGATTTTATCATCTATACAATATGAACTGCATCTCTTGGAGTCCCGTAGAATGTGAACGAAGTGGAAATAAGTGGAACCTTCTGCAGCCACTATACAGGGCTGATGATGTACGCAAAATTTCGATATGTCACAGCCACCGGCCACCAGATACACACCGTTGGATGTTCCATGCATGTCACATCCGACGATCTTCTGGATTTGCTGGGATATATACTCAACATTACTCAACGATAATTTTAATATGATTGAATGATATTTGAATGATATTTGAATGATATTTGAATGATATTTGAATGATATTTGAATGCATGTTGTTTAGCCCTGGCTTCCGCTTCCGACTTCTCACTCCGCCTCAGGCGACTCGCGCAGCTGGTAGATGTGAAGTATGAACTAAACTCGTCACGCAAGAGTCCTTGCATCATTGTATCATTTAAGGCAGGCCACAATAACAGGTTCCGCAATCTTTCTCTTAGCAAACCTGTGCACTTTTACGTTCCCTGTTACTCCAATTGCGCCACCCTTGTCCGGAACTCGGATTGCCTCCTTCATCCCTTGCCATGCTGTTAGTGTTGAGCGGCATTTTGTTCTGAATTTGCATTTCATTCGCGGTCACATGCGGTCACCATGTCATGTCGCTTTGATTTGACGCACTACACGTTTATAACCTGTGGCAAGCCGCTCGCAGCTCCTTTTTTGGCCGAGAAATTGAGTCCAGTCCCGGTGACGTCGTTGTCACTTGACATTAACTCGTAGCGCCTGGCAACGGCAACGGTCGTGTGGCATGGCAGGATGGAGGTCACATGAGTCCAGCCTTGGTGTCCTCCTGGACATCCAAACGGTACGTCTTCAACCTCGGCAGTGTTCGGAATCCTTCGGAACCCATGTGGGCCAATAAAAATCTACAGGAAAGCCTGGTTTTTAGCTATATATATATATCATATATATATATATATATGATAGGACGTTCCTGTAAATTTTCCCATCAGTCAAAACTGGGAGTTCAGAATCCATGTGGTGTCAAATCAAAGGACTCAATTCATCTCTCCCTTCTATTCGAAAACACAAAATGCAAGGTATGCAAAAAAAAACGAAATATCGATCCATAATCCATAAATATCCATAAATATCCATAAAATTCCATAAATATCCATAAAATTCCATAAAATATCCATAAATATCCATAAAATGTGCAGTATTTTTGCATTGCGCAGCGTCTTGTGGATTGGTTCCACGGATCAAAAAATCCCATACAGCGTGTACATCCCCCAGTCATCACCATTTCGATTGTATGAACCATCCCCAAATGGTAGGTTTTTGGCATGAGGTTTACCACTTTAACATCATATAACCATCATATAACCATCATATAACCATCATATAACAATCATATAACCGTCATATAACCATCATATAACCATCATATAACATCATATAACCGTCATATAACCATCATATAACATCATACAACACATCATATAGCCATGAAGATCCTGAAACGAAAGGGGCCAGTCCTGACTGGCGACATTCGAATCCAATTCTCGGTGGCCCCACTTCTGCAGTTTCATCTTCGTTGGTGCCATGACGAACTTCACCTGCCCAGCCATGCAGAAAAAAACATCTGTATTTTTGGTCTAGCCATTGGGTACCCCAATAATTAGATGGTGAATACGAAACATTAATCCTAAAATCTGTGGTCCCTTCTGGGGCTTCAATTTTGACCCATCCCCATATATTCTTGCATAATGTATATACTATATACTGTATATATATATATAATTATATAATATACGTGTATATACATACTATCCTTGGCATCACACAGCAACAGCTGCCAGCTTTTGAACAGAGAATCAACTCCTTTGTGATAAACCCAATGGGAAACACTGCATCCGACAGGACCTGTTTGCGACCTGTGGCTTCGGGCGAAGCCAAGGGGATGCTCAGAAGTACGTGCTGCGCGAAGCCGCTCGGATGGACCCGCTGGGGAACTGGGTTGAAGGGAAAATGTTACAGGCAACAAAATGTTTTCTCCAGACTCCAGTCACCTATGGTTGTTTTGCAATTCTTGTCCACAAAAAAGCAGGAAATGAAACCAGTTCTCCTGACCCAGGATTGGAAAGGGCTGTCGCACACTTGGGATGGTCCAATGGTCTGTCGACGAAAAAAGCACCAGTGTTGAAACCACTATCATCCACTATCTACTCTGGTTGGTGGTTTCAACCCCTCTGAAAAATATGAAAGTCAGTTGGGATGGTTATTTCAAATATATGGAAAAAATAAAAAGGCTGTATCCCCAAGAAAAACGACGATTACTGTAAACATATGAGGAAAAAAACAAGTGCTGTTTGCAGCCCCTGAATTGAATCGCATCCGGATTGATGCTCCTTTTTCTCGGAACCCATCCAGACTTGTAGCAAGATCAACAAAGCCTAAAACCAACTGCAAAGTGCAGAAAAGTTAATATGGTAAACCCAATAATCATCCATCCCCACTTCTACTAAAAATGAGTAGTACAGTACTATAAACTATAAACCATCCGTAAAATGCGGGTTCATTATTTCTGTTATTCTGTTTACATCTGTTTACCACATTAGCAACTTCGTTGTCTGCTCCTCATCCTCTCCACTCAAGGCCCTCGCACCTTGCCCTCTCCAGTTTCACTTGCTTGCTGAAAGCCTCAACCATCCCATTCGTACCGAAAAATGCAATGGACTCCAGCCACTGAAATTCTGCACCACTGGTTTAAAATGGCCAGGATAGAAGAAATTCAGCAGAATGGGTTTAACATGAGTAGAATAGGCAGAGGAAAAACATAAATGCTCTGACAGGAAAATCACCAAAACTGACCAGTTTTGCGAGCACCTTTCCATCCTCTTCAGCAGGTCCAATGGACTAATCGACCAGGGCGCGCACCACCACGGTTGCTCCAGTAGTACTGTTGCCTGACAGTATACACATCCGCCTCAGTCACGAACATGTTCCAATCCAAGAGGTGTAAGGTTCATTCCATTGCTTCGCATATCACAGTGCGTAACATGCGGTTCAAAAACAGAAGCGTCAAACGTGCACCCAAACGAAGCATGCAAATCCCAGACGGACACCCCTCGGCCATCCGAGGCCCAAACGTCTTCTTGACGCTTTGCAAAAAAGCCTGAGCCAATTTGGTGGATGTTAATGTTTTGCCATGCTCAATGCTCTCATGCAAAAGCTTGGACTGAAGATCAATCTGACAAATGCTCCGTGTGTTAATTTATTTGCCTTACTTGCGGTATGAATCAATATAACATATACATAATATAGACATGAAATATCTTTGAATTGGGGTGCCCATGGACCCGCATAAGGTTTAGTATCACTTCATCATTTAGTTTCGGGGTCAAGAAGTACAGTAGTTGTAGAAAACTTATAAAGATCAAGAAAAAACATTGAACATCGTGATTTGTGTGTATTATGAGTTTGTGTATATGTTTATCCCATCAGTTGATCATTTTCACCCCATCCCCCATCCCCCATCCCCAGAATTTGTTCATCCCATCTGGGCAGCCAGGGCTGAAGCACGTGGTGCGGGGATCGGGAGACGTCCTGGCATCTGGGGTTGAACTCCTGTGGGGAGTTACACCTATAATCCCGTTCTATGGGTAGGTAGCCATCGAAAGTTAGGGCTTTGCTGAGGATTTGCACTTGGAGAGTTGAGAGTGGTGAGTGGTGTATCTGACTCAGATTTACTGCTGCACAACAGGCCTGTCCAAGTTTGCTTTCTTCCTCTGGGAAAATCCACTAGGTCTTGCAGGCAGCTAGACTAGACCCACCAAACTTCATTAGAACTTAAAGCATCCGTCACACATAACGCATGTCTGAAGATTTTGTGACTTCAACATTTGTTGTCTGAACATTTTTTGACATGAGATTCCTGACTTCACATCACATCCATTGGGAAGAGTCTGGAGTCTACACCCAGGAGCCTCAACAGGATGTCGTCTCTGCTCATGGTATGTCCCCTGGGAATTTCATCGAAAGCCACTTGGACGTACCTGTGGCTGATATTGGCTGTTCACGGGTGAGGATCAAAAGACACTGAGAGACAGGTGGTAGGTGAACAAGTATTGCATGGTAAATGATCATCAAAAAAGGTCCTCGAGGTATGTTGAGCCCCCCAGAGGTAATCGATTGGGACTGTAAACCAATCGAACTTTCCCCAGAGCTTCGCTCAAAGCCAGAGTTATGCCACATGGCCAAAGGGTGACCAGAGCGCACGAATTGCCCCAAAGGGTTTGGTCTGGAACTACTTGCATGACCTCGTTGGGTGCGATACCAATACAACCATCCCAGTGGGGACCTGGGATACATGGGATATGGGGTACACAGCCAACAAATATAACGTGGCATAGCCTCAAAATGTCGGATCCAAGTTATGGCAGTCTATGCAAAATTGGGATCTGGTCTCCACTTGGGGGGCCGTCAGCCTCCTCTGGGAGCTGACCGTCTCAATCACATCTTTCCAGATTTCATAATTTTCATAGGATGAAGCTGCAGCGTTGTCAGTCATCTAAATCCGTTCATATCTTTTATTCATTGAAGAAAAAGTGCCGTGCAGATCTTCTACGCCCCAGACTCGCTTCGGTCTCAGGTGGGGCTTCGTTGGATGCACCGGCACCTAACAGCCGCGGAAGAAAAAGATCTCCGTCGCCCGGAAAAGATGGAAATGGAAAACATCAAAACACTCGGAATTTGATGAGGTTATGCTGGGGTTGTAGCCCCAAACTAGCCAGCTTCACTATCCTTTTTGGGGGCACTCCTCTAATCTCTTCTATATCTGGCTAGTTTGATGGGCCCCCGCGGATGGTAATACATTTCGCATCCGTGAAAATAATGGAATCTGTGTGCCTCCTTGGCAGCCTTGAAGGTCTTGCCAATCTTTTGGGCAAGCTCCTGGTCCCAGATGCACAAGACGATCATGACTGGGGAGAACGTCTGATGTTTAATGATAATTCATTGTATTTATGATCTTTCATGGATCTTTCATGGATTTGGATAGCTGTGTCTAGAAACTCTAAGAGACTCTAAGAATCTCTAGGACTACTTTGACGGTTGATTTTAGCTTCCCTTTGGAACTGATCAGGAAATGTTGAGGTCAGTGAAGGAGCTCCACTGAATCAACCTGATAGGATGCCCCTGCATCATCCAAACTCAACTGCAGCCAATCTTCAAAAACAGACTAGTCCGACTAGGGCCTATGAATAAAATATTTAAAGAATCTGCTTGAAACCACCAACCAATCACCACCAGCCACCACGGACCGGACCCCTGTGTTTTTGCCAGTCTTTCCAGGTCCTCTTTACTTCCAAAGCCAGGAGGATCTCGGTAGATCTTCTTCTCCGCAGCGTTTCGTCCTTGCAGTTGACATGCCACCTGGTACCTCAAAAGTCACCTGAAGCCATGGATCCAACATGATCCAACATTGAACATGTTCCCTTTGGATCCCTTTGGGGTAAATGATGTTTGGAGAACCTGCCGCCACCTCCGCTCCTGTGGTATAACGCTGCCTTTCCGTGAAGACATCCTTGGAGCAGAGCTTCAAGGGTGGCTCACTCGTGACATGATCAAAGTGGAAGGACTCACAAGCTAAGTAGGGTCTGGCCAATAACCCGGCCTTATTCCCATTCATGCACTTCTTTCGTGTGGCTTTACTTTAAAAGAGAACTTTAATTTACCTCAATTTTTGTAGGAGTTATTTCTTTTCCGTCTCTTCAGGGGTTGCTATATCTTTTAAATAAGGCCAGAAATGTGGCTCCCCAGTTGTGCCAAGCCGCATTGGTGATATGCTGCGTCAGCTGTAGGCCGAACGCCTGCAGCTCGCAGCCGGGGAGGTGCCCAGTTCCCCAACCGGGTCATCCAACCACATTGGAATCACATGGCCACCTCCAATGCAGCCTACCCTCTGTTGAAAATTGCTATTTATAGTGGATTTTCCCATTTCCATAGTTATGTTAGTTTACCAGAGGGTACTTCAATGGTCCACGCCTGTCGATGATATGCCTCCGTTGGTTCATGCAGCCGTGCTCGCCTCAGCCAGTTTGTTAGGGCCCATCTGGGTGTGGGTCACAGCCCAATCTGAGATACCCTTCATGAATGTATAGTATATCTACCCTTCAGAAAGAATTTATCTAGCTGGGCAAATAATACTACTATATTATGTATATGTAATATACATTCATATCTTTGATTAAAAAAGTCGAAGATTCCTCCACAACTACCAAGAAACCAAACCACCTACCAAAGGTTTCTCTCGGGTCACTGCTTTTCCCACCAGTTTGTCCCTTAAAATCTTCGCTGAGTTGGCCCCACTTTTCCAACCGTGCACGTTCTTCTCCAGGGAGCTGGCGGGGTGACAAATTCATGGAGATTGCTTTGTTTTTGGTGAACAAAAATGAAAAAAACCTATGGAAAACTGGAAGAATTTGAAAGTCAAGTGGGATCATCATTCCAGGATGGAAGATAGAACATAAATGAACATAGCCTCTGGCAATCAAACATGGTGTTCAAAAAAAAATGTCGATAGTTGTCCAAGTACCGTAAAATCTCCACTTAGTTGGGGGATTTCCCAGCTTGCCATGTTTGACTACCAGAGGGTACCTTACAGATGTCTTGAAATCGTGATTTTCCATGATGATGACACGATGCCAGCGGGTACTCTTTTCCTGTGTGGGTGCATCCCCAGCCGCATTCGTTGGCTACTTCACTAAAACTCCGGATCAACGACCATCATCAACCAACCTCAAGCTTAGGACTATCATCTTGTGGCCATTTATATCCATGTATAGGGTTCCAAAAAAGATAGAAAAGTAGCAAAAGAAGCATCGAACCGAAATCATTGTAGAATCAAGATTTTAAAAAATAACCACCTGTCAAACCTTTCCCTATACCTTTCCCTATACCTTCATCCAAAATGAATCTAGACATCAAACTGTTGAAAACAAAACAAATTCCCCTCTGCTAATCAAAAAAGGAAACGGGAAATCCCCGAACTAAATGGAGGTTTTAATGGCAAAATCATCTATAAATGAGCCATTTTCCAGCCATGTTTACCAAACGCTAATCCCTAAAAACTTCCCCATTATATAAATCTCATGTTTACCATGTTTAACCCCATTTAACCCCCATTTGCTGACGTTTACCGAGCATTTTTCTAGACAGAAAACGGCCGGGGCCCGCACGTCATCATCTCTAAGCAACTGCCCATCAGGGGGCGGTGCAGGTGGATCCATGGCGCCTCAGTGTGGTTGGTCTGGGGATAGTCTCATCGTATTTAAATACGATCTAATATATCGTAATTGTAATGATAGTATCTAATATAATTCTAATATCGTATCTATATCATAATATAGTCTCATATATCTGGGGATAGTCTCATCCATAGATATATATATATATACATATATTATAATTGTCTAATCTATAATAATCTATATTAGTATATTTTATTTGTTAATATATATATATATATATTACAATTATCTAATCTATAATAATCTATATTAGTATATTTTATTTGTTAATATATATATATATATACACACACTGTATAGTAGTTTAATATCATAGTATTTTTTCTCATATGCATCATCTAATTAAGTGAGTATGTAGAATATAGCAATGAACACGATAATCATAGTAATTAACTAGTATCAACTAGCAATATTGATGTGCACACTCACTAATATTGCTAGTCGGGTAATATTATATGGGTATATCACTAATTGATATAAAATATGTTTGGCTAATTAGTGAATTGTTTAATGGTAATATTGACTACTATAATTTTAATGATCATCTCTAAAAGTGATGTCATAGTAATTATTATCTATCATGATATTGTCATGAAGCGATGATCATAATTAACTAATAGCAGTATTATGATTAATTACAACTACTGGTAGTAGTGGTATACCAGAATGATATCTTGTAACTACTTTACTATACCAGAGCAATAGTGATGTTAGTGTTGACTAATCTTAATACAATAATACAAGTATTGATAGCACCAAATAGTAGTCGTAACTGATGGTTTAAATAGATTCAAGAATGGTAAAACATAATAATGTTTGTCATAAATGATAGATGATAACAAAAACAATTCTAGCAACAACCATGATAGTGAAATCACTAACAAAACGCTCGTAGCTGCTATGAAATCATGAGGATCTCGCCAACAATGGGGATAGCATAGGATACAGTACATATATTTATTATTATTTATACATCTATTATCATTATCTATCGATCTACCATGATCCTATCTATCCATCCATCTACCTATCTACCTATCTATCTACCTATTCATACTGGTCAGCCACTTGAAGCACTGGAAATCGGCGGTAGCATCATGCTCTCTGCTTTCTTTGGATCGTCCAGTTGTCACTGAGGATCGGACCAGCTACCTGCAGCCATGGTGGATGTTGTGTGGGATTTTGACGGTTCATTGATGGTGAAAATAACTGGTGGTTCACGGATACTAAGTATTGTTGGGATAATTGATGGTTAATAACCACATTATTGTTGGTTCTATAATCAATGTTAATCATGGGTATAAAACCAACAATACGAGATGATCTAGATGAAGAATGGATAGCTGGAATACGTGGGCAACCCAATGCCATAAAGCTACCATTTGGGAACCTTGAGATTTTGGAGTTGGTTTATTCCATAAAGTTTCCCACACTACTGAACTAGTGATCCCCACCGTTTACCAAAATTCCCCACCTGCCAGGTGAGGGTTGTTAGATTTTATGTCAGTTGCCTCCTCCTCCTGCCGCCTCCTGCCTCCTGCCTCCTCCTCGTCCTCCTTGTCGTCCTTGTCGTCCTCCTCAACCGCGAGTATCCATGCCAAGTGTTCCCTGCCGGACCTCAACCATGACCATCCACGCCGAGTGTTCCCTGCCGGACCTCAACCACGACCATCCACGCCCAGTGTTCCCTGCCGGACCTCAACCGCGAGTATCCACGCCCAGTGTTCCCTGCCGGACCTCAACCGCGAGTATCCATGCCAAGTGTTCCCTGCCGGACCTCAACCACGACCATCCACGCCCAGTGTTCCCTGCCGGACCTCAACCGCGAGTATCCACGCCAAGTGTTCCCTGCCGGACCTCATGTAGGAAGATAAAATGTCAAATAGAGTGCCAGAAGATTTGCCAGGTAGAATGCCAGAAAATATGCCAGAAGATATGCCAGATAGATATGCCAGAAGATATTCCAGAAGATATGCCAGATAGAATGCCAGATAGAATGCCAGAAGATATGTCAGAATATATGCCAGAAGATATGCCAGATAGAATGCCAGATAGATATGCCAGAAGATATGCCAGAAGATATGCCAGATAGAATGCCAAATAGAATGTCAGAAGATATGTCAGAATATATGCCAGAAGATGTGCCAGAAGATATGCCAGATAGAATGCCAAATAGAATGTCAGAAGATATGTCAGATAGAATGCCAGAAGATGTGCCAGTAAGAATATGTATAAATGTCATGGTGGGGATCACACGAAGTAAAGTAATTGAAAATTCAATCCGTTTTTCCGAAGCTTCATTATTGGCTTTACCACACTAATTGCTGCAACTGTAACAGGGATTATTTCAGTACATTACAGTCCAACTTGGCTTCGGTGCTTTTCTTCCATGCAAGTTGATGGCGGACTGGTAACATCCTGGGGAAGTTCCATCAGTTGGCAAGCCCCCTTCGGAGCCTTGCCATATGCATCATCTGAGGACAGCTCCATCCGCGACCTCAAGCCGATCGGATAGATCTGCAGTTGAGATATTCCGTGCCAAATTCGAGGCGCATTGGTGACGTGAGAAAAAAACAACGAATGGCTGTTGGTCAAAACCCTGGTACCCTTGTGAACTGCAAAAAAAGGTAATAACTGGATGTGGATGTTCATTCCCAAAAATATTGGGCCCATAGGTTTTAACCCGTACCCAAATGAGCTAGTCTTACGAGGTGAAAAGTGCTTGCAATTCTACGCCTGTTTTCTGACGTGCATCTGCGAGGCGCGAATTCGATGCGCAGATTGAATCTAGCAAGGTAGATCTACCCGGTGGTAATCAAAGATGGCAATGGGAAATTCCCAAACTAAATGGTTGTTTTTAATGTGACAAGCATATATGAATGGAGGATTTCTGTTGGCATGTTTGATTACCAAAGGATAATTGCCATCATGAAGCAATATGAACCCCTATCTCACACCGAATCACAGTTTGACCCAGTTGCATCTGTGAAACATTACGGGAATGCACGCTCTTCGATCCATGTTTCCCCAAGTTGGCATGTCAAATGTCAACAATTGTGGATGGACCATGATGAAGAAGTTCAGGCACTGCCGTATTCATAGCCCATGCTGCCGTAGCTCCTCACTTCTGAGTCCTGCGCAACAGGTCCTCGTTCGAAAAGAGAACGGGCCTGCTGAGCAGCGCTGCAAACGATCCCACGGGTAAGATTGGTTAATTCTCATGGTCCTTATGCAAGTGGCCATAAATTGGGGTTATTGGCGTTAATGCCCCTGGTCTCAAACACAGTGCCAAAAGGACATCTACTGTGTCTATAGCTATATCTATAACATCTAGATATGTTTACATACATGTAGATATATATATATACTGTATACATAAATACATTATCTGCATCATATAGTCCATTCATAATTCTATTATATCACATCTACATACGTTGATGACATATATTGCATCAAAAATAAATGCCCTCGAATCACTTGGGCTCAGACATTGAGGAACCTGCTGTGTGGCCACCCGTCCCCTGAAAGTTGTCGCACCTCAATTTCGATTCCAATTTCCCCTCTGGAAAGGCACATCTCCTGGCAACGAACTTTCGCAGTGAAAGCACTCATTTTTTATATGGGGGGTTCCATAGTCATGGGGGTACCCCAATAGCTGGATGGATTATAATTATGGAAAATCCTATGAAAATGGATGATTTTGGGGTATCCCCATTTTAGGAAACTCCATATTATATAGCAACCCACAAGAAATTGAAAAGTAGAATCCTGCCAGAATAGTTGTAAATGACGTTCTATCTTTTTGGGGGTTGCCACACAAGAACATGTATTCTAAAAATATATTCTCGGGCATGCGACCTCCAATTTGTATGAACTTAAATCCAATGGGTATACTGTACCGGTATACCCCAAAAAATGCCGTCTGTTGGCCGGAAAAATGATGATCAACCTAAAATCTTCAGATAATAGTGTTCCCCTATAATTTCCATAGCTTTTCCCTAAAAATGATGGTTTCCATCGCTCTCCCAAGCTCTCCGTCCTCGTTATGGCGGCCTGTCCAGCTCCAGCATTGAGGAGCCGCTGCACGGGCATGGCCGGCAGGGGATTCTTGTACTGACAGTCCTCAGCCCGTGGAGCGGGGTTAAACATGGGGGGGTCATGGGTGTTTAATGGGATTTAATGGAAAGAATTAGGATTACCCCCTCATAATTCAACATAGCTATGGAAAATTGCTCTTTGATTGGCGAATTATGTATGACTACTGGCCGGGGTCAATGGCTATGTTAAACGACCAGAGGGTAAATCATCAAAAATTGGTAAAAATTGAACCATCGTGAACCATCCAACAATTAGATTAAGCCATCAAAACTGAGAAGTTCTTGAAGTTGAGAAATGGTGTTCTCAGAAACCACTGAAAATCAAGGCCCAGAAGACCATATGAAGGCGTCGTACAAATGTCCAACTTCAAACCAGTTCTGCGGGTTCTTTCCCCAAATGTGGAGGTCAGGCCCTGGTGACCGGTGACCACCGTGAAAAATCGCTCCGAGTTGTGGATGTCGCTGACCCCATTCGGTAATGTGGCAAAGTATATAAACCATAAAACCCCATAAAAGACTTAGCAATGTGAGTAATTTTGTATCAACTCAATTGGAAGTCTTCTTGTTTTGGGTCTACCACGAATATGGCTAGAGCAAATTTTCCATTCATGGATGGTGAATCCTTGTGACTGAATGGGTAAATCAGATCGTTGTACCCGCATGCCCCATTTTTATTTTCTCTAAATTCACGTCAGAAATATGATCATAAATCCAATCACAAGTGGGTTAACTTAAAATCATCAATGTGGGTATGGGTCAATACCTATAGATACATTTTTAGTGGGATGAACATCCATAAATCCCAGCTATTTTGGGGTTCACTAGGTACCAGGGTTTTGACCCATCCCCATGTGTTCCCAGCTAGGTTCCCAGTTGTTCACCAGTCATGGTATTCTCGGTCCTCATCGTCCCCACCCCGCCGCATCTCGGGGTCTCCCCACCACCAGCAGGTCGGAGATCTCCGCCAGAAGACCACCGCGATGGGCCTCAGGTGGCAGATTCAAGTGGGGTCCTAAGATGGGGGTACCCCGAAATCCGAAATGTATGGTTTACAATGGAAAATCCTACTAAAATGGATGATTTGAGGGTACCCATAGTTTAGGAAACCACCAAATGGATTCAACTGGAAGCAAGCAGCTTCAGACGCTACACAGATTGTCTTACCTGAGCGGTTTCTTTTTGGGTGATACCACTCCCCACAAGCGCAGCTTTTTAGCGGGACTTTCCTCGCTGTGTCTGGCCCTCTGCACAGGTAGCCACCACGTGTTGAGAAGTAGTTTCAAAACACGCAGACTGGACAGATTCGGGTGTGTCTGAGAACTGCGACACCCCCAGAAAAGCAATTTTAGTTTTAATTGGGAAAATCATGATAAGCCTTATTTTTAGGCAAACCCATTAGGTAGACGATGCACAGCTTGCACTCCCTGACTGGATGCTCGTCCCCATCATGTCTACCCTCTCTGATGTTGCTGATGTAGCACATGTATGGTAGGCTTGGGATGATTTTAGTATGATCCCGGAGGGTGAAAAGGTGGCTGAGTTTTGCAGAGGGTGGGACGGATCGATTCACAGATGGAATGCTGCCACGTATCTTAACAGTTCCCTTTGGAGTTGGCAACTGGTAGCTGCAGCCGACTTGCTTTTGACAAGGGGCTGGCACTGGCTGAGTTCTCACACAATCGTGGCAGTCAAGACCTTTCAAGATATACAAGTATTTCATAGTATTTCTGTCTAAGGACTGAGTCTAACATTTCTTTGTTCATTCCCTGGAAGATTCTGGAAGATTATCCATGGAACTAGTGAAGACAGTCATAGAGGTTTTCCACGGTTTTCCCATCCTGCTGCCACCACTATGGAGACTGGCTGAAAATTATTGAAATTTCATTGGCAACGGATTTTGCAGATGCCAAAATGGTTGTCTATGAACAATTACTCCAAGCTGGATGGTCAGAGATTTTGTTCATTGTAAATTGAAAAGAAACATATTTGACGATTCACAGCTTTTCATTGAATCACGGTCTTCCACAGCTCAAAAATCCCTCAAACCTTTCTCAAAGGGACAGGAATGGGGATATCTGAGGCCTGTCACCCCGTTTTTAGGGTCGGTCGATCCTGGGAATCCTGGGCCAAGAGGGCCTTTGAGGAGCAACAACGGACATTAGAGCTGAGCATGTGGATAACTTCCTGATGCGACCCTTCGCAATCCTCTTCTCTCGCTATGTCCAGAGATGTTCGACCCGCTGAGCTCACCTTGCCACAGGCACTGTTCCAACTTCCAGCTGCATGGGTTACTGTTTTGAAAAGTTTCATGTTGCTGACATCCCATTGTTCTTGGCAGATCTGCAAATGATTAAATCCCTATTGTTGGTAATAGCAAATACTTGTTTTGACATGTGTGGTTGTTAAATCCCGATTGGTGTTGGTAAAATATCCAACTTTGTTTTGCTTTTATTCCCCATTTCATGAACCAAGAAACCTGCGTGGAATCTGCACCAGCTCGCAAGAGTGTCCGAAGCAGTTCCCGGTCTCCCAGCTGCGCGGCAACATGGATGGGCCAAAGCTGCTCGACTTCATCAGCGCGATGTGCTAACGGCCGCGGCTCATTGATTTCATCCAGGAAGAAGTGATTCTCCATCAGAAATTCCGTCAATTTCATCTCCTTCAAGGCATTCTTCACATGTCGCTTGTGCTTTGGGGAGCTCCTCTTGATCATCAACCACAACGCTGGCGGTTCGTCCAGCGGCACATCAACATGACAAGCATGGGGCTGCTCCGTGCTTTGGAGACTTAAAGATCCTATCTGCATAGCGAGAAAATCAGCGGCCGTTGAATGGATGGGCGTCCCAGGATTTCTGGAGCCAAATTTTGTACCGCATATGTCAGAAAATTCTGGACTGCTGCAGCTTTGAACAGGACAACGAGCACATGACTCAGCAATACCAAGCAGACTTGGTACATATGTTCTAGAAACCATCAACAGGCCTCGGAGCTGTCCTTGCCCTTGACATCGGACCGTTTGCGCTTCAAATCTCTTCCTTGGAAAAGGCATCGAACGGGGCTCCGAAAGCTGCTTGATCTCTAGCAAGGACACTGAAGGACACTTGATAACACGACACTTTTTGACCTCTGAATTCGTTGGACACTGCAAGACCAGGTCGACCACGTCCCTAGTTTTGCTGCTGAATCCTCTGATGGACCAAGGCCATCTCTGATCCTTTGCTGAGGTCGGAACGCTCCCTTGTGATGCTCGCTCCACGCATGGCACATTCAGAAAAGAATGGCTAGAAATGAGGAGACATGCGAAGCAGATGGTTTTTCCCTTTCCACGCAACTGGAACGCCTTTGAAGCTTCAAACAGTGTTGAAAACGGTGTTGACATCATCATGTAGCCAAAGGCGGTGCAAATGTTAAGAAGTTAAGCCTTCAGAAAGCCTTCCCAGGGCTCTAGAAGCTCGCACCTCCTGCTGCTATCTACAAATTCGCTGTTACTTCACCCAAGTTTCTTGATGTTTGGTGCTCTATCTTCCCATAAAATCTGTCTGTTGTGATGCCTGGATGGCACAGTACCTGTTGCTTAACCCCAGGGAAGTCCCAACCCTATTTGACAGGTGTGCTCGCAATTCAATGCTTCTGTTGCGAATCTGTCACCTGTCTCGGTCAGCGCAGAAACATTGGACTGAAGAAATTTCAGTGCACTTGCTGACAACATCTGACGGCACCTCACAACACCATCCATGCTACTGAAAAATATTTGTTTGCAAAAAGTGAACTCAGTAATTCCCATTCAATTGTTGGATGATTGATACCGTCCATTTCTGTTAAGTCATTTGAGATATGCCTTCTGAATTGACTGGCTTTACCGGTTTTACTGCATTAAATCAGAGGAACCTTCTAGGCACCACTTCAACGGAGCTTTTCCAGCCGCTGATCGCGCTGGGCGGCATTCAGAGATCGCAGGAAAGCACCTGGCGGTGGCGCAGCGGCCGCAGCGGCCGGCTTCAATGGACCCAGATTTTTTGAGTTTTTTTGGGGGGATTAAAATTCATTATAACCATCCAAACAACCATCCAATTTAGCTTCTGGGCAGATTTGTTTTTTTGGTCTAAAACCACTCAATCTTTCAGTAGCATGCAAGTGGTGTGGATTCTGTGGTTCCTAGAGAGCATGGATTTTGTGCTTTGAAGTCAAACAAACATATTGGCAGAATGAGAGGCATAGAAGATTCTATTTGATGGAAAGAAATGTTGTTCTATTGCCTTCATGAAGGTTCATGAATTCAATACAATATCTCCATCCATTAACCCCGATCCAACTTCAAAACCTAAGGCGACTCGATATGTAGGCAAAACTGGGATGGATTGGGATGCTTTTGCTTGCCATTTTCACTGGCCAAAACTTCTGCAGGACAAACAGCCTATGGATTGTATTCAACCTGGTGTAATAGCTCTCTCGCTCTCACATTGCAAGGTGGCATGACATGATAAATTCTTTGAAAATGGATATAGAATGATATAGACACGTGCCTGCGGCTCAAGATTATCCACACTGGAAATCTTCAAATCATTTCCCCATAGCCATCGCCATTACGATTGATAAGATGACCCTGGGGGCACCCCAAAACCACTGGCTGTCCCTTTCGATTTCGAAGCAAATGCTGGATGATTTTGGGGTTCCCGAAATCGGTGCATCTGAAAGTTTCGCAGAAAACCCCTTTGATAAGCCATTTGGGTGGCATAGCCGGTTTTCAGACACATTCCCCACGTCAATCAGTATTACTATATCCCCACGATATTACTATGATATTACATAGTTATGATTTCCGGTTACTAATATTACTATTATAGTTGATTTACCCACTAAAAATGTTGATTTTCTACAGCTATGTTAGTTTACCAGAGACTCTCCGGCCTGGACTCCAGGAGATTTTCTCCGGCCACGGATCAGACGAAACTGAGGGGCTTCGAAGACGTTGCGTTTCCAGCATGAGAAATACCATCTGGTTATGACTAACATAGCCATGGAAAATGGCCCATTTATAGATGGTTAACCTATTAAAAATGGTGATTTTCCATGGCTATGTCAAATAACCAGAGGGTACATCATCAAATGCAGTGAAGAATGATGACGGTGAGAACTGATATCATGATAACAGCAATCACAACCATCATGGAGATCATTGATCATGGGTCATTGATTATTGATCGTAATACCAAAAACAATAATGATAATGAATACTTTTTTCCTGTCAATGTATCAATATAGTACCATAGTAACACAGAAATATAGTAATATGGTAGTATAGTCACATAGTAATAGATTAATATAGTAATGTATCCCTATAATTCCTATCATCATCCGTATCAACTGAGCTTTCCTAAGTCATGGAGGTTACGCATGAAACCTCCAGCTTTGTTTCTGTCAGCAAATAAGGAGCAAACATTCGCTCGCCAGCAAGCGCTTGTGCTCATCGGAAGAGATGCCGTTTCGACCTTGCTGTGTCTGAAAAGAAGTACTTGAGAAGCGTGGTAATTATCGGTCAGAAAAATCATGTTCACCATCAAATTGCCCATAGTTTTGGAAGATGCTCTCTTTTTAGAAAGACCCAATGACAAAAAGCTTGTGCTGAGAATCCCATTCAGCTGCTGCTCCGAGGAACGTCGGAAAGTTGCGACTCCATCCGCTACACCAGGCTGATGTGCCTATGGAGATTAGCAAAATAGAGGTTTCACCATGGGTTTAACCATCAAATTTCGGGATTTGACCTCAAAAAAACGGGAATGAACTGGTTTATTACTGGTTTAACCATGTTGAAAACCATCATTGCAGTGCATGACATGAGGAATCAAGATCAAGCTCAGGTTTTTATCCAGGATCTTTGGGAACCTCATAAACTGTTGGGATAAATTTTAACGGAGTGCGTTCGGTCTTTCAGTGTGTATTGCACCAACAGCCATTGGGATATCAATTAATCATCGCCAACAATAGATAATGGATGATAATGGCCTGGTTGGTTGATGATGGTTTCAAGTGAAGTCAAGGAAATGCCAACCTTCCGACTTCTGCAACATGAAGGCCAACTGCTTTCAAAAGGGTCCCCAGCCATTGGACACGCCACTTCGAGAACAGCCTGCGTCACGGCATGGGCAACAGCAACAACCTAAAACCTACAGGAAATCAAGGTTTTGCCCAAACATTGGGTGTTCTGCAGATATTCACAAATTGGGAGATCAATCCAGGATTTTCCGTGACAGCCATGAGATTCCATGAGATTACGACCACAAATGCCGACAAAGAGACATTGCCTTGTAGCGGCGCTGATCTAACGCCTGAGACTGGCTGTGTAGGGATGTGGAAGATCTGCAATGAAAATTCAAAAAAACACATAAAAACACATAGGTTTGTCGTTTGTACATAGGGGACCTCAATCCCAATGGTTTACCCTCTGGTAATTTAACATAGCTATTGAAAATGGCCAGTTGTAGTGGATTTACCCATCAAAAATTGTGATTTTCCATAGTTATGTTAGTTTACCAGAGGGTATCATCATTTTCCCCACATTTGATCCACATCCAAGTCTTCACAGCCATAACTGGAGTCACTTCAGACAGCCTACAGTGCACACCAGACACGGTGGCTTGCCGCGTGCCTCGTTAGTCGCTGCAGCTTCCTGCGATCAGCAAATGGGTTTTCATAGGCTTTCACCTTCATCAAGGGAAATGGTCCATCTATCGTGGAAAAACCATTGAAAAACAATCTTGGAATTGTCCTGTGTCAGGATACATCGAAATCCAGAGTGGTGTCAGCACGTCAGCAACCCCTGTCCTTCATCAGCAAATCACCAGTCAGAAGTTGCAGCAATGGTTGCTGCAAATCTGGACGCCGTTTCAGCAGCACTCGAATCTGGCGATTGACCGAGAGACATCTGGCGATGATGGACCCAGCATCCGAATTTCAATGCTGCCCTGGGCCTCGTGCAAAGGTATCGCCAAACAGCGGACGCCTGGGGAAGCTGCTGTTACCTTAGAGCTGTCGATGGGTCTGGCTGTGTCAACCCTGTTGAAAATGACTCTTTACTGGTGACCATCATCCCAAATTGGAGGAGAAAAAAATATTTATATAAAAATGATAAAGATACCACATATTACCACATAGACCAAGAAAAAATGTTTGACGCCAATGAGTAGGCAGTGCATGTTTCACAGAGCCTGGGCCACCAAGAATTTTGGGTCGCGAGAAAATCGTGTGACGGGCTGCATTTGCAAATGAGTTTGTTAAGTCCTGCACCGTAGCAGAAGGTGAGTGTAGACCCTCGTGCAATAAGTAGCCGACCTGGCACAATTCATTGCTCCTCTTTTTTGCTCCGCATGACCAGCAGCGACCAGCACCTCGCCCACGAAGCTGCCAGGAGAAAGCTTCGCAACCAAACGACCACCAGAAAAGACCTGCGCTGAATTTGGCCATCCGTACTCCGCCTATTCTCTTCACCCAGTTTGCCTCCTGTTTGCCTAAAACTGGATCTTGATCTTGGGAGGTTGGCCACTTCCCGAGATCTGGAACGCTGGAAAGTCAACAAGAACATGTTTCGAGAGTTGATCCAAAACCAAGACATCAAACAATTTGTTCAACGCCATCCATGTCCAGCCCAGTGATTCCAACAGAACCTGGCACTGACCCTCTGCAATGAAGTACAGCTTGGCCTGGACCGAATGGCTATGCCGGCTATGCCATCCTGCCATCCCCCGGTACGTTAAGGAGTGGCCCTGAGATCTTTTGAGCCAAGGGATGGTGAGGCTATGGTGAAAACAACATGCAAAGTTTTTTTCAAAGTCAGTAAATACCAAATCAAACATAATTATGTCATATGGCAGTGTGTCAAAACCTTGTACCCCTGGTGAACATCAAAATAGCTGGTAAATGGATGTTCATCCCACTAAAAATTGTATTTTCATAGGTATTGATCCATACCCATATTATGTCCAGAAATTGCCACTGTGATGGAGAATGCCACTGTAAGTTTCAAAGCCATCGGATTTGGGGTACCCCATTAGTTTCAGATACCAACCCAACTTTGCAACGGCAGGCCTTCTCCGGCTCAACCACTTTGCCCTCTTCCGAGAGCCTCTGCCACTGGGCCAAAGTTTGGTGTCTGCACAAAGAAACAGAACCGATTTCTAAGTTATTTAATTATGTTGCGTTTACTGATCTGCGAGTTCAATTGGCAAATTGCTTGGGGAGAATGTATAAGTTATATACAAAATCATACAAGGGATTCATCTTCCCTAGGATGCTGCACTTGCAGCAACAGCTCGGTTGGCAAATCCGTCGCAACTTCGCTGCCCAATCTTGTCCACTCATCTTCTTTACACCAAGAATTGCCCGCAGGTGATCATCGACATTCACCTCCTATGTAACTGGCTGATGCACCACTGACGAATCCATGAACATCCATCAGTCTGGGTAAATTATAATATTTCACTAACCTGAATTAAGGCCATTTGGGGATGATTCCCCTTGCTAACCATGATTCCAGGGCTCGGTCGCAGTGAGGTCGTTATAATTTACCCAGATCAGTGTAGATGGCTTTTCAACAGTAACTGATTCGTGTTTGTTGGTTGTCTGGTCCACTGATCCGAGAGCCTCTCTCCAGGACCGAAGGTTTCCCACTCACCGAAGCCCGCCAGATCAGCAAACCTCAAGAGAACTGGGAGTTTGATCAGCAACACTACTGAGGAAGCAAGGCCAACAATAAGGGCGATACAACATGATACAACAATGTCCAATCTTTGGGTGAAAAATCTCCGATTTATAGATGAAGTTCCCATGAAGGACCTTCATCAAAAGGAGGACTTCCCAGCTAGCCATCTTTGATTACCAAAGGGTACTGTACCGGATTGGTTGCACAGGAACCAATTTGCTTATGATCAGCCAAGAGGCTCTCGCAGAGTTACTGTGTCCCCAAGGAGCTTGAAGAGTTTCCTCAGCAGCTCGGCGTTGCAAGCCAAGTGGTTTTCTGCATAGAAGGGGAACGTCCATCACTTCAAAAAAAAACTTGAAAACCAACATCTTCCAACTTAGTTCCTTGGAAGATCTTAGGAGGTAAACCTATGGTAAACCCATGGTAAACCTATTCCTTGGAGTCTCCACGGCTTGCGCTGGAATCTGCTGCCAAAGCACTCTTCTTCCTCGCTCAATCTGGGCTCCTGGGAACGGGAACTATCCCCAACTTTGAGGTTTATGAAATCGAGATAAATTGAGTATACCGTATACCGAAATTTGGGATGTAAAATGGCCCCGAAATGGATGAAATGGTTCGTTCATGGGATGGTTTATTGAGTTTGACACATTAGACTCTTCTGTGAAAATCTTGGGATGTTCTCACCAGGCTTTGAGCCAACTCCGAGATATCGCTAAAAAAAGCGCAGCTAAGCTCTTCACGGGGACACTGAGAGATACCCAGTGCAACTGGAAGAGGTTCACAATCACATAGACGAAACACCAACCTGCCTCGGTCGTGGGAAGATCATCAGAAACTGCCAGTTTACCCTCTGGTAATTTAACATAGCTATTGAAAATGGCCATTTATAGTGAGTTTTCCCATTAAAAATGGTGATTTTCATTGATTTTCCATAGTTATGTTAGTTTACCAGAGGGTAGAACATAAGACACCTGATGACATGGAGGTCATCATACCTTCCATCAGAAAAACAAAAGCAGTCCAATAAATAAAATCACTGATACAATGTGGAAATCCATAAAGATCCTCTAGAGTTTTCCGAAAATAGAGCTACCGTACCCCCAAACCATCCATTTATAAATCGGATCTTCCCCTATAAACCATCCAGCTATTGGGGTACCCCCATGACTAAGGAAACCCCCCAATGTGGTCAATGTGGCTGTGCAAACTGGGGCATTCCCAGGCACTCCGACTGAGAGAAATTGACATCGGGGCTGCAACCTGGCAACAGAGCTCTCAGCCAGAAAGCAAAGGCCTTCCGGCCTTCCGATGAAAGATGATTTACAGTTACAGTAGTACGTAATAATATGCAATAATAATGATACTAGTAACAATAATGATGATAATGATACGTAATAATCATCATCATGATGATAATCATGATGATGATGATGATGACGACGACGACGACAATTATGATCCATATAAATCCATATAAGTCCCATCATTGACCCAGTTTCCTGATGTTTCATATCACCATACCAATCACTATTTTCCCAGAGCCAGCTGAGAAGCAAACACTTGGAAGAGGACCACCATACTGCAACCGCAGACGGCCCAAATTCGAAGCCACCAAATGTCAGTGACACCGTACCTCAGCGATGTTGCAGCTGTGTCCCAAAAAAAAAGTAGGGACCAACCAGAATGGATTGGGTCCGCAAATTTTGGAATATGTTGGTATGTCAGCGAGGGGAGACCTGGACGAACCATCCTGATGATTCCTGATGATTGCCGGCCCACACTGACACTCACCTGCAGCTTCTTTCGTCCTGGGCTTCGGACTCTAACAGTCCAATGATGTAGCCAAGGTGTCCTGAGGCAAATGCAATACACAGAATATGCATTCTGGCCATCTCGTTGCGAAATCGAAAACCTGACCGTCAACTGATAATCTGCTGCAATTTGGTTCAAGGTACCTGCTCAGAAACTCAGCCAGGGAGTGCCCCCTCGCCTAGACTTGTGCTCATGGGAGATAGGACTGCGTTGTGGCGCTGAACAAACCTGCAGAATCCACGTGAATTATTGCTCTGTCTGCACTTGCACTGAGATCACGGGGTATTTTCACACATGTGCAGGAGGTAAATTCCGAATCGGTTACCTCACAAAAGCATTGAAAGTGCCCAGGAGCTTGCATGTCGACTCAAAATCGCAACGCCCACAACTCGTAGACATCAACTTTCCTCACAACGCCGTCAGAATAACCGAAGTGACTTCTCCAAATTATAGTGGCATTCCCATCTATCATCATTTTTTATCACTGTTCAAAACCACTGTTGGCTGATTATATGATATTATATGGGATCATACTACCCAGACTTAATAATCTTAATATATTGGAGATGATCACTTCCCATAAAAAAATTGTTGGCGATAGTCCCCATGAACAGCTGGTGATCCTTCTATCCTCCAGGGTGGTTTCCCCACCTCAGACGAGCATTGGAGAGGCGCCCGCGAGCAGTTTCGGGGCTTTCCAAGGCGCAGTGCCTGCCGAGCGCTGCGCTGGGGATGGGTTGAAACATGTTGAAACCCACTGTAGTTCCCTGATGATCCTGATGAACATGAACATCAAAAAAAATGTTGGTACATGTATGTTCATTATATGGGATCTTCATTATTGTTCATTCCCCTAAAGAGATATGTCTTAGGTTTTGATCCATCCACAGCTCTCTCTCTCTCTCTCTCTTGCTGTGACTTGCTGTGACTTGCTCTGCAGCTCGCCTCAATTGCTGTGCTTTCAGCGGATGTTGGCATCGCAGCAAGTGACGTTTCAACCTTTGAGGCTGACAACTGAAAGCCCCGCAGATTGTTGGCGATCGCTCATTGGCTCTGTGGTCTGGAACCAGTGAGCCCTGTGGATATGATTCTAACCACTGCAAAACAACAAGCTGAGAAATTCCCAACAACTACGTCAAAAGTCAATTCTTCAACGCATTCGTGATGCTCTGCAAACGATCTTACACGGATGCCATTTGAACATTGACAAGCCTCAAGATCAAGCACAACTGTACATAGTAGCATTTCAGGGCGTTTCAATGGGGTTGACACCAACCTGGCCTACCCTGAATTAACCTAATCCAACTCTAGCTACACCTGGGCCACGCACTGAAACATGCCATTGAAGCCGCTCCAGCAGCTAGGCTCAAGTTTAGGGTCTTTTGAGGCCCCGCTTTTTCAAGTGCTGAGTGCTGAGACAGCTCTGGTTCTTGTCTTCTTGTCCCAAACTCTAGATCTAGATCCAGGGGAAGCTATTTTGGAACAATCTTGATGCAATCGAAACGGTACTCTCCAGGATAGAGTCGTGGATGGTTCTGGGGGTTGTTTCCACATCACGCATAGCCTTGCGCAAAAGAGTTTGGCAGGACATAAAATGCCTGACACAAACAAAGAAGATGTTGCTTTTTTGGTCGAGCCTCCTGATTTGGGAAACATGGACATGGCTGCTATTGTCTGCAAACGCTTTCACCAGCCGAAATGTATGGCACATAGAGGTCCATGACTCCTCTGCTACCTTCAGGTGTTTCTTATGTGAAAAAACTTTATCTTGAAACCGGTACTTCGAAAGATCATGAAAGATCGACCGACCAATGATGGGACATCCTAACTCATTTTTGGATATGTTTGGATGAGAATGCACAGTGAGTTCCACCACCATCGGTTTCTTCAAGCGATTCAGATCAAGCGATTCAGAATTCAGAGCCGTGGAACAACGTCTGACCATGGGAGCGGGCACTATCCAGGTGCTGTGACCAGCCATAAGGATCATAGGGGCATATGGCATATGGCATATGAGGCCTATCAGCCCTATCAAAAATGAGATCAAAAATGCCAACGGATGCTTCAAGAATAACAACTTAACCCAGCATGGCCAAACTGGTGCAGCTGCTTGGAAGATTTGTTCCAGTATGTTGTCGTTGTCTCAACGTCTTAACAGACTAATTCTTCCAGCCGTTGCCGAAGGTATTTCAATGCTAAGATCATGGTTTTGTTTCGACAGTTCCTTAAATCAACACAGTGAAAGCTGACAAACTGATGCTCAAAAAACTCGTTAACTTGTTTGCTTGTGTGTGTTTGCAAAGCATGAACACCAGAAAAAATGAAACCACAAGTAAATGATTGACAGGTGTCCTTGTGGAAAAAATAGAGGGTTGGGATACCGTATACGTTTGTTGTACTGTACGCAGAATGGTTGTTTTCTCAGGCGTCAACCCCTCTATGAATCAAGCAGCTAGTAAGAGAAGGACATCTATGATCCACATTGATCCACATTGACCAATGTCAACTCCGGGAAAATTTACAAATCGATTTATCATATCTGTTGATGACTAAATCGCTGGGTACCCCCAATGGCTGTGTAATTTAGTTGGCTATGAAAGCGGGACCTCCGCTTCAGTGCTCGCTTCAACCGGTCAAACAGCGGCAGTTTAAAACTGCTGACAGCATCTGCAACGACAATGAGTGTCGCACGCCGGTCACAGCCACAAATGGGTGTCACATGTCAAGGTTGGCTACATGATATCATTTCATATGTATCTTCATTGTGAGATTGATGCGTGCCACCTTGACATGAGATCGTATTATGCTCATGATGTGCATCGTCGTCTTTTTAAATCGGCATATTTCGTCCATGTGTATCAGCAGTTCCATGACTGGGTGGCCCAGGGAGCGTTTGGGTTGGTCCAAGGATGTGAATACCACCCAAAATCCCCTTTAGGCTAAAAATATCTAAACATAATATGCACATTCCCCACTAAATGGTCACAAGCAAAATTGGTGTTTCATCATTTTTTCCATTGGTGAATGGAAAAAATGGGGAGCATGATGATCCCAGATTGACTCGTCCAGCATTTGACTTTGTCTTGAAATAGCGTAGCTGGTTAAATACAGGGGGAACAAAAACGCGTTTTAAGACAAACTCAAATATCATCTTCTTGGGTTATATAGTAATATAGTATTCAACAAGATTATCCATTATATCCATTTATACCCCAGTAATATCACACAGTGGCCCGGTCCAGCATTTCATTAACCCCAGACGTCAAAGATGACGCGGCCGCTATCTTGCAGCTCATTCAGCTTTGTGAAGCCCACGACGGCATCGCCACTTTCACCTTGAACGATGCAAAACGAGGGGAAGAATTCGGCTCGAGATTTCTGTGGATTTTAACATATTTTCACCAATCATGGTGTGGATGTAACGCGATACTGTTGGTCCAACTTACTGTGATATGATAGGTGTGGGGGAAATCAGCAATTTTTGGGATACCTATTTCAGCAAACCCATGCGTCAATGGATTGAACCATCAAACACGACGAATTCAACAATAAACATAAGGGGATTAAACCAAATCAGATTGCCTTAAAAGTTGGAACCCCCTTCCATCCCATGGTTGATCATCATCGCCATTATCTAATGGCCATAGATTAGGGGCAAAACCCACTACGTACATATTGTGTGAGGTCATTGTTCATGAAAAATGGCCACTTTGGAGCCCTTGAGCTATTCCCCCAAGTTTGAGGCAAATCATTTGGCATGTGGCAAACGGCAATGGAAATTCCCCGCATTTCGTGGATTGCTGCAGATTTCCTCAAGTGTTGAGGCCACATTGGAGTGCAGCTCCTCCAGTTGTGAGAAACTGAATCGTCATGTTCCGGATAAATATGATTATGCCATTGGAAGGGATTATATCCAGTTTTTAGGCACACTCCAAAAATATCATATTAAAATATATTAAAGGTATATCATATTGTTGGTGATGTATCCCACTGATTCACTAACATAGCTATGGAAAATCACCATGTTTCATGGGTAAATCCACTATTTCAATGGCCATTTTCAATAGTTTTTTTGTATGTTTGCCAGAGGGTATCCCACTGATTCCATCATATCCAAGGCATCGTCCCGCGCCATGGCAAGGGGCTGAGTAGGTCGCCCAGCACGTTGGTGACATCTTTGGCCAGGGTGGACGCCGATCCGCAGACGTAGAAATATCCTCCGTTCGGGCCGTCTCCTGAGAACCATGGGAACCGGGGGAAGCCTATGGGATGTTTATCAATGGATTGGTTTAAGGGAAACCATGATTCAATGGGATGTTTATAGGATTTAATGGGATTTAATGGGACTTAATGGGATTTAATGGGATTTAACCAAGAAAAATATGGGAATATCATGTGATACAACAAGATCAACGGAGTAGTTTAAGGGAAAATCTATATTCTTGAAACCCTGGTTTTTGCCACCCCCAATGATGGGGGTTCTTGCAAATTCTTCAATCATCCAATTCTGATCAGTTCTGGGAATCATCCAATAGGTCAGCATCGCTGTCAGGCGCCTGAAAAATGCTCTGTTCCACCCAAGCTCCTAGAAGTTCGAGAACCGAGGCAGATTCTGCTCGAAGACGGTGATATACCTGAAATCCGCACAGACAACACGTGGTTCATCAACTTCTACGGTGTCCGGGATGAGACTTGGATATGCCATATGTGGGTTGACGTGGAAGTTACTGAGCCATCCAAATCTTCCGCATAGAAATGGCCAGGCTTGAAAGGGGGGAGAGGAAGATGCTGCACGACTATGTCAAATTACGAATGCCTCAGGATGGGTGAAAATTTCAACCTTAACGATCTCTTTGGTCAAAATTGCCTCTTAAAATTCCTTTTTTCAAGTCCAATTCCTACTTGACGTCCCCGATTTTTGTAGGGTCCAACATCCTCCCCATTTCGATTGGTTCCAGTCCCAGATGCATATTCTTTGCTTCCGCTATCCGGTCTGGACAGCGACACCTTCAAGGAACATAATCCTTCTTCGTGCCACTTCCTTGTCATGGCTCCAAGCTGGAGGTTGGCGTGCATCAAAAATCATCAAAATCTGCATTGATCATGTGGAGATGGATCAAAACCATATCAAAACCATTCAAAACCTATGAAATACCATCTTCGGGGGAATGAACATGCATTTAACCAGGTCTGTCCCCTATGTTGGGGTTCACGAGGGTACCAGGGTGTTGATCAATGATGATCAATGGCCATATCTGGTCAGACGGCTATGATGGATACTTTTCACCCAGGCATCCCAGTATCTAGATAGAAAGCATGGCAGTAACGTGATTTTGAGCCACAACAGAGAGTTCCAAACCCAACTTCCGGAATGTGAGACACCTGCTGGTGCAGAATATATACTTTTGAACTGGGTGTAGTATAGGTCAAAATTGCGGAACTAGACCCTAAATTTGGTAGTTTTTTGGTTTTTTTCCAGTATTGAACCATCCATTTTTGGGGATTCACCAATTTTGATACCCAACTACTAGGAACCCGGCGCATAGACGGCCGTGGCTCAAAATGAGGATTGAGTATCATCCAGCATTGATTTTCTATGCGTTTGGAGAGGATTTCTCAAGTCTCAGGTGTATACACATTCCGTGGCTGAATTCCATTGGGAAGTTAGCAAAATGGTGTTTTCGCCTCAGGGAAACGATAATTTTCATGCTTTTTTGAAATGACGTAACTACTTTGTCTATGCAAGGACTTGTTTCTTTTTTTCTTCATCTGATGGCATCAATCCTGCGGCAGCAGGTCCTCCAAGTGTTCCAAGAATTCGCTCGGGCTCACATGTGTACGCAAGGTACATGAACGTTAATATCCCCCCCACCCCACCCATGCCCATTGACGTAGCAGCAGCGTAGCATCCACGTGTGTACGCAAGGTACATGAACGTTAATATCCCCCCCCACCCCACCCATGCCCAGTGACGTAGCAGCAGCGTAGCATCCACGTGCGTACGCAAGGTACATGAACGTTACCCCCCCCACCCCCCCCCCCATACCATAGCAGGTATGTGTTAGTACGCAAGGTACATGAACGTCCAGTGACGTAGCAGCAGCGTAGCATCCACGTGTGTAGGTACATGAACGTTAATATCCCCCCCCACCCCACCCATGCCCAGTGACGTAGCAGCAGCGTAGCATCCACGTGTGTACGCAAGGTACATGAACGTTAATATCCCCCCCCACCCCACCCATGCCCAGTGACGTAGCAGCAGCGTAGCATCCACGTGTGTACGCAAGGTACATGAACGTTAATATCCCCCCCCACCCCACCCAACCCCCATATAGCTAAAATATGTATTTCGGTCCACGGCCGTCTATGCGCCGGGTACCAACTACTATGTCCGCCCCACTGCAGTTGTTCCAGTGTCTCCAGTTGCGACTTGTGAAGGAAGTCCACCTCATTTCGACATCCGAAGTAGAGATGCACAATGCCGGTGTGGATGCCTGTGGCAGGGATGCGTGTCATGGTTATGCCATGGTTTCCAAGTGTAAATTAAACGTCTGTAAATCCAATCAAGCCCCTGAGGACCCTTTCTATATTGACCAGTTCACAATTTCACAAGCAAGATGTTCACTTTCTGTGTGTCCAGCTGGACGCAGTCCGCCTTGTTTTCGCAATGCGTCTCGTTCTTGCAAAAAGCCAAAGAACGGTGCCAAACCAGTCCCTGCGGAGCGTTCGAACATGCGATGTATACTTTTAAGGTACCTACAACAGTCCGATAGAATGACAGTGAAAGCATCCGAAAGCATGTCCACTATGATAACCCAGGCTTTCTCCAAAGCTTTCCACCTCAAAAGACCTGAAACTTGGACTCCAAGAAGGGTTGTTGATTGCCGACGTGCTATGACTTGCTGAGAAATTGCGATTCCTTTCGTTCAGAATGGCCAAAACTGAACAACTTGCCAAAACCTCCAGGCACTTTTAGGCTTGGGTTTTTGTTCACCACAAGTTGTCTGGCTGCTCTGGAAAATACACTCCTTGCTATAATGTGGTGCCTGTCCCTTTCACTTTCTATAGGATAGATTCGGATAGATCCAGTTTGCCTCCGCAGACACAGGCGATAGGCTTGCTGTAATCCTCTGGAAGCCTGGATTCGAATGATGAGGGGATTGCAACCCCCAAGGGGGCAAGAATAAATAAGTACCATAACTGGGTTCAAAGTGCCATGATCTCCCATTCTCAAAGTGCCATGTGCCACTGGAACGAAGAATGCTCCTCAACGGGTCCTTTCATAAGCACCCTGCCATCAAGGTACCGCATGTGTGGTGCTTCTTTCACCCTGCAAATCACCGATTCAGCGGCAGCCAACATCGAAGAGCATAGGCCTGTCCTGCAGAAGCAGCATCAAAGAAACACATCATTTCTGAGTTGTATACCCCCTATATTCTGGAAGATTGAACCCCTCGGCACCAACAAACATAATTTCCATCTTCCATAGACATATACATATGTATATATATATATCCATATTTATTTATGCTTGAACCCATCATTCGAACATCATTTCTGAATATCCACATTTTCTTGATGGTTGAACCCACTTAAACCCCCCTCTCGATGATGGGTAGCCTCTGGTAATTTAACATAGCCATACAAAAATCGCCAATTTCTGTATGATTCACCTATTCAAAATGGTGATTTTCCCATATTTTCCATAGCAAATGCTGGCGGTTTTTTACTGCTGGATAGTGGTCCCAGTCGGTTCTTCGAGCTGCTTAAACTACTAGAGGTTCCATCCCATGTCACCACGACCACGACCCACCCGAGGATCTTCTCAGCTCGTCTCCTGGCGGACTGCTGATTCAACGGCGTGGCCGTGTACTGCGCCACACGGCAGCAGAGCTCCACGGTGCTGCCGCGCAACAGGGGAGAGGAGGCGATGGAGTAGAGCCTGGAGGCATGTCATCTGTGTTCGTGGAGATTTCGTTGGGATTTCATGGGGATTACCTGGCAATACTGGCGATTTCAATCGGGTCTAACCATCCAATGGTTGGGATAGTGTGGCTTGATGGGAATTTCATGGGGAGACCTAGCAATAATGGCGATTTCATTGGGGTTTTACTGTCCAATGTTGGGAGAGAGTGTGATTTGATGGGGTTTAATGGGAATTAGCCAGCAAGAATAGGGATGGATTGAGACTTTGGGGCGATTCAATAACAAAATTGTGTTCTTAAGTTTTGATTGGGATTTTGTTAGAGTTTAATGGGATTTACTGGGGACTACTGTACCCAGCAATGACGGATGGTAATAGATGTTCTTACGCTGAAACATGATCACATCAAATTTGATTGATTGATGGTGATTGATGGTATCTTAGATACTCTATATGTTGATTAATGTTATAGTATGTTATAGTTATCATGGTAAAATCTAAAATCCTATATAGACAATATTGAATGTACTGACCATCAGCATATCATTTGATGATCCATGATCAAATGTCTTAACTGTAATTAGCGCTCATCTGTTCCTGCATGTGCGTGTGTGTATCTGTATGTGTATACTGTACATACATACGGTAACCACATTTAAATATACGGACTTTTAAATATACGAACAGGTATTTTAGACTACCTCAGGAAGGTTTTCCTTGGCCCGCCCGGCCATTTAAACATACGGAATCCAATCCATTTAAACATACGGTAACTACATTTAAATATACGCACTGGTCTTTCATACTACCTCCGGGGCCTTGCGGTCCGCCCTCCACATATCTAAATGTCGTTACCGTATATACATATTTATCAAGAGAGAGAGAGGAAGGCAAATATTGAGTATGTGAAGAAAACTGCCTACGGTACTTACTAAGGGCTGCTGCAGCCACGGGTCAGAACTGCAGTGATACTAACAGTTCTCGGCAACAAGGTCGCCGACTCAGCCTAATTCCAATGGATTATCATTCTTCCACATGACATTTTCGCACTTCGGGAGGTATCTCCCATTATGATATCCCATTATGATATCCCAATGATATCCCAATGATATCCCAATGATATCCCCAATGATATCCCAATGATATCCCAATTTCTCTGGAATAAAACAGTTAAAAAAAAAAATGGTTTCTACTAGCTATCCTTTCCCATGGTGGTCCTTCCGACTTCCGAACCCACGGCTCGTCCATCCCGCCTTGGATGGATTCTTGGAGACACCTCAAAACCGGTCGCTGTGGTGTTTGAATGTGAACTCAGCACCCAATTTTACCCTATTTTTCGGTGGTTAATAAAGATCTATAAACTCTATAAACCCCCAAAAAAAACCTGGGTGGTTGAAATTCATTGTGTTACTAAACATGAATCATAAATTCATGCGATTTCAACCTCCCGAAGGTGGTCCCAATGAGGCTAAAAACGATGGGATGAACCAGCAACAGCCGCCTCTACGAACCTGGAGAAGCCGATACCTTAGCTGCTTCAAGCCGAGTCCAGTAGTTCACCAAATTAACACCCAGGCCCCAGAATCCTGATTTATATTATATGCATTACAGGGGTTTATCAAACCAAATCCCAGAAATCATAGAAGTATCATGGGGATGTTGACATATCTAAACCAATGATCATCTGGCTGTTGATTGGGCAAGGATTGTTCCGATTAAGCTGATCATCGGATAGAAATCTGTCCACCCATCAATAAGTTTCAAGTTTGTTTTGAAGACACGCGCCAGAAATCCTGGCAGAGAAACGATGCAACTTCGGGTATCAATCACTGGCCATAATTGCAATCATGATATTATAGTGTCATCCATCAATCACTGGCCCACAATTACAATATAAAATGATATAATAATGTCATCCAAAGCTGGAGTGATTAAGTCCATTTATTTAAGGTACGTGTTTTTTTCCCCAGGAAACCATGGCTTTTACCATAACTATGGGCTGGTGAAATTCTTCCCGCCATTTCAGTGGGGACAAAAAATGAAAAAAACACGTCGCGGCTGGCGAGCAGCTGATGGATCGGAACTCCTCTAAGACATCCAAAATGGACAAGCACTTCCTGGGAGCCGGTGAGGATCCGCCAAGGCACCGGAGATATCGGTGGCTTGAAACCACCTAGGGATGATGATGATGTCTTTTTAATGAACTATCGAGCAACACAGCTATAGTTGGTCAGTGGGGATTCGGAAAAACCACTCAGAGTGGAGAGACTATATCAATCTATAGTTGATGAATCTTGATTCACTATATCACTATATCAACCACTATATCACTATATCAAGATTCATATCAACCACTATATGACATGACATGATGAATCTTGATGACATGTTGGCCCAACAGCAGAACCCCAAATGGGCTGCTGCAAGGTGAAGTCAACTTTTTGGGGGTGCCCTATTTTCAGACCAAGCCGAATCAGTCGAAGAAGGGCCACTGTCAATGCCTTATCCAAAAGATATGGGAGAAACAGGGGTTGGTAACTGTCCCATTTTGGGAATATTGGACATCACCTTATAGTAGCCATTATAGACCATATACCTAATGGTTGGGTGATGTTCAATGGGGACATTTAATGACCCATGAGAAATGAACCACTGAAGTGCCAACGAAAGAGTCGACTTCCACTTGTCATACTCGGAGTCTTCCTTCACTTCACTTAGGTGTCTGAGAGCTTGCACCTCCGGGTCTGGCAGGCTTCAAAATTTGACGAAGTCATGTGGAGAGCTAGAAAATTGATGCCAACAAAGGATTTACTTCATATAGATATATATATATATAATATTATATATATATATAGTTCATTGTTGTATAACCATATTCATCCCCGACTGGGATGCAGAAAGCAGACAACTGCCTCATACACCTAGTGCTCCTTGGTTTTCTGGCTTTTAACAAACTGCTGACGACTGGCCCGGCCTCTTGGCTCTTGCTGGCCAACTTCACCAGCGACGCCAAAGTCTCTTGTGACGGAAGCGCTTGAAGGTCCACGTAGTGCGTCAGGATGTCACCAATGGAGAGCGTCTGGCCTAGCCGCGGCTCGAAAGTTAGAGAAAAATTGGGCATGCGCTGCGAACTATACCTCCAAAATGTTAGTCACTGAAACAGAAACCTGTGTCTTTTTTCGCAAAAAAAAGGACACTTCAGCTGCAATCTCCTTCAGTTTCAAGAAGCACCAGCTCGCAGTCACGAGCTGATATGATTTGGGTATAGACGGTATAGATCCATGAGCTGATGTGATCCCCATGATGAAAATGAACTGCATAGTGGCTCTTGACCCATCCCCATTTCATCCCATTATCCTAAATTATGCCCCATTTTTTTCAGCTGAACCCCCCATGTTGGGTGAGAAAATCCCATTTTCACGCTCAGGGCGCCTTGTGGCAATTCGTCTTCTGTGCCAGACGAGGCTTTCACCACCACAAGGGAGTCTGAGTGACACCCCAAACGCATGCAGGCCCGCATCACCTGGCAATGCTTCACTGGGAAAAATGTGTTGTTTTTACTGGGAAAAAAACACACACACACACCGTAGAGTAAAATGTTCACGCTGCAACTTTTGAAACTAGAATCCAAGTAGCCTTGCAGTGACTTGTTCTACGTTTTGTTTGTCCTGGTGTCGTTTTCCTTCCTCCAACGTCCTTCCCACGGCCTGGGTGTCCGAGTTCTTCGGCATGACCTCCAAATGATCCCCACAGGCGTACGGCGTTCCATCTGGCCGCTCCACCAAAATCTGTCGCACGGATGGGCTGTCGGCAGTTGTTTGCAAACACAGCTCCTGCCAAAGGATGGCGATACTCACTGCCTCTAGCATTATACCTATGTATATATATATAATGTGTTTCTCTATATCTCTATGTATATACTACATACGTGCATATAAGGATATACATATATATATATATGTGTATATATATATGTGATGAATGTGTAGTAACAAATAAATGCATACATGTTTATACAACCATGATCTGAGTGAATAGAAATCTGGAAATCTATTTATATGTTTGCACTTGCAGTGATTAGTTGGCACCATGATAGTCTTCATGGTCTTTTTTAGGAACACAAATTTGAACTTGTAGATTGTAGATAGGTTGGCAATGCATTTGGCGCGGACTTTGGAAGATCCAGTGATGCATCTTGGATTTCATTGTTCTATTCTCTGAAGAGGGGTGGACCAAAAACCTCATCACAGAAGGAAGTTTGAAATGTTGAACATAATTCTAGACATGACCGCTATCATCCACTACTGTATCTAACAACAACAACAACAGCAGCAGCAGCAGCAACGGCAGCAACGGCAGCAACAGCAGCAACAGCAGCAACAGCAACAACAGCAACTGCAACAGCAACTGCAACAGCAACACCAGCAACAGCAACACCAGCAACAGCAACACCAGCAACAGCAACACCAGCAACTACAGCAACAACAGCAGCAACAACAACTACAGCAACAGCAACAACAACAACAACAAGAAGAAGAAGAAGAAGTGATTTTTGGACCTGTTTTTAACTACAGAAACCTTTTTGCACACCCACAGTGTCTCAGAAAATGTTTCACAGAATCCTTCGCACGCACCCCGGTTTGAATTTCAAAAACCCTGCGTATCTCTATAAAATCCAAGTGCACAGGATCTTAAGCTGAAACCAATTATTGTTGATTGAAACCAGTTATTGCTCTCCTGATTCTATAATGAGTTGAATCGATGTTGTCTGGAGCCCCACGATTTTGTAGAGATGATTGCTCAGCTCTGCCTGGGTCCGGGGGAAGGGGGGGTGCATTCTATAGAGGGGCATTTTATAGAAGTGTGGTGGTTCAACAGGTGCATGCATTCTGATTTTGTAGAGGCGTCGGCTGTACATTTTTTGTCGAAGGTGCTTGTGCTACTGGGGGTGTGCTTTCGGATTTTATAGCAGACTTGCGATAGTTCAACGGGGGTGTGCACAGTTTGACTTTGTAGAGGTGCCTGCTTTCCATTTTTTTGTGGGATACCGGGGTGAGACCAAGGCACCAACAATTGAAAAACGAAGTTTCTGCACGAAGACGCTGAACAACATCCTTGAAACGGCGACTTGGGGCGCTGGGGGCAACCACAATTGGGCACCATAACAGGGTACCACAACAGGGCGACACACCAGGGGCGAGCGCCGATGGAATGGATCCCAGCCAGGGGTGTGGCACCTTTCACTGCGCATGTTGCATTTGTTTGTGAAACCGTTTTGTTTCAATTTCGAATGATTAGTTTGCATCTGTGATACAATTTTGGCACCATATTGTTCGACCTCGGGTCCACGGCCACTTTTTTTGTAAACAACATTTAGCCTCTACGAAATCATTTCCCAGACAGCGTTGCGATAGGTGTACTACACAATCAGAATACTGGGTCTGTGATGCATCCACTACAAATTCATAACCCTGGGGTTCCTAGCCACTTTTTTGCAAACTAAACTTAGGTTAGGTTTTTAAAAATGTCTCTACAAAATCCGTTTCACACCCCTCTTCTACAATATACATATATATATGTATGTATGTATGTATGTATGTATGTATGTATGTATGTATGTATGTATGTATATATACATACATACATATGTGTCTCTACTCTACATAGAATGCCCACCCGCCAACCCTGCCAGTATGTGACATGCATTGGCACCATGTTGTTTTTCGATGGCGCGGGAACTGTGGGAAGTGGTGAGACGGCGCTGGACGCAGCATGTGCTGGATGCCATAAGTGTATCTATATAGTGCGTATGAGGAGTCGATTGGAGGTAGCAGTAGTGTAGAGTGTATTGTATGCAACACAATGGTGATCTATCATTTGAGTAGATGTGACCGTGACGCTGCTATTTGCCAATCTTGTTCTTGCTGGTGTTCTTGTTGTGCTTCTGGTTGTTCTTGTTTCCGTTCTCGTTGTCGTAGAGGTTGTTGTGCTGTTGAGGTTGATGTTGTTGGTGCTGTTCTTTGCGGTGCGTCTCGCAATATGCTAGTATGTTGCGTTTGTTGCTTTGTTGCTCGTACTGTGAGTGCTTGGACGCGCTGACACAGTACCAGCGAAGTCTTTCTCACGCCCGGCGAAGCCACCACCACTTCGCAGGCACAGCCCAATGCAGCTTGGAGCTTGGCGCCAACCAGGTCAAAGAAATCCCACAAGCACGTGTTCGAGGGTGGAACTCCGGCAGCCTCTGCTCGAGGATCTTTGAAACCAGCATTCACGATGGACAAGTAGGCAGGGCTATGTCCAGCCCAATCACCAAGACGGACACGTAGCCTGTAGCCAGCACGCACCCGCACCGGATTGCGGACCTTTGCAAAACGAGTCCGACCATCAAAAGTGATGATGTGGAGCGTTGTGCATTGGATCTTGGATCCATCCCCAGGCTGCAACCAGTCAATCACAGCAACCTTCCCGTCCGGGTTCTCGGTCTCCGTAGCTGAAATGTCAGCCTCCAGATCGACTGTTCGTGACACTGCAAAGGCTGGAGCAGCCAGCCACTGGTGGAGGTCCTCCTCCCTGACAAAGAACCCAGCCACAGTCTCCGTACCGTCACCATGCAAGTCTACAACGGTTGCACGTGAGCTGTGCGTCGTCGCTCGGACGGGCTGGACTTCGAAGACCACGCGCTCTGTGCAAGTCTTCAGTTGCGTGTCCACGGACTGAATCACTTGTGACAGGGCCCAAATCCAGACATCTGACTGCCAGGCCGACCGGTCTTCAACTGATCCACTCGTTGTGTCGGCTAGTGCCAGGGCCTGTGAGATGCCGTGCTCTATGGTTGCTGCCCTCCACAGCGCCATGTCCAGCAAAAGCTTGCTGTACAGTTTCGGCCGAGAGTATTCAGCATAAAGGTTGAGTGCTGCAGTTGGCATCCAAGTACGTGGACGAAGAGACCCAGCTATCCATTGATGCCGGTCCGGGACCCGCTCGCTGCGAGGAGCGTGGAAGTAACTGTTTGCCCCTGCGGCAAGAGTCAATCCAGCAGAGCCAGCGGTGATGCCAGTATCCAGTGGCGTTCCTCGATCTTCAACGCCCCTGTTTGCAACTGCACAGTAGAAGCCAAACTCCTGGCCATCTACGCACCACAGTTGGCGCTCAATACGAGCTAAATGCCAAATGGCTGGATCGAGAACCACGATGCCAAATGGCTGGACCTCACCACCAGACAACGGGACAACGACCAAGGATACCGTCTGCCAGCTGTCCTGCACCTCCACCTTGCCATAGGCCACGTGCAGATGGCGGCGACCGTCGCGGCCAGCGCCCCAAGTCCAGCAGCTGCACACCTCCACATCCTGGGCAGTGACCTGATGGATCCTGATGGTAGAGGTGTGCTTTGTACATTTTGACTTCGAAATGTGCTTCGCGCCACAACGGCGTGCACTTTTTCGACATCGCAACTTCCAAAAGTGGTCCGAACCCCTGGTGTTTTTAACATGTTGACTTCCAAATGTGCTTCGCGCCACAACGGCGTGCACTTTTTCGACATCGCAACTTCCAAAAGTGGTCCGGCGCTGAGGTGTTTTGTACATTTTGACTTGGAAATGTGCTTCGCGCCACAACGGCGTGCAACTTTTCATCTCTCATCTCCCCAGATGGCTCCGCACCCGCCGCTTTAGCGAGCCTACTTTTCGACCCTCCGGAGCCCCAAATCATTGGAAAAACACAGTGTTTCGGGACTTTCCTACCTTTTCGTGCATCTGCATCTGCTTTCTTCTGGCTCTTTCTCTTCTACTCTTCTTTCTTCTGATCTTTCTCTTCTCTCTTCCTCTTCCCTGCTCTGCTTTTCATCTGTCCATATTGTCGGAAGTTTGACTTCTAAACTTCCTTCGACAATTGGGCTAGTTAGGGAGAGATGAGGTGTTTTGGCGTGCTGTTGGGCTATCTGGTTTTCCTTTTTTGTGGGGCCCGGGCTCGCTGACCCCTTTTTTTTGTGGGGCCCGAAAATGTGCACTTAGCAACCTGCTGCATTCACACAGTAACGCTCCCCTGCTGCAGGGCCATCTGCAACGAAATTTCTCTCAATTCTTGCGCTATTTACGCACGAATTTTCACACGCTGTTTACCCCCCCCCCCCCCCCCCCCCCCCCCTGTTTACCCCCCCCCCCCCCCCCCCCCCCCCAATAGCTTCGCTTCAACAACTCCCTGCGCTGTTCCAGCGCTTTCCGTCATCTGTACCGCCCCCCCACACCCCCCCTTTTCACCTACCGGCAAACTTCCAAGCGTTTGAAACGCTTTCCGTAATCTAAACTCCGAGTCCTCTATATAGAATAAGGTCCAAAATTGAAATTTGTCAAGATCCAAAAAACTTGAGAAAAAAATATAGCTGCAGAATCTGACTTCATACCACCCACAATACTACTAATTATTCTTGATACCTTGGCCAGCCCCCACCAAACAACCCAGTCCTTGTTGAGGCTGATCTTGCAATTTTGATACCCCGACCTTCCAAGCACGTGTCTCTAGCCAAGAGGTATGGAGCCAAGATCCCAAGGCTACCAAACCAACACTCAAAGAGGAAACACAGTCCTCTCATACATTTACGGCAACAGCATCACCTGGACCCAGTCAAATCCACAAATCTCGCAAAACATTATTTTGTTATATATTTGTGTATAAGAATATACACATATACATCTATATCTATATATCTGTGTATGTGTCTTTGTGTTCATTTCTTTATGATCTTTAAAATATAAATATAAATATAAATATATATATATATACGTATATATCTGGGTAAAATATAATATTTTACTAACCTGAATTAAGGCCATTTGGGGATGGACGCCGGCCTCAGAAAATGGTCCGTCAAAGGCGCTGCCACCTTGCCAGACGCGACTGCCTCCAGCTGCAGCCGTTCTTCCATCACCTGGCGAAGCCATGGTGAAAATGCTGAGATTTCCCCAAAATTAATTGGCCTAAAATATAGAATAATGGTCAATAATGATGGTTAATAATGGTTAATGGTTAATAGTGGTTAATGATGCTTATTAACCCAACAGTGGTTTCAATAACCACTGGAATTTTAAGATTTTCCCCAGAATCTCAAACAAAGATCTATATATCAAAGCCATTCAAAGCACCATTTTTTGGATCGGCCCCAGGGCCTCAGCAAATTGCTCCGTCTCCTCGCTGCGAAAAGTGCACGTCGGATAAATTTTCAGCATGTGGTACCCGGGCAAGTCGGGGGCAGAAAATTCAAAATTAAGATTGATAAAAGGCATAATTCTATAACCCTTATGGCAGTTTGAAAATCTTGTTTCTGCCAGATTGATAAGTGCAATAAGGCAATTGCAGAACGGAATGTGGCAGAAAGCCAAACTGCCACCACTTGGCCATGCCATGCCATGCCTGCTCCATGACGAGCTGCTCCGGGGAGCTCGCAAACATGCTGAACAAGGCCTCTGAAGAGGCGCAGCGAGCTACGCAAGCTACGCAGTGCCGTGGCATTCCCCAGCCATCTATCACTATAACTGGTGTAGCTGGTACGTAGCCATAGGTACAGTTTTACAAATGTACATGTATATACACATCTATTCTAATTAATCTATATTATATTATATTATATTATATTATATCATATTATATTATATTATATTATATCATATTATATTATATTATATTATATTGTATTATATATATGCATTATATGGCATTGTAGGGTTTCTCAAATGTTTGGACGGTTCCCTCCATGAAACAAGTTCGTATAACCCCATCCGAACATCAAGCAACAGGGACTTCAGAACTTTTGGCCTCCCCTTTTGACCAAGTGCTGGCTGGATTGCAAGGGAGATTTGGCTGGATTCCAAGCATCTGCTGTTACTTCTTGGAAAAAGCGCCGCACTTGGGTGGTGACATCGAGATCGATACCTCTGGATGGGAATCATTACAACATTAATAGGCTGCAACCAGGGGGAACCCGACCTTTCTCCACGACCGCACCGACTGGTCAAAGCAGTCGTTCTTGTCTGCCACCTGGTTTCAGAAGCTGGTTGGATACCCGTCTCTGTCGGTCAAGTACCCATGTCCATTGATGACATATATACCCATCTCTACTGGTCAAAAATCATCCAAAAGATCAGTATATATCTACATATGTAGATGTCTGTATTATTATTGCTATTTTTATTGTCTTTATTGTTTATGCCCGCAGAACCTAACGTTCGCCCAAGATGACATAATATTCCATTTTCCCACGGTTTCTATATATATATATACGTATATATATATGTATATATGTATACATATATGTAACCATTATTTATTCGTGTAGATATTTATTCGTGAAATGAAATGATATATATATATAATCTATATAATCATTATTAGTAGTAGTTTTCGTATTAGTATCATTGTAATTATTATAACTATATTTTTAATATAGTGTAATTATTATGTATATACACATATGCAACTAATTATTATATATATATACATATAATTACATTATATACCTAATTATTCTTGGTATTATGATTGTTGTTATATTATATATTATAATATATTATATTCTACTATATTATATTAGATATTATATTAGATATCAAAACAATGTGTCTTTTGCTTCTATCATTAGTTCCACCCCCATTCCGTTGCATGCCCAACCCGCAGAAAGTAAAAAGTAAGTTCTACGAAAATAGCACAAACATTGTAACATGTATATATATAACATAACTATGTATATTAACTATATATAATATATATAATAACTATGTATAGATAACTATATATATATAACACTATAAAGCCCACCTTTTCCATGTGGCTTCCCCAACCATTAAACGCACCCTTTCCCCTAACACCTCAAAGGGCAGTAGCCGCTGAGCGCCCACCCGCGCCAGATCTTTGTCCACCATCTTGGCTACCTGCGGCACCGCTCGGATTTTCCAATGGATGGATGGATCATCTGTTCAGCACCATGGGGGAAATTTGAATGACTAAGCTAAGCCCTCTGGTAAACTAACATAGCTATGGAAAATCATCATTTTTAATAGGTAAATCAACTATAAATGAGCCATGTTCAATAGCTTTTTGTTTGATTGTTGATAGGTGATTAGCAAAAAACAGTTGTTTTTCAGGATCAAAATGGTGGATTGAACTGACTGAACCAATGCTTGTCCGCGGATTTGTTGGGTTCAACTACTGGCCACCCTTTGTGTGAAACAACTGAAGAACTGTGGATGAAATTTGAAATTTGGGAGTCTCAAAATCCGCAAAGGAAAATCCTATCAGTTCACATGTGGGTCTGTCCAAAAGTAGGCGATCCCAATCCAGTGATTGACCATCGTTATCCCACATCGTCCCATTTTTCTATTGCCATCACTGGGTTTTTCCCCATTTTCCTTCAGCCCACGCAAGTTTTCGGCGCGAACCTTCACGAAAGTTGAGACCCATTGGGAATTCCCCACCTCTGCGAGGAGCCAATGGTTGAGCCATTGGGATGAGAGAAACTCAGGGGGGTTTTGTCAATCCAGAATCTCAGGATTTCATGATGATCATCATCGTGGTGATGGTGATGGTGATGGTGATGGTGATGATGATGATGATGGTGATGATGATGATGATGATGATGATGACTTCCAGGACAAGGATGAGGACTACGATGACGACGACGACAACGACGACAATGCCTCTGATTGACCACATCTTGCCAAACGCAGAATATCATGATCCTTTGATTTTGTGATCGCAATGCTTGATGTGATCGCCCAAAAATATTGGGCATAGAACGAACAAATAGCTATGGCGACCTGAAAAAATGGTCAGATCGAAACACAAATGGCTGCTCATTTTTTGAGATTCAATATTCACCATCCAATTCATCCATATGTTTCCTATTCATCCCCCATATTCACCCATTGATTCAGCCAGTTTCCAACTCAACACCAAGTCACGCCAAGCACTGCATACTGCAGCTCCGACTTGCCTGCGAGGGGAGAAGTGCTGGATGAGTTGGTTCCCGATAAAAAATGGTGATGATGATTTCATCAACAAAATTTGGGGTAGCAAATCAAGAACAGTGCGTATTTGTTGATCAAAATTCTATTATTCTAAAAAAAAAAATGTCCACCATATTTGGAGATGTTGTTCTATATGATGGTGGACATAGTTACTTATATCATGTTATATCCTTTTTCATTGTGAATCCCACCGGTGGAGCGGTGAAGATCATGGGAACATGGGAACACCCGCGCCTGGCTCGCTGGCAGGATGCTCTGACAAGGCCTTGTAGAAGCCTGCCGCGTTCCTCACGTCGAAAAGCCGGTGCACGGCAGCCCAGCAGGGGCTGAAAGCCGAGGAACACAGGGAAAATATGGGGGAAATGAACAAAAAGGTCGTTCAGATTTTAAGACAACACTTGTTTACTGAGCCCAAAATTCTGAAGAAAGGCAAGTCTTACAGAGGAAACATGACGTTGAGGCACTCGCTTTCACTTGTCTGTTTTGCTTTGGAGAGCCTGTTCTTCGTGCTCTCCAACAAATAACAGACCACGCACGCTGGATTCCACAGGAAAGTCAGCTAATCTTGGTATCGCCAAGGAACTCTGGTGGGTGCCCGTTGTACCTAGGACACGTAGGGGTTTGCAGAGAGAAGACCCGCAGAGACTCAAGCTGTTGCTTGTGCAACTGAGCAAATACTACTACACTCTCATTTCACAGCAAAAGCAAGTGGAGATCTTTCAGTTGTCTTTGTTGGCAACTCTTGCGCAGTCGGCCACCAGAGTACCCCGACATGCAAATCAGATTTTGAGTTTGACTCAACTAATTAGTAGACTTTTCAGATCTTTTTGGGTATATGGAAATGGCAAAGTGAAACCAGAGGAATCAGGATTTTCCCACAGCGATTGGCTCCGATGCAAATGATCTTGATAAAGCTGCTAGGGCCCATCAGTGTTTACTCCAACTCATGACAAAGATGCGTCGCGACCATGATGAGAACCACAGGGATCTGACCATCAATCCTGACTTCACCCACAGCACCCAAGGATGGTCCGATGCAAAGTCAGGAAATGGAAGGAACAGCCACGCGTACCTACCATCATGGGCCCCAGTCAGTTCGAATTTGACCTAATTAGTTCGTTCCATTTAAGAAAATTTAAGCGGCAAATAACCCCAGCCCCGCTACCAATTCATCTGCAACGGGTCGGCGCCGAGAATGCAAGGCTCTTAATCTTGCCCGCGACCAAATCTTTGGGCGAAACCTGGCCGGAAAGGTGATGAGGACGATTCCATCGTCCTAAACAACCATTGATTCATCTCATGTTTCATCCAAATTGGAGCCAAAATTGTCCCAGCCATGGCGGGGTCGGGGTCACAATCTGGTCCCCCATGGTCACCATGGTCCCCAGATACCAACTGGATGGCGGCCTCGTCCATGGTCTTCAGCTCCACTTTGAGTCCCCGGGACTGTGCCGTCTTCGCCAGGTCTTGCGCGGCACTTTGGGTGGTTTTGAACTCGCCGCCCCACCTGGCAGCAGCGATCCACGGTGTCAAGAACATGTGCATACATGGCAGTGTGTCAAAACCAATAGTAACATCAAAATAGCTGGTAAATGGATGTTCATCCCCCTAAAAATGGTATTAATAGGTATTGATCCATACCCACATCTCCCATGCATGTGTGTTGATTGGAAACTCTTGTACCTTTTGCCGAAGGCCTGCGCAACCACATAAAAAAAAACGCACTTTCCCACCAAGACATGAATTGTTTTTCTGTGCACGCACATAGCAAACAGGTAGATGATCCTCTACTTAGCAACCAAGATGCAGGAGCAAGAAAGGCGGCGGGGGCCCGGAAAGGAAGCTTCCTCTACCAATGAAGCTGCTACCAGCAAAACTGGTACCTACCAGCGAGTCAAAGGACGGTTACCCCAGTTGGATGGTTACAAATCAGCAAGAGTTGCAGTTTTCAGTGTCTCAACATGTCTGAATTTTTGACCTAGATGAATATGAATATTGCGCAGTGGCACTGGTAAAGACCAATAGATTGTGGCTGAGACCAATAGATTGTAGTTGTTGGCTCATGTGGATGAATCCATGTTTCGAGAGGATTCTCTTCCTAACACTGGAAAAGCTGGCATCTATGGATGTGAAAAAAGCCCCAATTCTGGCATCATAGGTTTCTACTATCCCCTCTTTTGTTGGCTTCAATACCCATTCATTAATGGTCAAATGCAAACTTGCTGGTGGATGTTCTTGGCCAAATCCCATGTTTGTTGCTAGTGAAAATCCCTATAAAATCCCTACATCCCCCAAACATGCAACCCATATCTATGGCCATATCTAGATCTGTCTAAGTCTAAACCAAAAAAAACATGGTTTGTCATCATGTTCTCCATTAAAATTGCATTTTGGACAGACCCATATATCCTCTTGTTATGGTTGGTTATATCCCATAACATATCCCCATTATGGTTGGTTGAAACCCCCATGTTTGGATCATCCTCTTCCGGACCTCAAAAATCGAGCTCAAAATCTGTCGCTTGCCGGCCTGGGCGAGACCGCTCCAAGCTCTCTTGCACAAAGGATCTGCAAAGCGCACCTGCCAAGTTGGTCGTGTCCAGGTCGATGCCAATAAATTGTCCCTGCAACAAATCATGTACAGTATGTATATCATATACAAATTATGTGTGTACATGCATATCATGTGTGTATATGTGTACATAAAGTTACATATATATATAATATACATATATAATATATATATATATACATTATATATATATATCAGTGTATATATGAGTGTGTATATGACAGTATATGTATGTCTATATGTATATATATATATATGTATGTGTATATATATATGTGTATATATATATATACGTATACATGGATCTCAAAGTAGATGGCTCAACTCAAAAACCAAAATACCCATAAGATGGCACCGCGCGCTGAGAAAGAAAACGGCGCTATTTTAGCTGGAACATAAAACGAGGTCCGCCAATTGAAGAAAAAATCGCCCTACTTTAAAATGAGAAGGTAGATGGCGCAACTGCCACTCCAGTAGATGGACATAAGGGTATTGTTAACTAAGTTTACTACATTTCCTATCATTTTTGCTTGTATATACGGTGAAATTGCACAAATTTGTATTGCATAAAATGAGTTGCGCCATCTATGTCCCTTAAATCCCATTCAAACGCCAGAAAAAAATCGGTGGGTTAAAAAATAAATTGCGCCATCTACTACGTTCCTTAAATCGCATTCAAATCTTTCAAAATTTCAGTGCCACGCCTTAAAAATGAACCACTGAAGGTTTTAAAACTGATTGTGGACAGAATTTATGGATAGAAATTTCATTGTTCAACATATTTTGACAAACATATACTGGAAAAACACGTTTAAAATTTCATTGCCATACCTTGAAAATGAGTTAAATCTTATTCAAACGCCAGAAATTTCTTTTTTCGATGGGTTCAAAAATGAGTTGCGCCATCTATGTCCCTTAAATCTCATTCAGACGCCAGAAAAAAATCGGTGGGTTAAAAAATGAATTGCGCCATCTACTACGTTCCTTAAATCGCATTCAAATCTTTCAAAATTTCATTGCAATACCTTGAAAATGAACCACTGAAGGTTTTAAAAGTGATTGTGGACAGAATTTATGGACAGAAATTTCATTTTTCAACATATTTTGACAAACATATACTGGCAAAACACGTTTAAAATTTCATTGCCATACCTTGAAAATGAGTTGCGCCATCTATGTCCCTTAAATCCCATTCAAACGCCAGATTTTTTTTTTTCGATGGGTTCAAAAATGAGTTGCGCCATCTATGTCCCTTAAATCTCATTCAGACGCCAGAAAAAAATCGGTGGGTTAAAAAATGAATTGCGCCATCTACTACGTTCCTTAAATCGCATTCAAATCTTTCAAAATTTCAGTGCCACGCCTTAAAAATGAACCACTGAAGGTTTTAAAAGTGATTGTGGACAGAATTTATGGATAGAAATTTCATTTTTCAACATATTTTGACAAACATATACTGGAAAAACACTTTTAAAATTTCATTGCCATACCTTGAAAATGAGTTGCGCCATCTATGTCCCTTAAATCCCATTCAAACGCCAGAATTTTTTTTCGATGGGTTCAAAAATGAGTTGCGCCATCTATGTCCCTTAAATCTCATTCAGACGCCAGAAAAAAATCGGTGGGTTAAAAAATGAATTGCGCCATCTACTACGTTCCTTAAATCGCATTCAAATCTTTCAAAATTTCAGTGCCACGCCTTAAAAATGAACCACTGAAGGTTTTAAAAGTGATTGTGGACAGAATTTATGGATAGAAATTTCATTTTTCAACATATTTTGACAAACATATACTGGAAAAACACTTTTAAAATTTCATTGCCATACCTTGAAAATGAGTTGCGCCATCTATGTCCCTTAAATCCCATTCAAACGCCAGAAATTTCTTTTTCGATGGGTTCAAAAAAATGAGTTGCGCCATCTATGTCCCTTAAATCTCATTCAGACGCCAGAAAAAAATCGGTGGGTTAAAAAATGAATTGCGCCATCTACTACGTTCCTTAAATCGCATTCAAATCTTTCAAAATTTCATTGCAATACCTTGAAAATGAACCACTGAAGGTTTTAAAAGTGATTGTGGACAGAATTTATGGACAGAAATTTCATTTTTCAACATATTTTGACAAACATATACTGGCAAAACACGTTTAAAATTTCATTGCCATACCTTGAAAATGAGTTGCGCCATCTATGTCCCTTAAATCCCATTCAAACGCCAGAAATTTCTTTTTCGATGGGTTCAAAAAAATGAGTTGCGCCATCTATGTCCCTTAAATCTCATTCAGACGCCAGAAAAAAATCGGTGGGTTAAAAAATGAATTGCGCCATCTACTACGTTCCTTAAATCGCATTCAAATCTTTCAAAATTTCATTGCAATACCTTGAAATGAACCACTGAAGGTTTTAAAAGTGATTGTGGACAGAATTTATGGATAGAAATTTCATTTTTCAACATATTTTGACAAACATATACTGGAAAAACACTTTTAAAATTTCATTGCCATACCTTGAAAATGAGTTGCGCCATCTATGTCCCTTAAATCCCATTCAAACGCCAGAAATTTCTTTTTCGATGGGTTCAAAAATGAGTTGCGCCATCTATGTCCCTTAAATCTCATTCAGACGCCAGAAAAAAATCGGTGGGTTAAAAAATGAATTGCGCCATCTACTACGTTCCTTAAATCGCATTCAAATCTTTCAAAATTTCAGTGCCACGCCTTGAAAATGAACCACTGAAGGTTTTAAAGCTGATTGTGGACAGAATTTATGGATAGAAATCTCATTTTTCAACATATTTTGACAAAAATATTTTTAAAAAATGCAGTAAAAAATCATTGCAATACCTTGAAAATGATCCACTGGATGTTCTAACATTGGTTGTGGACAGAATTTTGGATAGAAATTGTTAACATTTCTCATTTTGCTCTTTCTTTTTGTCCCCCCTTTCTTTCTCCCCTTTGTCTTCCTTTTGTCTCCCCGTTGTGTCTCCCCAGGGCGGTGATCCCAATGCAACGAGTCGGGGTGAGCGTTTTGCGCCAAAACGCGCGCGCGTTGGTGGAAAACGAAAGCGAGCAGCGTTTTCACCGGGCTGGTTTATGAGCCCATCAGAGCTATCCCCAGACAGGAGGCAGTTGCGCCATCTATGTCCCTAAAAATGACTTATTTTTTGCAATCTTCTACGCTCTGGCAATTTGCCACTTTGCTTGGCCCCGGAAAATGGGCCCCACCAAGTCCCCCGAAAAAGAGCTTTTTCCTGAGTTTCCCAAAGGAAACTTGACACTTGGTGGGGTCCGTTTTCCGGCGAACCCAAGTGGAAAATTGGCACTGCGCTGGTTTCCCCCCATTTTTTTTCTCAACATCAAGCTGCCTTTTTGGGACATAGATGGCGCAACTCCCACTCATTCGCCAAAATCAGGCTGGGAATGCCCACATAGATGGCGCAACTCCCTCATATCTCCCGACATCCATCAACCAACCTAACCAAAATATGCCACATCGATCAGAGTTATCCCAAGACAGGAGGCAAAACCACCAGGAAAGACATCAGAGTTATCCCAAGACAGGAGGCAAAATCACCAGGAAAGACATCAGAGTTGTCCTTTTTGGGACATAGATGGCGTAACTTCCGTCATTTTTGCCACCAAAGGTCGAGACGCTTTCAAACCCAATTTTAACAAGTAACCTGAGGAACCGTTTTTGCCGTCAAGAAACGGTTCCTCAGGTCACTTGTTAAAATTGGGTTTTAAAGCGTCTCGACCTTTGCGGGCTCAAAACAACTTCTGTCATTTCGCCAAAATCAGGCTGGGTGGCGCAACTCCCCGGGAGTTGCGCCATCTATGTCCCAAAAAGGCAGCTTGATGTTGAGAAAAAATTATGGGGAGAAACCAGCGCAGAAGATTGCAAAAAAAATGTCATTTTTAGGGACATAGATGGCTCAACTGCCCTGTTTTAAAGGGAGTTGAGCCATCTATCCCCCATTTTCTTTTTTTGACATAGATGGCGCAACTCAAGATTCCGCGCCATCTACTTTGAGTTACGAGTATATATATATATACACATGCTTCTGCCACTCACAAGCCAACCCCTTGATATTTCAACTCTGCTACGGTCTACAGTCTACAGTCCGCACCGTGACTTGGCTGTGGTGGCACAACGTCTTCGGGTTCGTCGTAGTCCCGGCTCGTGAAGTGCAACCAAACGCCACCTCCCCTGTGCAAGGCAAGGTGCATCCACAAAACACAAGCTGACAGGCTGAAACTTTCGTGCAGTCAAAAAGGCGCATCTGATTGAACTTTGTCTCCGTCTTTTTTGGCGTCAATGCAAAAACTGATTCATGCAGCAAGTTCACTTTTGGGAAAAAGTGCAAGTTCTTCCAGCAGAACCTAATGCACTCGTGCAGCTTCGTTAAAGCACCTTTGAATACCGTTCGGGGAACTGTCTTTGCAACAGCAGCAGGCTAGCCTCTCGGCCGACAATGGAGTAGCGATATCTTTTGGATCGATCCGTATCTGGGCACGCAGAATGGGCGTGAGACTGGTAGGAAGATCCATATCATTGGATTGGTCGGTGGTTGAGAAACAAGAAAAACTCTGCTCTGGACGTGGCATGCTCTCTCTAGCACCTGTCAAATGGCCCCATGTAAATCGGTTGTCTACTGCCATCTGTGACAACTAGTGCATGCTCCACGGAGCTGTTTCATTCAAAGGCATCGAAGGGCTGGAACTCGCTCTTTAAGCCCAGTCACTGCAAGACAGTAAGTTTGGCCGGTAATCAATTCGGCCCTGACCATGCTGTACCATTCTGGAAACAGTGCCCAGGATAGCCAGAATTCAATCTGCTGGTCCTTTGATGTTCCATGCCCCCCCATCCCAAGTGCAACAAAACCCTTCGAGTCTGGCCACTGGTTTCTCCGCCACAGACCGGAGATAGTACTTCCTGAAGCAGGCCGAAGTCATGTCACTGCAGTCCGCTTGAAAGGAATTTTGGTCACGGCAATTGTCTCAGAGACGGGTTATCCCAAGATGTTGATCCTCCCGAAAAATGGGTCTCGAAATGGGGGTGTACTCCAATTGGTGCCATCTTCCCAACCATTTCCCCCATGAAGAATGGCCAAGTCTCCGCAAGATCATGCAGAGCAGGGTCTTCGCCTGGGTGATGGCGAACAAGTTGCCTGAGTGCGAAAAGGGGCAGCAAAAGGATGAGATGGGATGGTCCACGGTTACCATAAGTCCACAGGAATTACGCCATAAACCATCAGATGGTCAATCACTAACCACCAGCCTCCACCAGCTCCATGGCACAGGCGGCAACCAGCTCGAGCTGGTGGGTTAACCGAGGGACCGATGCACAGGCGGCGACCGCCTCCGAAGGGAATGAATTGGAAGGGATGGAAGTGCTTCATCTTGTCCTCAGGCAATGGGGAAGCCATGGGGAAGCCACGGGGCTTTCATGGGGCAACAATGGGAATAAATGAGAATTGAAATGGGTCAGGATAAATGGAAGAGCCAGGAAGCCCAAACTTGAAATGGTGAGCTCAGGGCAGGCGATGGCGATACACTTTTGAAGACTGGGAAATAATGGGAAATAGCCATGGAAATAGCCATGTCTTCAGGTCAGGACTCTTGCTCAGTGAGGAGTGAGGTCATCAAACCAAATATTCAAAAATGGTGCTGCACAGCTGCCGTTTCGAAGCGTTCAGGTATGAAGTCTTCTGCGTTCTCGCCCCACAGCTTTTTGCCTCGGAGATTCTGAAGCGCAGGAGGCTTTCCCTTCTGTGCACACACAAACCATATAGTGTAAGCATTCACATGCACATTCACATTCTGCATCTTCACACCAAAAACCATCTATGCGTGGAAATGTCGGGAAGGTGCCCCACACCAAAGTACTTCAAATTGTTCTGAACTGAAGCTTGAAACGAAGCGTTCCAGAGCTACCTATCTTTTGCAGTTTGCCCCAAGGCTGTCACTGTGAGAGATGCCCATGATGTGAATCGCCTCAGGTACAGTTGACAAGTCATTTTTGTTTGGTGGTTGAGCCAACAAATGAAAAATATGAATGTCATGTCATTGGGGATCATCATCCCAAGTATATAGTTTAAAATCGAAAAGATTTGAGAAACCACTAAGCAGAACCATCATTGATTCTATCCCGTTATTCCCCATTATTCCCCATTATTCCCCATGATATCTTCCTTGTATCCCTTTTTGTGACCACCTTAGGCTCCAACTATCCAAGAGTTGCCTGCAGCGCACAATCAACTCCTAGGCTTACGGCTTGGGCCTCGCAGTTTAGGCTATCGCTAATGTAAAGTACATTTAAATTGAAGTCACAGTCACCCCCCAAAACGGATTCAGAAAAGTCATTCACCATCATTTTTTGAGTCGGATTCGAGCTTTCCATTGTTTTCAAATGTTTTCTACGTGTTTGGGGCTTTTTTTTTCGTAGCCCCACATGAATATCTGGTACCCGCAGCCTGCCTCGACCACTGTGTCCACCTGGCAGTAGCGTGTACTTCCCGCATTGCACTGGTTGTGTGAGACCTCGTTGGGCCACCTGGCGCGGTAGGCCACTGAAAGTTGCCGATCAAGATGAAACAGGGTCAATTATATAAGAGTATTTGAGATGATCTTGGAAGATGATTTTTGACATTTGAGATTAATTATTTAAGATGAAGTCAAGATGATTTAAGATAATCTAAGATCATTTAAGATCCAAGATTAGGCTTCGTTTTTTCTGCCTTAGATTTCAAGAATGGGATTTTGATGGATTTTGCCAACCAAATCACCCAGCGCCTGCACGGGAGAGCAAAGACGCAAGGTCTCTCGCACCACCATGTCCATATACTTCAGGCGCCTGGCGGAGGCATCGGGGCATCGGCATCCTTCATGGACCGATCGCTCGCAGTCCATACAAGGTGGTGCCCCATAGTTAGCTAAGTTGGTTTATAACTCCCATAACTATGGTTTATGGCAGATATAACTATAGTTAATGGGGCTTATAAACCAACTTATAACTGAGGGGCACCATCCTGTATCCTCATGTGCCATGGGGGAACTCTCTCCACCATGGTGGAAAATCCATCGGTGAATTCCTGAGATCATCCGGTCTCGAAAAAATTCTCGCCTGAGGTCATCTCCCACCGGAAGTCGGTTCATGTCGTTTTCAAAGACCTGGCGGTGGAGGCGGGCCCATGGAAAAAACCGTTCCCTCATGGGCACTTGGACCAGTTATTTAGGCTATCTTTAGGTAGTAAAGTTGGTAAACTAGTAACCATCCACATCCATCCACTCTCGATTTTGGGATACCCATTTCCAATCACACCCAAGTGGCTATTGTCCGGGGAGCTTCGGAGGACCAAGAAATTTGCGAGGACACTGCTGTGGATCGAAACATCGGATTTTTCATTGCTGGAGCCGATTTTTGGGACTTTATGTTGAACCATACACGATACCCAAATCTGTCTTCAGAGAAGTCAGGAAAGAAATGCACAGATTAACCCTCGAAGTCACAAGTGATACTGCACAAGCACCCACCTGGCGTAGTTCCGCAAAGAGTTTCCTGGTTTTCTTGGACCGCTGTCCCCCCAAAATGGTTGCCAAATCAACGCAAAGAGAGCTCTCTTGCTGTCTCCAGCTGCCAAAACTTCCAGAGATGGAGGGAGTTCAATGCTATTGAGGGCTTCGGTTGAAAAGAAAAATTGCACTTGCGAAATTGTAGAACTTCTGCGCGAAGTGAATCTTTCACTTAGCTTCTTGGTATGCCGGCAAAAGAAGATAACATCCTCATTTCCAAAGAGATCCAATCTTGTTATATTATATAAGGGCATGTTAACTACAGATTGAATTTGCCTCAGTACGAGTAGGTGCTTACTTCTCCCTGAGAGCATCAGGTCACCGGCTGGACATGTTGCCCTGCCGAGGCTCTTCTCGATGCGTGGGTTGCGGGCAATGTAATACAAGGCCCAGGTCAACAACAGGGTGGTCGTCTTGTGGCCAGCTACTAACCTGCAGTTCGCTGCAGGTGTATTCTGTCATTTTCAGACACAACACCCAAGGCCCCAAGGTATGTTCAAAACAGCTCTTGAACACTCTTTCCTTTTCAATACATGCACTAAGTTCAGCCAGAACCAGAGGTTGTCAGAGCTTTCCATTTGCATTCAGCATTTGGCTGGCTTTGAAAAAAAAAATGACCCTTCAAACACGCGCTAGATCCAGCATCCGCCCACTGAGTGTCCCAGACATGGTCAGCAGTTGATCCCTGAGCTCGCTTTGGGTAAAGCTTCGCTGTGTCAAGGGACACTTGGCATTGATCAAGTGGTGCAACCTGGATGAATCACAAGGTGGTGCAGCTCCAAAAAATTGCCCATGACACGAGTGGTGCCATTGCGTATGAAAACTCATGAAATGTGGGTCTTGCAAGAAATAGACAGATTTCAGGCTGCCGCAAGCTTTCTGAGGATCCAGAATGTGTTCCGGACCTGCGCAAATGGGCTGACTTTGGTCTCGTAAAACAAGGTCTGATCGGTGGTCAAGTCAATAGTGCTTTTTACCAAGCCAATCCAACAATCCTCACTTTCTGGTCCAATGGTGAAAGTAATGGCCATCATCTAAATCCTCTAAATGGTTCTGGGTGAAAAAAGCCGGTGACTTTGGGGGAGACATGCGAAAAAATGCCAATTTACTCGGAATCGGCCCAAAAAAAATGACAATAAGACCCGTGAAATAGATTCATTCTTGGGCTTTTCCAATCCTCCTATAAAAAAAGCAATCCAGAAATCTCATCCCAAGTCCCATATTTCTTTCCCAGCCCCAAACTTCGAGATTGAAACAGCCTTACGGCATCAATGATCTCATCCAACATCCCATCCAACTTCGACAACTGCCTCACTGAAACCACAGATGGGTCGATGGGGCCTGAAAATCGGTTGCCTAAACTGGTGGTTCAACCATTGAATATGCATTTGAACCAGTAAAAATGGGATAACCCACGGCTAACCAACAAAATATGGTAAATGTTACATCAAACATAGGGGAGGTGTCCACAACTGAATCCATGGGGAACCTCCTAAGTCTCGTGGGGGGGTCACCCAAGCTTTCCTCCACGTTATTCAAGTAAGGTTTCGGTAAGGGGAAAACATTGGTGATTTGAGGGTACCCCAACTTTTAAGAGAGACCCAATCTGGGAAACTTCCATGTCTCCAACGTGAAAATCCAAATGGTGATGATTAACGAACAAACATCAGAGATGGTGCATGATAAGGTTCACTAATAAGAGTGGGAACATATGGGAACATATGGGAACATAGACGAACCCACAAGAATCTGGTTGATGGCTGATCAACAGTTTCAACCTTGTAATTATCATTGATTGGGATCGTCGCAGGTGGAAACTAAAACATATTCAAAGTATATATAATATCATATAATACAATCATATATTATATTATATTATATTATATTATATTGTATTATATTATATTATATTATATTATATATATGTTATATTATATATATGTTATATATTATATATATATGTTATATTATATATATATATATTATATATGTTATATTATATATATATTATATATATGTTATATATATTATATATATACATGTTATATATTATATATATGTTATATTATATATATATATCATATTATATATATATGTTATATATATGAGTATATTATATATATATATATATTATTATATATATATATATGTTATATATATATATGTTATATGTGTTATATATATATATATTATATATGTTATATATATTATATATATTATATATTATATATATGTTACATATATGTTACATATATATATGTTATATATATATGTTATATATATATAGTTGAAAAGTTGAAACCATCAACCAGTTGACCTTCTGTCCTTTATGTTTGGGTCAATCCTCTTGGGCGGCTCCCAAGTACCAAACTTGCGCCGGCTGCCTGAGCCCAACCCTGGACCTCTCTGCCAGGCGACCCTTCGAACCAGCGTTTTCGTGTGCCCAACACATCCTTGGAGATTGTGGAACGCCCAAAGGCCGGACTTTTGTATCGTTTATCCACATCTCCAGCCTGTCTCCAGCGTTGAAATGTCTTGCAATTCTCACTTTGGCACGGTCTTGGTCATCACTTGTGCGTTTCTCTGAGTTTAGCCAAGATCTGCCGAGCCTTTGGTCTATCATTGAACCTTTGCCGTCCAGAGTTGATCCAAAATGGGTGTCCGAGTGGCAAATGCACCATAGAGGCTTGAATTGATACCTCAAACAGCATGAACCACAGCCATCTGCAATCTTTGAGATTTCAGGCCAGTTCATTCGGGTCATTTCCATCACATCAAACCTGTTCCATTGCCGGGTTGCTGATTTCCAAAACCTCCTCAAAGAGTGGAAGCAACGGAGGCATTTCCTGAGGCAATTTGTTCCTTCGCCTCTAACCGTCTCCAACCGACCAACGGTTGCTATGCGACGAACCAAAAAACCAGTTCGTTGCTAAGCAAAGTGGCCATAGAACGAACCAATTCATATGGAGTTGGAACCAAGCGAAATGGGTATAAACCGACTGAGGAACGGTATGGAATGGTACACTGTGTGTGTGTGTGCCCAATTTCATGTGGCTGTACTGCTTAGACATGATTCATTTCTACATCAATCAACAATGCAAAAATATCCGACCCAAAAAGGGCACGGAATTCAACCAACCAAAATGAGCTTGGTTCGAACCAAAATGAGTATACAGTACAGTACATACAACCCAACACAACATACGGCTGAAACTCTTGTAATAACGAGAAAGGCAAGCAGCCGCCGACTCGATGCACTTCAAGTCATGTCCAAATCCTACCTGGGCTGCATCAGTTCATATGTGTATATATATATAAAGGGAAAAACAATAGCAGCCATCAAAAACGAATCATATCCATATACAATATAGCATGCTTCCTTCCCTCCTCCCTGCGTTCCTTTCCTCCTTCCTTCCTTTCCCTTTTTATATCCTATGACATCCTGTCATATTGTGTTGTCAGATACAGACAAGGAGATAAAATTGGGAAATACAAAGGTCAAAAAACAGTCTACTTACCTTATGGCTATCATTTGCCTATCGTACATTGGAGCAACCCTGTACAGGATCCTCTTTTTTGCAGTAGTAGGCTCGCGATGTGTTTGCAGAATCTTGCCTGACCTGTCTTGTCTGGACAAGAGAAGGATGTGAAATCAGGACTGCCTTCCAAAACTCTCCCCTCGCCACCCAGCGGCATTGCAAATGGTGTCCATGGTGACCTTCTCTACCCAAGCCTCAGCTGCTGGGTCCCTGCTGAGTTTTCTGAGCCATTTTCCCAGTTTGTCCAAGTCTGCACGCCAAGGAGCAAAAATATCCATATCTCTTGGATGAGAATCGATAATGGCCTTCACAGTCGAAACATCTTGTCTGTGACGACACTTCACCCTTCTGGGGGGGATTTTCATCGTTACAAACGGGGGTCCGGTTTTGGCTCAAGGGTACCTTCCCAATCGATGTAGATGTCACAAACGACTCACATAAATGGGACGTATCGACCAACCTGCAGCTTCACACATCGTTCCGCAAAGATGGGAATCAACGAGTCGATGGCTTCAGGTGTCAACTGTGCCTCAAGGCCAAATCGCTGATGTCGGGAGATCCTGAAAATCGCTATAGAGTCAATTCTGATGTGAGTTGCAAATGGGGTGTGCGTGTGTGTGTGTGTGTGTACATGATATATATATATATTATGTGTATATATATATTAGATATTATTAGATTATATTAGTATATTGGATCATAGCCAAAAACGACATCAAAAATCATTGATGAAGCCGCTTCATCCGATGAGTTCACACGTTACAACAACCTGGGATTCGGCACCTGCAAGGCGTGGCGACCAAACCTGACAGCAGCAGCTGGGATCCCTGTTCACATGCATGAAAAAATATGTATGGGATAAAATGGAAACCACACAATTGCATCTCAATTATGATGAGTATTTCATATTGGCATATATTGGCCATTTGTTTTTTCATAGTTCATCGGTAAAATGATGATGGTGATCATCAAGTCTGGGGCTTTCTCAACTTTTTCAGATCCCATTCCCTCACATCACAAGCTGTCCATGCCAAGGAACTCCCAGCGCTGTCCATCTGCGATGAAGACCCCTTGATTTGCCAGTGCCTTGCATCCAAAGACCTGCTGGCAGTGGTTTAATCTCTGTAGATGCTGATGATGCTGATATTCAATCCTGAAAATGTTGGAATTTATCAACACTGGGGTGAACCCTCGATTGTGCAAGTCTTACAGAGCGGGCGCGGCGAGAGCCTGCAGGCTCTCGCCAAAATATAAACATCTCTTATCTTCAAACTGGCAAAACAAGTGAGCTCAAGTGGATATTCCACTGCAATGCTTGTTCACCATAGGAATGACTCAAACCCTATGGAAAGGCGTTGTAAACTCGACACCCAAACCATCCTCAGGGCCTCCTTGGGCAATCGTTTGTCTGGAATCTGGTTCACAATGTCCACGGTGTCGGGGTCAGCGCACACCTTATGTAGATTTTTTGATCCACCAAAAAGATAGAAAAGGTAAAGTATCACTATATTCAATGGATTGGTTTAAGGGAAATTTTACAGGAAAACCCCATATTGAATGGGAAAATCTATGGTTTCCTGTAGATTTTCCCTTAAACCAATCCATTGATATATTAGTAGGACTTTACTTTGACTGTTCGATCGTTTTCGGGGTGGTTGTATGTTTTGACGCTCATCTGGCTTTGGGTGGGAATTGCCACTAGAGCACCTGGGTTTTGACTCCTGCCCATCTGCAAAATGTGGATGTGGATATGGCATGGATATAACGTGGATGTGCATCGTAAGACAGGCAAGCCACGTAAACCACATCGTCAAAGATTCTGAGCCTGATCAGAGGTCCATACCTCCAGCAACGAGACCCTGGAGGGCGACAAAGGCTCAACAGCATTTACCCAAAAGCGCACTTTTCGACGAGAGGGAAGCATTGAATCCAGAGATCTGGTAAACCTTGGCGGCGGCGATAGGGAAAAAAGGTCATACATGTTTGAAAGTCGGAAAGTGAGGCATAAACTGGTTCACCTAAGCAATTGTCTGCCACTTGCATGATACACCACCCACAATGGAACTTGCCAAACATATTCTGATGGGCTGTTTGTGATGCGACCACGAAAGACATTCAGAGGCTGGACGAAAGTTCACCTTAAATCCCTGCGCGCTGTGTCGCCAAGGAACAGTCCTTCAAGTTTCCCGTGGTCGGCAAAGGAATCCTCATCACTGGATGGTGTGGTGTGCGTATGATTCTATGTAATTATTTGTGTGCAGTACACACATACACAGATATATTTATTATTATATATATATACACAATGCACATGTAAATTTACACTTTACTATTTCTGACCTTTAAGTAGTCATTCCAAGGTGTTTGAAGTATTGACTGAAATCCCGATCTCCCTCCAGCGTCATTTCGCAATGCTTCATGCCAAGTTTCGGCTGTGGAGGATGTACCACCTTCCTAGCGTCGTCGGCAAAACCCAAATCCAAGATGTCACGTCCTCAACTAACTGGATGCCCAATATCTGAGTGTGTCTGAAGGAGGGGAAAAACACCAAAATATCTCATGTTTGATCATTATTTTCCCCATCTTTTGCAAGGCTTTTAAAAATGGTTGGCTTAAATTCCATGTTCAGGTACCACAGCCAAATCTCATCTTGTTGGTTAGATACAGTACCCCCTTGTAATCCATTATATTACATATATATATAATCCCATTCTATCTCCTTTTATGTGTATATTATCAGTATCATATCCCAGTAGAATGGTTGGTTTAACTCATGGTACCCTCTGGTAATTTAACATAGCTATTGAAAATGGCCAGTTATAGTGGATTTTCCCATTAAAAATGGTGATTTTCCATAGTTTTTTGTATGTTTACCAGAGGGTAACTCCCCCATCTTCTGAGTTTTCCAGCCCACGTCTGTTCCGCCCACGTCTGGGCCTGGATTGCTTTGATCCAGCCAGCGTCCGCCACAGTGGTCCTGGATCCACATCACTCGCCATGGTTTTGTGAAAACAGGAGCTTGTTCGGCATTTTTTTGAAGACAATATGTGTTACTATCATTTAATATGTTTTAATATGTTTTGATATGTTTTGATGTGCTTGAGGATGGCTTAATATGGTTTAACATTAGTATAATACGTCTTACCTAGAGTAATATGTGTTAATGGGAAAAGCATGCGTCTTGTTTGACTTTAGTAAGTTGACCTAATTTAGTAGTCCCATTTTTTGACGGCAAAAGGTTGACCAGTTTGAGTAATCCCATCTCCCCAATGTTAAATACCCCCCATATGGTCCCCAAAATGAATAGATCCAATGCCACACCATGGTCTTTAAGGTGGTGTTTGATATTGGCGGGTGGCCAGATTCTTTTTCATGTCTTGTTTGGATGTGCCTGGTGAGTTTTTCTTGAAATTCACCATCTATTCTTGGACAACCCTATTGTGACCCGTACAATAAGCCATGACAACAGATAGCAACTTGGCCGAGTTGCGAATGAGAAGATCGCCAAATTTGTAGCTGGCATGGCCGGCGCCCCACCTCAGTGAAGCTGGCCAGCTCTGGCAGCTGAGTGAGCCCAGAGTTAAATGAGGCAGACTGGGGATCAGAATAATGTTAGTAAACGAAGGGTAAACCATACCAAAATTTTACCAGAAGGATGGTAAAACGCATCAAAATATATGGGTGGTTTATTATTGCGTTACTAACAGTATCAGGGTTGAAAGTAAGACACGAACCTCAAAAAAATACAACCAGCTAGGTACATAGGTTTTTTCTAGTTCATTTTTCCAGCCCATGGTTCCATGCATAACATCCAAGCCGCTTCCATTTGAAGTCGCTGCCATCCGTGCTAACCACTTCAAGGTCGATCTGCAGCTGCTTCTTGGTGGATTCCTGCGCCAGGATTTTGTCCAATGGCATGGTCCATGGGGTCCAGAGCGATTCCCATGATGACTAATATATCAATGGATTGGTTTAAGGGAAAATCTACAGGAAACCATAGATTGTTTCATTAAATATGGTGTTTTCCTGTAGAATTTCCCTTAAACCAATCCATTGTTTCTCATAATCCCCAACATAGTGACTAGTATGACCCCCCAACCCATCAACCCAGCCGGCTTTTGAACACTGCTCACAGAGTTCCAACATGTTTCAACCGAAATGATAAGTAAAGAAATTGGATAAAGGTACAGTATTTGTAGAGCAACAAAAAATGGGGACAAGGAAATCATCCCGTTTTTAGACGGCCAGTGTCGACAGTTACCCAAATTCTAAGCCGTGAGCGATCTCCAAATGCTGAACAACGCTCTAGTGGAGATTTTCCTCTGCGAAGCACGCTATGTGCAAATGGTCTGTACTGCAACGGTCTTGGAAAAGAAGCCATGCAAGTCTAGGACCTGTGCCTTTTGCACTCACCTACCCTTTGTCTTCGGAGGCTTCACCTTGGGCTTCACAGCCTTCCCTTGCTTCTCTTTCTCCTGCTTCTTCTTCCAGGCAACAGCCTCCTTGAAGGAGCGGTCCAGCTCCGCCTCTGAGTGGTCCTTGGGCTTCACCCTGAAATGTCGCCAGGCTCCACCAACACAGCACCTCGCATGCCATTTTTGATTTTGCAGGTCCCACGTCACCCCTGGGTATGGCACCTTGGGGTGGAACACTGGCAACCCAGCATATCTGTTTGCCAGCGTAGCCACAGGCTTCACCTGGAGCTGCAAGCCATGCTTCTCCCGGAGCTCAAGAGCCTTGGCCTCAGCCGCTGCCTTCTTGGTGAAGCAGCCGCCATAAATTCGTTTACTTTTGTTCAGGAACACGTCCACCTTCCACCTTTTCTCTTTCTTTCCCCATGAGACACCAAGCACTTCACTGGTGAACTCGGGGTCCTTCAGCCTGGGCTCTCTAAGGATGCCCTTCTCCACCAGCTCTGCATGGAAGGTTTTTGCAGCCTCAAGAGCTGCTGCATCGGCCTCGGCCTCACTGCGCCCTTGGACCATGAACTTCGTCACAGCAAATCCTCGCGAAGTCAAGCTGATAAATTCGCCTTTGGAATCAACTTTCGGAAATTGGACCTTCCACGCCAAGCCTGCGCAATTCCACCCGATGTTCGGCACCCCACTTTGCTTTGCCAGCTTGTATCTCCCGAACGTAGCTGGTTTCTGCTCCACCTCAAGCAGCAGGGGATGCTCAGCAGCTATTGCAACTGGGACTTCTTTGGTCTTTTCGTCTCTTGGCGCCTCCTCATTCGGCACTCCCACAGATTGGAAGATTTCCACGCCTTGTGTGGCATGGCTGCCGTCTGCGGATGAGAGCATGATTTCCTGCTCAGCACCTGTTTCATTGGTGACCTTCACACTATCAGCAACTTCCTTCTTGTCAAAACTTGGCTGTTCTGCCGTCACACCCACTTGTCTGTCACAGCCTGCAAGGTGGCGGATGTGACTCTCCATGTCCTCAGTCTTTCTCTTCAAACGTAACCAGAGATCATCCGTCTCCATATTCGTCTCACCTTTCTCTGGTCTTTGTGGACCGACCTCACCCTCCACGCTTCTCTCCTCCTTGACCTTCACACCATCGGCAGGCATTGCGCGGCACGTCAGGCGGCGGCGCTTGGCAGCACCGATGGCCTCGAAGGACTCCATGGCTCGGGTGGGAAGATTCGGGTTCCCAGGTCAGCCTTTCTGTATCGCCTGGGCTGCTCGTATGCACGCAGAGCCCAAAATGAAAGCGGCCAGACACAGCTGGGACATTGAAAACCTGCTGTCCAGCATCTCCAGTTGGGAAATCCCGACTGAGCATTCATGAAAAACCTGGTTGACCCTGGTTGACTCAGTAGAAGTTTACTCTAGAAATTGATAATCAATATCTATCGAAAATGGTACCCATTTTTGTTCAACCCATGTCTCCTCCGTCACCACGCGGGGCTTGGGCGTGGTCTTGGAGCTCTCATGAATCCTCTTGATGTCATCGATACTAAGGATCTCCACTCCATCCTGGCCGGCGATTTGGGATGCTAAGGGGGGAATAAATATGTTGTTTGGTTTTTTTTAAGAATATTTGGAGATGATTTTGGCAGTCTAGTTTTGAACTACCCCCAATAATGTTGAATATGTGTTTTCTTGTATTTGGGATGTTCATCCTGCCAAAAATTGTATCTGTGTTGACTTGCCCAAGTTGTGCAGCCAAAAATAATTCATAGAGAAAGGCACCACATCATCCTCAAGAGAGAAGGCGGCAAGGTGCTAGAATGTATCGTAGTGTTTTCCTGGCACATATTAAATACACATTGTGTGCTATTTATCTTAAAAATATACACCATATGCAAATACCATATATATATATACATATAAACATATATTCCATATCTATATATATATACCATATATATATTATCATATGAAAAGATTCACGGCAGTCTGTTGTCTCTGCTGTTGCAGTGCGCGCCTTTTGTCTGTTGGGCTCGGACCTGTTGTCACTCCAGGCTAACACTCCAGGCAGGCTCAAGGCCTGTTGAACCAGAATGCCATGTTGGCATGACCAAATGTACAGTTGCATAACTGTTATGCACGCAAGGGTGTGTTGTACTTAACACGGCCCCTCAGCTTGTTGAGCCCTCTGTTCATCACGCTGATACAAGCATACTATTTACATGTTGAACTGAACTACATTAACTTGTTATAAGACTTGTTGCATAGATGTTGCAAATCACCTCTGCACAAACTGATGGCATGTAGTTTTACATCTGTCGTCAACCGCAGATGTTGGTGACTGCAAATCTTTTCTGTTGAATTAAAGCCGTCTTGGACTTTCAGGTGTTGAAGTCCATCTTGCTCTCATCTGCTCTGTTGATTTGGTACCTGTTAGCACCAGGGTGTTGTCTGAGCTCCACCCTCAACGGTTGATCTAGGTGTCAGTCTCACCTGTTCCATGGATGTTGGCTGCATCTTCATCATCCATGTTGACATCCTCCATGTTGAGGCTCTCTCGGTACTTGATCTCAGTCAAATAGCTGTCGAAGTCACTGCTGTCTTCGACCCACTTGCCAAGATTCTTGTTGCCGAAATTCAGGCTGTTCACCTTGAAGGGTGCGTTGAATGACCATAGCCACCCTCTTGTCCAGCTGATGCTTTGATACAAATTGTTGATACCATCTTTGAATCATACCTCGAACCACTGTTGTTGGTTCTGTTCGCTCTCGGTGAGAACCAGAGCGCTGTTGGCTTCCACTTGGATCTGTTGGTTGGTCCATCCTCTGTTGAAAACGTTGACCGTAAATCTGTTGTAGTCTCCTGTTGCCAGATGTGGCTCAGAGAAATGATACGCCATGTGGCACATGGCAACTGCAAGTGTTGTGTGCAGCAGTCATTTGTCCTACTGAGGTCCTACTGTAGTATGGCAGGCGTTGGCTACCTGCCGAAGCCACGAGAGTTGGCTTTTCGCCGTTGTTGGTCAGGTTGTTGTACTCCTCTACTGTTGTGACAATCCACAACATCATCTAACCATGCTGTTTCACAGCTTCGTTGAATGTCTCCGGATCGAGATTGTTGATGGCATCCAATGTTCCCACTGTGCTCACAAATGTTGGCTCTCCGTGGCGAAATTCACGTTTCAAACTGCGTCAACATAATGTTGACAGATGCAAAGCCGAAACTGTTGAATTCAAAACTTCCACAAAAACATGTTGTCTAAGACAGTCATGTTGTCATACACGTCCACAATCATGTTGGCCGATCATGTTATAGAGGTATATGATAAAAGGTCATGTTGAAATACACAAAGATGTAGTACGAAGATACTGATGTTATAGTCGATGATGCTGACCATTGTCAGCACCATGGCTATGGACTGTATGTCTGTGAGTGTACGCTGCGTACGTTGTTCCCACGGTGTACACGCGTTCGCACGTTAACACGCTAGCTGCAGTGAAACTGTTGTTGGTTGCTGCTGTTGCTAGTAATGCTGGGTTGTGAGCCCAGCATCATTGAGATGCCTCAAGAGCGTCTCTGTCGCGACGTACTTGGTGAAGATGTCCGCGGTGCTGCTCGCTGTGTTGATCTTGGTAATCCTCACAAGATCGTGCTGCACCAGTTGTTGAATGGAAAGGTGTTTGAGCTCGATGTGCTTTGCTTTCTTCGAGGATCTGCCATGCTCTTCCCGCTCGAAGAGTCTGTGTGGATCCTAATGTTCACCTTCTTGACGTTGAGTGCTTCTTGTAGGATGTTCCTGATGTGAAGTGATTCTGTTGCTCCTGTGTTGATGGCGTATAGCTCTGCTTCTGCACTGCTGAGTGCAATTGTTGCTTGTGCGCGGCTGCCGAAGTGGATTGTTGACCCGAACTTGATGACGAAACCCGATGTTGACTTCCTGGTTGTTGCGCATCCTGCCCAATCGGAGTCCACGAAGACGTCGAGGTCTGGTGTTGTGTCCATGGTTCGGACTGCTGGTCGCACATAGAATCTGTAGTGTTGCGTTCCTTTGATGTACCTGAGCAAATGCTTGAGCTTCTGCTGATCAAGTGTTGTCGGCTGTGTCAAGGATCTTGCTAGCTCCTTGGTTGCATAGCTGATGTCTGGTCGTGTGTATGTCATCCGCTGTAGCTTGCCCACAGCTCTTCTGTATACCTTGCGCTCTTCTGTTGTGAGTGGTTGTTCAACATCTGTCGATGTTGCCTTTGTTCCAGGTGCTGGTGATGCATTGCAGTTGAGCATGTCTGCTTCCTTCAATAGTTCTGTTGCGTATGTGGTTGCCAGGCTGATCTCGTAGTAATCTCCCTTGTTGGAGATGTTTCTTCCAAGAAAGCTGACATTGTTTCCTACTGTGAGGTCACCTGTTGGTCGCAGTAAAAGCTGTTGCTGTATGTCTGCAAAAAGCTTGTTGACAACTGTTGGTTCTCCCAAGAATAAGAGATCATCCACATAGACGAGGATGAAGGCGTTGCCTGTTGCTGTCTTGAAGACGTTGGGCTCGCTCGTGAGCCGTTGCATCCCAAGTTGTTGAAATGTTTCTGCCAGGTGATTTTGCCAAGCTTTTGGGCTGCTTCTTAACCCGGAGATGGCTTTGTTGAGCTTCCACACTATGTTGTCCTCTGGGTTGTAGAACTCTGTTGGTGGAAACATGAACAAATCTTCTGTTGCAGCTTTGGCATGTAGGAATGCTGTTGAGATGTCTCCTGTTCTGACGATCCAGTTGAAGGAGAGTGCCATTGTTAATAGTAAACGTAGGACACAGAATATTGGTGTTGACGCATATATGTCGTCATTGTCGTTGACTTCTTCTGCGTATCCTTTTGCCACTATTCTTGCTCTGACACTGTTGCCCTTTTGTCGTAGGACCCATCTTGAATTGATCACTTTGCTTTGTTGAGCTTTCGTCAGGTTGCTGAAGGAAACTTCTGTATATACTTGTTGTGCCTTCATTGATCTTGTCTCTTGTTTCATTCCTTCAATTGTTTGCTCTTTGTTCAATCCTTCAGTGTTCTTGACCCATGGTTCGAGTAGGATCTTCTCTGTTGTTGCTTCTTGTTCATCTTCACTGGACAGGGCTTTGATCTCTTGTCCTTGTTGCTGGTGGTTCAGCCGTTGCTTCTGGTCTCGTTGGTGCTGTCTGTCGTGTTGCCGTCCTCTGTTGCTTGGACGCACTTCCTTCTGCTACTTCATCTGTCACGTCTCTTTTTGGTGTTGGCACTGGCAAGGGTGCTCTTGCTCTTTGTGTTGATGGTGCTGTTGCCATCGGCAGGTCTGTGATGGCCGGTGGCTGGCTTGTAGGTGTTGCTGACTGTGCTGCCGTTGTAGGAAATTGTTCTTCCTGTTGAAGAGATGTTTGTGTCTCTGTTGTCGCTTGTGGTCTTGCCACCATCTTTGCTGTCGGTAGCATGACAAAGCTTGATGCTGTTGGAGTTGTCATCGGTGTTTTGTTGGTGACATGCAAAAGCTGCTTGTTGTACTTCTCAGGCTTGCCCTGTCTTCTGATGGTTCTTGATCTGACCACTTTGTTGGTGATGCCCAAGACGTTCTCATTTGTTGAGGTGTCTTTGCCAAGCCAAATTGCTGGAAAGAATCTGGCTTCCATCTTTGGCATTTGTTTTGCTGTTGGCAACATGTATAGAACTGTTTCACCAAAGTCACAAATTGGTGTCTTGTGTTCCTTGTTCCAGCGTCTGTAGTAGCTGATGTTGCCATCTGCATGTATTGCATACCTGTTCAGCAGGTAGGCTGCGTGTTTCACCTTCCATGGCATGATGGGATGTTTGCTTGTGAGTCGTGCGTCGTAGTTGTTTTCAAGCTGTAGCTTGAGTGCTCTCACTTGTCCCATCAATGTTCGATGGAAACGTTCCACGCTGCCTTGTGCTTGTGAAGTGTATACTGGTGATTGTCGCACTGCTATGTTGCTTCCCATTGCTGTGGCTGTTGCTTTCAATAGTGCTATGAGGAAACCCTCATTGTCTGACTGTATGACAGTGCTGTTGAGCACTGCATGTGTTCTGACACATTCCATGAGGAATTGCTGAAGGCATGTTGATAGGTATTGGATGCTTTGTGTTTTGTCTTCAATCTGTGCTGCCATAAACATGCCTGTTTCCACATCGATGGCTGTGAAAATTGATGACGTTGCTTGCTCACCAATTGCTTTGTAGCAGGTGATGTTGCATTGAAGCACCGGTGTTTTGTTGTGTTGCTTCGGGTGGTTGTCTGACCTACCCTTTGCTTTTACACATACAGGGCACCAGCTCCTGTATGGTAAGTGTGTGAGCTCGTGTTCGAGCCTCTCTTGTGCTGTTGGTTCTTGTGGTGCTGGAAGGCCTTTTGCCTTTCTTGCTTCTTGTTGCTCCTCAACATCATCTGTGATGCATTCATCTTTGTATTCTCCTCAACGTTTGTTGAACCCGTCCACTCTTGGTCAAGTGTTGCTTGTCTCTTTGTGGTCCAGTCATCATCTATCCTGTACCATCTTGCTCCATTTGTTGGTCTCACCATCGTTGTTCGTTCTGTTGTAAGCTTGGTGACATCTGGGCCATCGTCTGTTTGCTGTGGAATGTAGAGATCATGACTTGGCTTGACATGTACTCTTTTCCACAAATGTCCTTCTCTGATCCAATAGTCAGTTGCTGGTGGTACTGACATTGGATGTGGCACTGAAGTTGATCCAGTTGCTCTTGTTGGATCAGACGGTGGCTGCTTTGCTGTGTACCTCACCCCTCCTGTTGGATGGTCGGCTGCTTGTGCTGATGTTGGGTTGCTTGTTGTTGGACCTGTCGTCCTGGCTGCTGGTAACGCTGGCATTGGTGGCGTGTTGCCAGGTAGGGGTGTTCCTCTCTTGACTTTGAACCATGTTTCTCCTGTCCAAGGCTCTCCTTCAAGGATTCTCTTTTGTTGCTTGGTGTCAAGTGTTTGGTATGCATCTTCAATGTTTTCGTTGTTGCCATTGTTTCTTCTTACAATTGTTCTTCTGTAGTTTTCCAACCTTCCTGTGGGAACTGGACACCGTTGGTCTGTCACGAAGGTGCTTTGCGTTGTGTTCTGTGCGCTCTGACCAAATATCCTTGGCTGTTGGATGTCCAGAGGTCATTTCTGTTGCTCAAGGCCTCCATACCTGTTGGTGTCAAGGTGACTGGTGTGATCTTTGCTGTTGTGCCTTGGGTAGTTTGATGTACTTCCAGCTGCATGTTGACTGGAACGTTGACAAACTCCATTGTCATGAAGTAGAGTCCATCACGTTGAACAAGTGCTGAGTTGAATCCCTTTGTGTGTGTGTGACTGTTGGTGCCTCATTGAGTTGTATGTTGAACCCTTGTTCTGCCAGTCTTGTTACTGACAAGATGGGTTGTGCCACTTCGCACACAAAGAAGGGAACAACTAGTTGTTGCTTGTTTACGTTGGTCATCAGGACCCATTTGTAATTTGTACCCATACACTGGTATGTTTTCATCTGTTGCTGTTCTCAGCTGTGGCCCTTGTCCATGTTCCAAGTTGTACATGGGTGTGCTGGGCGCAAACCATGGTGGGCAGACATGTGTTGCTGCTCCACTGTCGATCATGATATCGACTTTGTTCTCATCCTGTTGGACTGACTGAAGTGTTGATGCCATTGGTGTTGATGACATCTTGTTGTTCAGTGGTGCCACAAGATGTATGGCCGCCGTTTGTTGTTCCTGCGCTGTTGTGGGTGTTGGTGCTGTTAGCGCAAGTTGTGGTGTTTGTTGAGGCTGCTGGTATTGTTGCCCATTGTCTTGGTAGTAGCCTGTTTGGTCACTGCTATGCCAGTTGGCATCATAGCCGTTGTTTGGGTAATACCATTGTGCCGTGTTGTCATACTGTTGCTCGTACGTTGTGTCCGACAAGTTGTAGACTGCTGTTCGACAGTCTTTGGCCAAGTGACCTGGTTGGCCACATTTGTAGCATATTGCTACTGGATTCCTTCCTTTTCCTTGATTGTTGGCTCCTTTGTCCGTTGCCTGTTCCTGTCATTGGCTGCCATACTTGCTTTCCTTTTACTTTTCCTTTTGCCTTGCCGTAGCCCTTGTCGTAGCCATATCCTTTTCCTTTTCCTTTTCCTTTCTATCCTTTGCTTTGTTGCTTTCCGTAGCCATATCCTTTTCCTTTTCCTTTTCCTTTCTATCCTTTGCTTTGTTGCTTTCCTTTGTATCCTTTGTTTCCTTTGCCTCTTCCTCCTTTTCCTTTGTATGTTGCTGAGATGTCCATTGGGGCCGGTCCTCCACTGTGATTGGTGCTCACTGATGAGGACGCTTGTTGAAGCCTTGCAAAGGCTGTTGTTGTCCTGTAGTACTCTGTAATGATCTCTCTGATCATTGGGTATGTTGGTGCTTGTCCTGCGTTCAAGTGTAGATGCTGTTGCAAAGGGCCTGTGGTCTCATTCATGAGAACTGCTATCTTGACCTGGTCTGGCTCGTTCGTAGCGATCGACTTCAAATTCCCATGTTGAGAATGACTCCTCGAAGTTGTTGTGGTTGAAGGTTGGCTTGAGCAACTTTGTGAGGTAGCCAATGCTCCTTGTTCCCAAGGGGATTGAAAAGCGTTGGCAAAGTTGCCTGTACACTTCAAGACCCATTGCTGCTTGGTGGTGTCGGCACACCGTTGCTGCTGCAGCTGATGTTGTGCTGTTTAGGATGTACTTGAGGTTGTTGGCTAGTTGTATCCAGCGTTCTGCTTCCTCAGGTGTTCCTGCTGCGGCTATCAGTTCTGCATCTGTAAGAACTGTTGTGACCCTTTCTGCTCTTGCCAGCAGATCTGGGTAGATGTTGTCTTGTATGCCCATGTAGGCTTTGAACTTGCACTTCCATTCTTCAAATGTTGAATGGTTTCCATCAAATGTTGGTGGCTTCAGCTTCAGCTTGTGCGTTGAGGCGAGTGCTTCTGTTGCTTCTTCATCTGTTGCCGTAGGTGCTCCTATGTCATGACCTGTTGCCATTTCTTCTTGTTGAGGGTCCCCCACATTCTTGAGTTGGGATCAAGCCCTCTTGTTCTCCTTCATGCGCAATTTGTTGTTGAACTTGTTTCCTCTCCTCTGTTGTTGTACTCGTGGTCTGTGTTGTGTTGGGCTGCTACCCAAGTGCTTCTTGTTGTTGTTTGTTTGGAGCTCACCTGGATGCTTCCAAGGTCACTGCTCCGCTACCATGAAAAGATTCACGGCAGTCTGTTGTCTCTGCTGTTGCAGTGCGCGCCTTTTGTCTGTTGGGCTCGGACCTGTTGTCACTCCAGGCTAACACTCCAGGCAGGCTCAAGGCCTGTTGAACCAGAATGCCATGCTGGCATGACCAAATGTACAGTTGCATAACTGTTATGCACGCAAGGGTGTGTTGTACTTAACATCATATATATATATATGTATATATATATATATGTATATATATATATGTGTGTGTGTGTATCATATAAATCCGCCCACACCGCTTTGGCGGTGAAGGCGTGCTTATTGGGGGGCAACAGCAACACTAAATGCTCAATGACATTTGTTAATATAGCAGTCGCTATATCAGCTTTAGCTGGGGGGGGGGGGCAAAAACGGTTTCGCACCAAGACCAGACCCCAAAAACGGTTTCGCACCGAGACCAGAATTCGGTGGTGTTTTCGACATTTTTCAAGGATTTTTGGGTGTCTGAGCCCAAGAGGGTATTGAAATGGAATTTTGGGTCATTTTGGTAGTTTTCCGGCAATGGAAAAACGGCCAAAAATGAAAAAAACATTGTACATAGCAAGATTTTGCAGGGTTTTTGGATGCCAGAGCATTGAAAACACTGCAAAAACAAGTGTTTTGGACTGACGTTATAGCAAAAAACGTGTAAATTACCGTATGCTTGACTGGAAACATTACAAAAACACTGTCAAAAGCAATGTTTTGGAAGGATTTACTGCCTTTATGGCAAAAAACGTGTAAATTACCGTCTGTTTGACTGGAAACATTGGAAAAACACTGTCAAACACAATGTTTTGCAAGGATTTCTTATATATATGTTGGACTTGGCTACCGGCATTGGAACATGGAAAAATTGAAGAAAACACTGTAAATAGCGGTATTTTCAACGGTTGGGGAGATAAGGGAATTGGAAGCATTGTCGAACATGATGTTTTCGACCGGTTTTATGGCGACAAAAGTGTAAAGTACCGTGCTTTGAAGGAAACCATTGCAAAAACATGGAAACACATTCAAAGAACACGGGATTTGGGGGACTATCTAGGCGTCGTTGTCTAGCTATTTGAAATTCCGCAGCTTGGAGAGCCTCCAAGGGAGGGAAAAGTGAAAATTCCATAGCTTGGGAAGCTGTCACGGCGGGGAAAAGTGAAAATTCCCTAGCTTGGGAAGCCCCCACGGGGGGGAAAAGTGAAAATTCCCTAGCTTGGGGAGCCCCCACGAGGGGGAAAAGTGAAAATTCCCTAGCTTGGGGAGCCCCCACGGGGGGGAAAAGTGAAAATTCCCTAGCTTGGGGAGCCCCCACGACAGGGGAAAGTGAAAATTCCCTAGCTTGGGGAGCCCCCACGGGGGGAAAAGTGAAAATTCCCTAGCTTGGGGAGCCCCCACGGGGGGGGAAAGTGAAAATTCTTAGCTTGGGGAGCCCCCACGGGGGGAACCACCCTTAGCCCCTCTCACGGACCAAAATAAACCTGCGGTGTGGGCGGCCACCCCACGCGAAGCGGGGTGAATATATATATATATGTCATATATATATATATATACATAAATGTCGTGTATATATGTGTGAGTGTACCATACATGTGTAATCATATATATATATCACAAATATATATCATATATATATATAATCCTATATATAATTCTATATATATAATCCTATATATATAATTCTATATATATATAATCCTATATATATAATTCTATATATATATAATCCTATATATATAATCCTATATATATACATATAATCCTATATATATAATCCTATATATATAATCCTATATATATATATAATCCTATATATATATATGATCCTGTATATAGAATCCTCTATATATACATATATATATATATTATACTATTTATATTATGATATTATATATGTATCATAATATATATATATACATGTGTGTTTTGGCCTATATTTATACTTGTATGTAAGACTCTAGACATCAATAGACAAAAATGTTCTCGTGCTGGGCATATCTCCCAAGCCCATCCTCTGAGAAGAGACGTCTCGTCGAATTGCCCGTGTGAATCTCGGCGTGGCTGGAGTTCACCCTCCGAAATCTGCTGGAGGCTCGAAGTGAAAGTGCAGACTTTTAGTTGATGATCAAAGTGAAAGTGAAAGCTGTTAGTTGATGAAAGCAAAATTCTTTCCTGAAATGTTATGAACCATCTTCTTTCTGGCTCACACTCACTTCCCATTTTTGTTGTCTTCCCGGCGCCGTCATCCACCAAGTTACAGCTGCACGCGCCAAGAGTTCTTTGAACGGCCGGGGCTGGCAGCGGCTGCCGTAGATATATATATATATACATATATACATATATATATATACATATACATATACATATACATATATATATACATATATATATATACATATATACATATATATACATATGTATGTATATTATAACACACTAACGACAACAAAAAGAGGAAGAAACAGAGAAAAAAATCACAATAATAACAACGACAAGAATAAAAATAGTGTATATCATACAAAATTATATGTAGATATGTAATATAGTATGTGCATATTATATATAGTATGTACATATATATATATTATATTTTTAGTAATATAGTATGTACACATACTTATGTGTATATATATATATATACGTAGTATGTACATATGTATATTGTATATATATATATAATCAAATCTGATCAAAGGTATACTTCAAAATCCCATGGCATGGTACTTCTCTTTTGAACTCTTGCGATAGTTTGGATCATCTTGGATCTACAAACCACAGTCTTTCCGGATGCCCAGCCTCATCCAAACTCACCACCAGAGTGCCTGCTTTACCTGCCACGGATAGCAGTGGTGACAGGTAACCTAGTGTGTCTGCATGGTGGATGCGGCAGTCCAAAACTGCCAATGTAGCTAGCTTGAACTGACTTTATGGCGTTAAAACTAGTTGATGGAAAATCATGACGTCTGTAGGACAGGAAACCTTCTTTTGAACTCAACTCACTTCAGCATGTCAAACCACATGGACTCAGGACCCATTGCCTCCCTGCCGAAATGTTCATCAGCCAAGGTTCCATCCAGCTGATCGATGATGCCCAAGACCAAGGTGTTGGAGCCACTGGGCCTCTCTCCTTGGACCCAACACCCGGAGCAGAGGCAGAGGCATCACCTGACAGCCTGAGGAACCCCGAACTATGCAGTTGGTCACTGAGGAACCCGAAATTCCTGTGAAAATTGGGAAATGAATTTTCAAAAAAAATCGCTAATTCATGGCACCCTTCGCCCTTCCATCGCCTCAGCTCCTATTTTCGGCCGCTGGCTGTGGCTTTACACAGGGCGTCTGGCACCAATCACAAACCAATCATTTTGCCTCCAGGCAACATCAATGTCAGTGAAACCTGCCTTTTCAAGCAACTGGCAATGTGCATAGACACCTGGATGTTGATGAACGACATGATCTCCCAAGAAAAAATGGCCTCGTGAGCAAGAGGTCAGTCTGTTCTGTTGCAACCTGTTGAGCCTGAAATTTGATCATCCATCAACTGAACTATGCTTCCCCATAATATGGTCCTGTGGGTCAATGATGGTCAATGGGGCATGGAACAGCGCGTAAGACGTTTGCAGGGAACCATGTGGGCATGTTTCAAACATGGGCCAAAACCCTGTGGTTTTTCACGTTGGGGGCATCCCCCGTTTTGAGACAAACCCAACTCGTTTCTCAAGGATCTAACCAGGCAGGCCTCCTGGCTTCAGACTCGCATAGATGCCGGCGAACATCTTGGCATATCCTTCTGCAATGTCATCCATTCCTGTAGCTCAAACGGGTCCAAATGGGTTTTGATGTTGAACCAGATTCATCTTCAGTGCCACATCAACCTGGTTAACTGGTGGTTTGGGTTGCTGGCTTGGGCTTACTGAAAACTCCCATGGAAGGGCATGAAACAATGTAATCAAATCTCCAAGATTCCAACTCGCCACTTCAAACGACCAGGTCTATTGTGGGTTTCCTGAAGTCTGGACACATAAACATCACTCCCCTCACTACTCACCTCAGTATTCGGAATTCACGATACCCCGGCAGAATCAAGTTGGGCTTCTAAGTGTATTTTTTTAAAGCCATAGTTCCACGGATGATATCAAGTTATGTATATATATATACATTATCCCAACTTTATGTATATATATATATATACATATATACATATATATATATATATATTATCCCAACTTTATGGAGGTTACCACTACAGTTCCACCCATTACCATTGCCCCAACTGCACCGTTGTTTCCCCACCTGCGGCCGGCAGCTTCAGCTTGGCCGCGTAGTGCGCCGGCGGCGCCACGATGTGCCGCACCGCCTGCAGGGCGACGATGCAGTCGTAGCCCTCCGCACTGCCTGGACGGTAACAACAATGGGGATCCAGATGGGGATTTACAAATTTATAGCCTATTATATGGAATTATATGGATTTATATGGAATTATATGGATTTATATTGGATTTAGATTGTCTTGTGTGGATAGCCAACCAGGATTTGGTATTTGTTAGTTTCTCTTGCTATCAAAAACCTTGAACGGAACCTTAGTGACCAGATTAGTTACTCTATTCGTGAGCATTTGAAAAACCTTCAGAAGATCCCAAGCGATTTCATGTGAATCAGCAGGAAACACCTGTTGATTTGACGTTGCACATTGAATTTAGCTCTACGCTGTCGTTTGTTGCTTGCTGTTGCGCCCGAGGCCGGCAGTTTTTTTCTGGGGAATATCATGGGGACACTGTTTGTTTGTTTGTTTGGGATGGAGATGCGTGCCAGGGGATATCCCCCGACCCCAGAGTACCAGGGGGAGCGTGCCAGAAGAGCAATCCAGGCATATATACCCACCAATATGATATTTGGGTTTTGTCTTAAAAATTGAGTATGCTGCAGAATTACAATTGGTATATGGGAAAATGATGGTTAAGCAGTGGCTTTACTTTTGCTCCAATTTTGGTTAAACCCAAATGGCGGTAATTGATCATACCAATACTTATGGATGTGATAAGATCGTAAGGGATAAGTCAATACCTACGGGGCCATCTTTAAGAAAACGAACATCAGCAAGCAACAGCTGTATTGGTGCGCACTATCTTCTATTTTTAAGGAGATGGATGTATCGTTTCGATCTTTCATGATAATGGTAATGTTTATCTCTCCATTCACAACAGTAGCTATTGAACCATACCAAAATGAACTTGCGACACCTATCTGGGGATCACCATTTCGCTTCGCTATAATGTGATGATATTTAATGGGAGGATAGAAACACAACCGAAACCAATAGACGAAGACACTTCAACAAGAACAAAAACTCTGAAGGAGCTTCCCTCTTCCGCGGAAATACTCTGCAAAACTAATAACTGATATTCTGGGTCTCTCTTCGCAACATGGAAAACGAGGAAAACCCGAATCCCTGGTGGGTCCTGGTAGTGGTTTACCATCTGCTGCTGCGGCGGCAACGATGCAGTTGCATTGCTGCTCCGTGGCCTCAGGGATCGTCCCCAGGTCTTTGGGTGATCAAAACCCTGGATAACCCTGGTACATCCTGGTACATCAGACCAAAATAAACTTATATTGTTGGATGTTTATCCATCCATTCATATGGCAGTGGGTCAAAACCAATAGTACCCCTGTAGTTCACATCAAAATAGCTGGGATTTATGGATGTTCATCCCAGTAAAAATGGTATTAATAGGTATTGATCCATAGCCATATGAATATGATAGATTCAATCCATACCCTTCCTGGATTCAACGGGGCGCACCTCTGGAAGCTTCTGCAGCGCCACTTTGAGGCGGCCCTGCACCACCAGAAGTGAGGTCTCTGTGCTGTGGGCACGTTGATGCCTTTTGAAATGAATGAGATCCGGTAATTTGTATAACATAGCTATGGAACATCACCATTCTTCGTAGGCAAATCATCCATAGATGGGCAATTATATAGAGACCGTCTGGTAACTATCTTAAATTTCCAAACGGTCTCTTTGAATCAAAGTTGGATCATTTACCATCCTAGGATACCCAAGAATCTAATGGTGTGGAACATGATTTTGCCCATTGAAATCAAATTGGGTATCCTCTTTTTTTGCATATATTGGCTGTACTCTATTCCCAATCAATATTCCATGAAATTCACATATTGAATCGTAAAACCAACCATACAGCTCCCCATGTTTTGGACCCATCACCATCCCCTCACCTCGTCTGGTTCGATCAAGGTCAAGTGGATGGAGGGATATGCCGCCAGCAGCGCTTGCGCCGATCGCCCCGTGCCCGCACCCAGATCTGCCACACGCAAGTCCTTCAGGGGCGGCAACGCATAGATCAACTCGCCTTAGGAGTCATGGCTTGGGCATTGGAAAGATGGATGGCTGGATGGATGGGTAGGTAGGATAGGATAGGATAGGATAGGATAGGATAGGACCGCATAGGATCGGATTCGATCGGATCCGATTGGATTGCATTAGGTGGAACTTGAGGCGTGGGTGCGCGTCAGTGGTTTTGAGACAAGTTGCGCGTCAATATCTTCAGGAGATTCTGTTCTGCAATCCATGCGAGGGTGGTGGCTTTTGACTGGGCTACCAATAAATGTGTAGCTCACTCTTATGGGATTAAGGTCGGCAGAGAATCGAAGATGTAATGTAGACCAACAAAAGCTGCGATTGTGACCAACAATCAATAATCAATGGGTAAACCTGTGAGCCTGTCTGAAAAGAGGCTACCCAAAACTCCACCATGGTTCTTATTGAAATTGCCATTTGGGCCCCCCCTTTTCAGACACACCAATGTTTCGCAGTCAGTTTTTGAAACCCCGATCCCCCGATCCTATGCCCGTCTGAGGTCCAAAAGTTCCGGTTACCCGAAAAAGCAGCCATTCTTTAGGATGGATAGTGATGATTAATCAATATGAATCATAGGATTTTGGGGTATCCGGGTATCACCTCCTCTGAGCCAAGGCCAGGTCGCGAAGTACATCTCGAGTCAGAGGTAATCGGCGTTCCATCTGCAGGTCATACCAGTCATCATCAGCCCAGAATCCAGATGGCGGGACGAAGAGAAGATTGCGCTTCCTAAGCAAAACAAATGGGAAAACCAAAGGTTTGGGTACCAGTATTTTAAGAAACCCCCATATAACCCCTAATAATCAGCACCAACTGCACCATCAAGAAAAAAAACATATCAAATGAGAGTGTATATCATCGAAGGAAGCTTGAAGGAGAACTTCCTACCTACGGCAACCAGAAGCGGGCAAGAGTAGAGAGAAGCAGAACTTATGGAGAAGGTAAGAGAAGCAAAGCTAGGCCGCGACCTGGTACCTAAAAAAAACGGCTCATCCGGGAACGCTCGGGTTTGTCATCCCCGTCATTTCGACCCTCTCACCATTCTGGTCATCTACACACTTCTTCACCTTTCCACAAGTGACTGACTATTCAGGAGAAGAATAGTGAAGTGTGCCACTACAGACTGCTACCAGCACTGAGTTGTACAATATTGTGTCTTTATTTAAAATATGCAAGTGGCAGGTGCATGTCCATTTCAACCATTTCATGATGCTCAAAGCCTCACCTCACTGTGAACCCAAGCAGCCAAGGATCCAAGACTCTTGGCACGCCAAGTTCGTCCTCCAGCGATGGGGCCGGCGCACGGCCCGGTGCCGTGGAAGAAAACCTTCAAACCAGTTGGTCAGCAGCATCCCAGTCACCCCAGCCACCCCGGCCACAGCCACAGCTCCCTGCATGGCGACAACTTTGTGAAGCACGATCTACGAGTTCCTGGTGGAGCTGGTGTTTTCCCAGAGTGCACCTGTCACTTGGCCAATTTCTTGGAATTTCTTGGATACTGACGATGTTACGAAGTCCAACCTCCAAAAGACTGCGATTGCCTCGATTCAAAGGTGTTTTTGTGACTTCCAGGCTCTTCTTTTTCATAGAGACCTTCCAATCTTGAGCCTTCAAGCCTTCGCAGAGCAAGTCTTTTCTACACTGCCAACTTGGGTACCCCGAAAAATGGCCCAGATGCCATGTCGTTTGGCATTTCCTGACGTTGATGTGTATCTTTCTCAAGGTTTTTCTGGGTGATGTCCCATTTAAGCCGATTCTTCGGATGGTGATTCTGATGTTCCCATCTCTCATGGGCAGTTCCCAGGCCCCTTCCAGAGCGAGCATCGCTTGGCCCTCCGCGATGGAATGCTGCTGCTGAGTTCCGTGGACTCGGACCTTGGTGACCAAGACAGGAGAATCATAGAGTCATGGCGGATTTGAATGTAGAAAACTGGTGAATTTATATGAATTTATGGGATCACCTGGTAAAAAAATGATGAAAAACATGATGTCATGGTGGATTTTGCGGTGGATCTTGTGAGGATTCATGGTGGTAGGTTCAATGGTGGATGAATGGTGAATTTCATGGTGAAATCCAATCGATTTCATTGGTGATGCATCTCATGGTGGATTGATTGATGGTGGATGACGGTTCAACTACTGGTTGACTTAGAGTTCATGGATTTAATATGATTGAATGATGTATCAACCATTGATTCAAGGTTCGATACTGGGGCATATTGATCATAATCATTCATCACAGTGATGAATCCCTCAACATGGTACGTAGTAGAAACCTCAAAATAGAAAAATGTGGTAAACGGTTTACCATGTGTTTTATTCTGAGGGTTTCCACTTCGTACCATTTTGAGCGATTCTAAACCCAATAATGAGCCTCCAGTATGTCTAGTAAAATTGGAAGTGGTTTAAAGGTGTTCAAATGTCTTGGGTTTACCATTTTTACTGGCCTCAGCCAAAGTGGTGCTGACAGTTGCTGAACAGCCTATTCTGCACGGCCTTTGAGATGACTTCGGCTGGAGATGACTTCGGCTGGAAAGTGTACAGGATACCCTGCTGTTCCCATGAAGTTTATGGGTGTCATCATGCGAATCATCCGTTTAAACCCGTTTGCCCTTGGTGGCCGGCTGTGATTCAGTTGACACAGTTGTGTTCTGGCAAGAGTTGGGATGATGTTGAGAAGGAGTGCAAGTACTATGAAAAACAAAATCAAAGAAAGAAAAATACATCACAGGCTAAGGCAGCTCCATAGTTGTACTGAAATTCTATTGAAGACCCTCTTCCTTCAGACCTCTACAAAATCCTTCCCTCAGAAGTCTTGACTGAGTATGGCATAGAGTACATAGCGTCGAGAAGTCCATTCACTATTTTAGGCGATTCATACCCACACGTGCCACTGCATGCAGAAGGCTTTGCAAGTTCCAAGCATGTATGAGAGTTTAACTGTCACAACCATAGAAGCAATTTGTGTGCCTTCCATAGTTCGCAGAGTTTTTGACAGCAATCCATCTGTTGAAACTGCTGATTCTCCGATGCCAGGTCGAATTGCACAGTACCCAACCCACAGTGTTATGCTCATCATTGTTCTCAAACTGAAATTTTACAGTCATGTTCGTGAGTCTATCTCAATCTTGCCTTTTGCCCCATTCATCTCTGGCTGTGCTGCTCAAGCCATCTTAAAGCATTATATTATATATATATAGTACAACATGATGGTAGTAATTATAGATATAGTTTAAATAATTTTAATACCAAAAAATGGGAGGTTATACCATTCAACAATCTTCAATAGATGATCCTATCGTATAATCAACAGAAACATTTAAGGATGCGCATCCAGCAGCGGCGCGCGGGGATCCTTGACCAGCAGGAAGGAGAAGAACAGCAGCACGATGCCAACGCCTGGACCTGAGACATGGTCACATGCTGTGGATGAAATCCTGCAACAATTGGTAAATATGAGGTGATATAATGTGATAAACCATCTACAACCATAATGTGATTTGGAAAATATTTATAACCGTAACCGCTTTAAAGAATGGGACTATAATGTGATGTTTACCATCTACCAACTGGTGCAAATGTTCACCCATCGGTAGGGATATTCTCCAAGTGATACAAGCAATTTCGAAAAAGTGGGGAGATGAACCAAGATTCCATGGGTCCAAAGTGAAACAACTGGTTGCTGGGTTCAAGCCACAGCAAACTCAACACATCATATACTGGTGGCCTTCGACAGCCAGGCAGTGGGATGATAAATCCTCATCCCTCGTCCCAAACCAAACTCCGCTTTGGTGTTGTAGCACATATGGGTGGAGCATATGGCAATGGGATCAAAAAACTTGGTACCCCGGTGAACATCGAGATAGCTGGTAACTGGATGTTCATCCCCGCAGATGTAATTGGTTTCAACACGTGCCCAACCTCACTGAGACTTCCAATCTATACTTCTACAGGGGCGGTGATGACGCTATTTCATGCAAAATTCATGCAACCAGAATAGGCAATATCTCTAACCACCATCAAATATTACAAATATATATATATACATATATATATATATACAAATGGATAGATAGGACAGCATCGGATCGAATCGGGGATGGGATGGGATAGGATTGGTAGATAGATAGGTTGATAGGTACATCATTTATACATACCGACCATCTATTTGGGGGAACCTATTCCAACCCAGCACAAGGCTTGCCATCCCTTGATTTCTCGGCCGCTGACCAAACAGCAGGGTGCGCAAGCCCACAGCATAATCACAGCCTGTGCCAAGGACTTTCTGGACACGGATCTTGCAATGCCTGATCAACAAATATTCAATCGAGGTTGCTCCTAACACCCCATATACAAAGGGGGGGGAACTGGGTGGATAAAGGGGTAAACATCTATCATATCATATTATATTTATATTTATATTATATTACATATCATATTATAATATAATATATGATTACAGAAAAAGTACTCACCCTTGTGGCTATCATTTGCAATGGCTTGGAGCAGCCATGTGGATTGTGGATGCCCCCACCTGCACTGCACGGGAGCACTTTCTCTGGAGGCTCGCAGCCAGCTATCCAACCAGGAATGAAGGCACCTCAGTTTCAATGACCAAATCTGTGGATAAAACCCATATTGGGGTACAGTCATACCCCCATTCAGTTGGGCTTTTCCAGACACAACATAGTTCATTGTTCATCCCAAGTTGGGGATTTTCTAAAAAAAAAACTGTTCCGTGGGGTACCAAAAATCATCCCATGGGGTACCTTTTAATTTGCGAAACCAATTGTTTTGGAGACCCCAACTTTAAGCAATCCTCGTGTATTGTTCATCCAGAGATCTGGTGGTTCACCATCAACAAAGATATCGACAAATTCGGGATGATGAACAACACGTTTGGTACGAGTATATGACTTGGTCTTCTGAAAATATCTGCAATCCGAAATTTGATGTTTGTCAGATTTTTTACCCACTAAAATTGCCATAAAACGTTGAGTTCCCCCCATGTTCAGGTCCCAGACCGAAAATCATATTGGTGGTTATATATCCCATTCTGTCCAGAGTCTTGGAACAAAAACTCCGCTTTTGAACTATGCCCATCCGAACTTCACACTATGTTTGGTCAGAAATCCATATAAATCCGTAGTAAATCCCAATTTTTGTTCTTTAAACTTACATACACCAAATAATAGCCACCATATATCCCTTCCCCCAACATCACATACTCTCATAAACCATGGGTTTAGCATGGGATAAGAACACATGGTTGCGACCATAAAATGTATCTAGGGGGTGGTCAATATTAGGGGAATCCCATCACATCCCCTATGAATGGTTGTTTTCCCCAAGTCAGATTAAGTTGGTTAGACATCCCATCATATCCCAATGTTTTATAGTTAAATCATGTTGAATCCCCATTTTCCATGGCTAAATCCCCATGAATTCGGCTGCTTCACCGTTCCAAGGGGCCACCAGCCATTCCCAGCAGATTGATGGGAAGCTGAGCCATGGCAGAGGCTAAGGCCCTCCTCCGACTTGGGACGGCAGAGAGCATGAGGCCAAAAGCCTTGGGCGTTTCCATAGATGGGGATACCCCAAAAAATGGGGGATGGCTTATAGTGGGAAATCCTATTAAGATGGATGATTTAGGGGTACCCTATTTTAGGAAACCTCCATATATACATATATACATATATATATGTATGTATATATATGTATATATATATGTATATATATATATGTATATATATATGTATATATATATGTATATATATGTGTATATATATATATGTATATGTGTATATATATGTATATATATATATATGTATATATATATGTATATGTATATATATATATGTATGTATATGTGTGTGTGTGCGCGTTAAATTGAAGAATAAGCATCATTGTACTTATGTGTATATGTATATGTGTATATATGTATACACTGGTATCTATTGATCTGTGATATTTTAATGTTTCTTGATTCACATACCAGCGGTATTTGTGATGATTATCTATAGACATATGTATATCTACCCTGGCTAATCGTTTAGATGTGGAAAACCAATGGTTTCCCTAGGAGTTAGTCATCTACAAATGGTGGAGTTTCCACATCTAGGTTGGTTTACAGTTGACTAATTGGTGATTTTAACCATCTTTAAAAAACTATGAAAGTCAATGGGAAGGAGTATCCCATATCTTATGGAAAATAAAAAATGTTTGAAACCACCAACCAGTATATATAGACAGTATATACATATGCACACTGTTTATCTATTGATCTATCTATATTTATTTGTGTATTTATTCATTGATTTGTGTATTCACTTATTCACCTGTATCTAAGGATTTGTGTGTGTGATTTGTTTATTTATGAATGTGTATGAATTTCATGATTTTTATCTACTTGTTTATGTGTTCGCATATCGTTCATCTATATATCCATGTATTTAGTTGCTTATTGATTCTGGAGCTATCAATTTATCTATTTACTCATCTATGTTTAGTGTGTTTATCTATTTACTTGTTTTTCTATGTATCTAGTTATTCACTCATGCATTAATATCCATATATATATATATATGATCATGCTATAGTATCACATATACAAATATTCACCTGATGGCTACGCATTAAGATTGGGTACCACAAACGGCTGGTCATTTAAGTGGTGTGCTGCATCATCATCCCCCACAGCCATAGCTTTGAACAGAATTTGGCACTTTCTACCAACAGATGTTGGATTTTTACAATCTTCAAACTTCAAACCATGGATTTGGGGACACAGATTTCATTCTCCAAAGCTAGCCAGCAGTCTATGGCTCAAGATGGAAACAGAGTTGGTTCATTGGGCATGCAGGTTAAGCGAGTTGAAAGTGGACTCAGAACCAACTCACCTCTCCAACTGGTGCCCAAATTGCTCATGGGGGAACGGCTGGCTCGGGTCGGAAAATCAGAGACCAATTTTGCTCATGGTTCATCACCTTATTCCCCACTACAAAACGTCAAGTATTGGGGGTCAATTCCCAATGATTGGGGAAGACCATTGCAACCCATAAATTTGAGCCCCATGCCCCAATTTTGGAACAAAACCAGTTCAATCTAGACACTCCAGGCATTAGAGCAGCGCCGGCCATGTTGAAAGCCTTGGTTTCGCCACGACGACTTTGTCGTGACAACATGGCCACATCAAGAAAAAAGAATGTGATATGTTGGACATTCACCAACCACAGGGATATTCATGAGGATATAATGAAATATACAGTCGTGGGAGAAACCAAAAAGTCCTTCGTGATTTTGCAGCATTCCATTTCACAGTCGTGTCCTTTTACAAGTCATTTACATTTCAGATACCCTCTGGTTAACTAACATAGCAATGGAAAATCACTATTTTTAATGGGAAAATCCACTATAAATGGCAATTTTCAATTGCTATGTTAGTTTACCAGAGGGTACATCCTCTCCAGGCAGGGGTGACAACCAAGACACCCAGAATCCGAGAACTGCCGGCCAGAACATTGGGCAGAAGCATGCGATAAGGCCGCAGCAATTGGCTACAGCAGCACCTGCCAGTAATCTGATGGCAATCTAAGAGATATGGAGGTTTCCTAAAATGGATCCCCAAAATCCATGGGATGCCATGGGTTTCAATATCAAAATGGTCTAATTTGGATGATTTCGGGGTACCCCCATTTTAGGAAAGCAAACCACATCATATCACACCTCTTGGATCCTGTCACTCTATGTCAAATCAAACTCCCAAGGTGGCTCCCCGAAACTTCAGCCGTTTTTCAAAATTTCCCATTGAAATTGCTACATATTCGGCCTTTCCCGGTTTCTGGACAAACCCAACTTCGATATAGTTAGCTATGTATGTATGTATGCATGCATGCATGCATGCATCCATCCATCCATCCATCCATCCAATGGATGGATGGATGGATGTATGTATGTATGTATGTATGTATGTATGTATGTATGTATGTATGTATGTATGTATGTATGTATGTATGTATGTATGTATGTATGTATATGTGTATATATATATATGTGTATATATATATATTTGTATATATATATACGTGTATGTATGTATATATATATGTATGTATATATGTATATATATGTATATATATGTGTATATATATATATATGTATATATATATATATCCCCATGAATATCTCAATAAATCTATGTGGCTCATTGTGTATATATATACATATATATATATACATATATATACATACATATATATATATACATACATATATATATATACATACATATATATATATAGGTAACCTAGGTACCAATGGACCTTCAAAATTGATCAAAGTTGACCTTTTTCAGCGTTGAGCCATCCAATCTTTGGATTGATTCGAATTCAACTGGTCATTTTTCAGTCATCCAATTTTGGGATTAACAAATTCCCAATCCCAAACAGGAACAACGGATTTGGGGTCATTGAATATGTGTGTTGTTGTTATTGCAGCCATTATCCCACAATCTTCACCCACCAACCCAGGGCACCAACGACCAGGAAGATCAAGGTGGCTCTGGGCGCTGTCTTGTGGCCACCCAGAGAGTCAACAACTGTTCCACCTGCGACCGACCAGGGCAGACAGGATCTGTGCTGATGTTTCACCCATTTGATTGTTGTGATCCACAACGGTCCACAACCATGACCAGTGAAAAGCGATTTTGTTTGCTTAACAGAATATCTAAAATTCTAAGTTAAGCCGTTTGATATATTTAACAAACTGAGGCCCAGATTCATTTCAAAGCTCAGCAAGAAACACTTCTAAGAAAGATAATCACATTGTGTGTGTGCATACATTATATAATATATATATATATATATTGACAATGTACACAACATATCCAGCTTATGTCAAGCATCACCACTATCACCACTGCCAACCTTTGCGCCATTCCCCCACACACTGCCCCACCGAGATAGACTCCAAAGGTGGGCGCCGTCAAAGTCGTCAGAGCTACCAAGGAGACCACCATCTTATGGACCCGTTCCGCTTCCTCGTCCGAGGCACAAGTACCTAGCGTCACCGGGCTCGGGGCCAAGTTGGGTACAAATGGATGCGGAGAACAGGTATATTGTGTGTGTAGATGAGTACAAGGTATCTATATAATATTTAGTAATTAATTTATATCGTATCTATATATGTGACACTATGGATATGTATAAATACATATATATATATACATTTATATAATCTACATTGTACATTTATAGAGGGGGAGGGAGAAGAGAGAGAGAGAGAGAAGAAAACAAGTGAGTTGGGTTTTGCACAAACACTAAATCCATCCAGCTCTTCGAAAGGAGTCTTCGGAAATGGTATGCAGGGCAGTATCAACATTTACAGGCACTGTCGAAGAACGGCAAAGTGTCCATGGAGTACATAGTATGATTGCTACAGATGAAGCAAGTCTATCTCGATATTTAGGTTTTACCTCATCTACGGTAGAGAGAAGTCCAGTTTCCACTGGAAACCCGTGGCCAGGAAGAGTCAGGCGCCAAGGTCACCCGATGTTTCCCTCCAGAGCTGTTCCATGTACGGCGTGGCCCAAAACTGCAAACCACCGGAGACGAAGAACAGCGAAGAGACACCTGGGACTTTGGTTCGTGCTGGGGAAAAACAAGGCTGGAGTATGCCACATGTTTGACCGCAACCAACCTTCAAAAGGATTGGAAAAGCTATGAATAGTGCTGACGCAGGTGCATAAAGCCAGCAATATGTACCTGGGCTTCGAGTTGGAGAAATGCTGATGCTGCAGGGGCACAAGCAGATGGACAAGCGCTGGACGACTAAAATGTGCCTAGACTTTGGAGAAATCTCGGCCACTAAAAACTGACTGGTAACATGCGACTCTCGTAACCATCTGGCTCACCATTTTTGGTAAATATCCAAAAAAAACGTGGGGATATCCCGGCCCAGCTATCAGCACTATCTGCCAAGTCGCAAAAGGAGGCTTTCTTCTATCACCTCCTCTACTGACGTGCGTGGTCGTAGTGGCCTCTGTGGCTCTTCACCGGCTTCAGCTTGAGGCGCCGGCACAGCGGCTTCACCGCCTTCCTGCTGGAACTGGTTTTCAGTGGATCCTTAAAGAAAAACATCAAACAGGGATCTGGATTTAGCCATTTGGGATGGTTATGATTATATGATGTTATATGATGGTTATATGATGGTTATATGATGTTCTAGATGTTGTTTTCATCTTGATATATCTTGATCCATACCATCTACAAAAACCGTTCAGTTCGTTTCTTTTTCCAGGCCACTTTTGAGCTGGGCCAGCTGCCACCAGGTCACATCCCCATCCCCGTCTCCTCGCCAGGTCCCATGAAGCTTCCACCAGGTGTGGAGATCAGGAACGACAGGCGCTGATTGGAGTTTCGACGACCGACTTCACCAAGAAAGGTTCTAGGCATCACGACCACACCCACCAGAGTGCCCGCAAACCTTCAGTGCCCATCCGAGGTTGATGTTCATTGTTCATGCTGGAAAAGGTGTAAAAAAACATCACCAAGAACAAGAGACACGCCAAGGCACCATACGAGGTTGATGTAGAAAACTGGAGACCAGTCGCCCCAATAGCCTGGCAGTCCGAACAGTGAATCCAAGGGGAGGGACATAGATATACAGTGAAGCTTCAGCGAGGTCCCCCTTGCCTGCCACTGTGTAGCCAATGACAAGTCCGATGAGGGAGCTCGCCTTGAAAATCTCTGCAGAAATCTCATGGTAGGAACAACTCGGTTCCATGCTGACTCCATGCTTCAGGCTTCTCACTGAAAGCTGGTCGGTACCATCAAAATCTTGGATCGCAAGAACAGAATTCCGGCTTTTTCCCAGTCGAATTGGCACTTGTCAAGTTGTGCTCTATCCATTCTCAGAGAAATTCCAGAAATGGTGTGAAAAATGGATGAAATTGTCATCAGCTTTGGAACATCTTTCACTGATTCATATGGCTGTGTCAATGGGGAGTACCCCCGTTCATGGCCAAATGGCCATGTGAGTGGGAAACATGAATGAAAATGATGATAAACCATGGATAAACCATGGATTTTAGGGATACCAAATGATAAACCATGGATAAATCATGATAAGCCATGGATAAATCATGATAAACCATGGATAAATCATGATAAACCATGGATAAACCTGATGGATTTTGCTAATTGTATGGCCTTCTGTTGATCTTTCATCCGAGTTACCTGCATGGCACCCAGCCACGAGGCCGCGGACTCTTTGGGCGCATACAAATCCACCCAGACGCTGCCATAAACGATGCCTCCGACGTGCCCTGCTAAGTTGGAAAGTACACACCCTGCCGGAAATAAACACATGTTTACTGGAAAAATGATCACCTGGAACGCTTTTTTGAGGTGAAACTTTAATGATTGGTTCAAATAGAGCAGAGAGCATTGTTTCACTACCCGAAAAACGACATAAAGGAATGTCGGCCCCAAGGCATGAACGGGGGTTCTGGGTTCTTGCGCGCACAAACCCTTCACCTAGGTTTGCTTGATCAACAGCTCCCTAAACTTGAGTTGTTGCCACCTGCTGCGAAGTCTACCAGCTACAACAATGGCCCAACCTGCATGGCAAAGCCCAGAAACGGTCCTGACAGCCCGGGCCTATGGCATCCCTCAACCAGGGCAGAGTTACTGTTGTGCCACTGGGCAGTTGAAAAATGAGTCTTGGATATGAAACATCAAGATGCATTAATTGGTTTCATGACTCATTTAAGAACCAAGCTTGGTCCAGAAAATCTATCTTGTGACCTGCATCGGTGGCATTGCCACTTGGCACCTGCTACTACAATGCTACTCAAAACATGATAATTGTTTTCCCCCAAATGCCATCGTTGGGTATGTCAGTCAACAAAAAAAAACGTGACCCAACGTCTCTGTCCTTGAGGCCAACATCAGCGTACGCAAGGTTGCTTCCGATTTCTGTACCAGGGGCAGAGTGGCTTGACTGTTGTTTCACACCACTTTGTAACAACCTACATACATGCATACACATACATATGTTTGTCTGATGTATGTGTATATATATATATCCACACACATACATATGTGTGTGTGCGCGAGTGATCATGAGTGTACATAACAGATGTATGCGTATATATGTACATTCATAGACCGCACATGCATATATATTTATATACAATATATAAATATATATGTACACATCGATATATGTAGAATCATATAGACATATTCACATCTCCCAAAAATTAGATGAAGTATAAAATGAAATGAACTCTACAGTTCATGGCTGCTATCATTTCTTCTGATCTAACGGCTCCAACCTTCAAAAAGTCAAAATGCTGGCACTGAAAGTCCTCGTGTGCCATTGGTGCCAGGGCCAGCATGAAGACTCCCAGCATATTGCCAATCTCGGGAGCGGGCATAGCAACTTTTCGAGCAATACCCTGTACATCTAAGATCCTTCAGGCTGGAATGTCCCATTGTCCCATTCATCGTTGATGCTCTCTTCACCAGTTGCGCACAGTGCCCTTCCTGCCGATAACACGAAAAATTAATTCACTCTTCTGTAAGATTCCGACCAAGCAAATCAGGAGGACATGTTTCACCTGCGGCTGAACGACAAAACTTGCCTAAAAAGCTTGGTCAGCTGCTATGTCAAGAAATAAAACAGGTATGCTGGCACGACCTGACGCCTTCCTATGCAAATGCTTTTTTTCAGCGCCATGTCTGCCATTGTTCAATCCTCCATGTCTGCCACTCCCTTCTGGTCAGATAAGAAAGCAGTGCCAAAAAAACAGGTGCCTGCCAACATCGTAGCAGCCAGGGAATCAGTGGAGATGCTAGGGGAAGGACGATATATTCCTTGGAGCATAGTCAAAAAAAAACCTGTCTGCTTCTGGCATTCCTGAAACTTCTACATGGATAATCTACCGACAAAAAGAAACATTCATTATTTGTTCCCGCTTAAACCTAAGCTTCATTGTTGGAAGGTGATATATCGATGCCGCTCAGATTCCTACTTAGCCTCCAGTTCAGGAGGCTGATTTTGGTGAAGTGGGGTATTCTGCTTGCTTCAAGAAATACCACCTCAACACCCTCACTCATTTTAAAAACGCTGCAAAATTCATCCATAATATCATAATCCGCGGAATTCCTTTGTTCACAAAGAAAAGGTTTTATGGTTTGGGCCAACATCTACGGTTTGGGCCAACATCTACGCTCTACATAGTCATGGAAGCAAACGTGATGGTTTAGGATGGGAACACCATCAACAATTTCCACCTGTTCAGAGAAGAAAGCAACGCCCCGAGCACTGTCCACCAAGCCACCATTGCATTGATGGTACCGACATCCTGTCCAACACCAAGGAAACAGCGAAGCCAGGAAGGGTGCAAGCACCAAAAGCTTCATGAAAACTCAACCATTGACAGTTTAAACAGTTTGTTGCTATGGTTTTTCAAATATTGGAAGAAAAAAAATGCATCCAGTAGACTTGGAGCTGGGATGTTTTTCTTGCTCCTATTTTGAGAACATGAAAGCAGCACCCGTCCCTCCAGGTCCCTCCAGGTTTCTCGAGGTCCCTCTAGGTCCTTCGTTGTGAGCTGCAGGTCTTTCGTCAAGTAATTTTCGAACGCAGCCAAGGCGCCTGGCCACGAGGCACCGACGGGGCCACATGGGCCATCTTGGGGCTGGGGGGCCCGGCGCCTGAGTCAAACTGCGCGCAGGCAGAAAAGCCGGTGAACAGCAGCAAGTACTTCAAAGGCGTTTCCATGGCCGGCATGCCAAAAATTCGGACCTTCTTGGCCCAACAACGTCCAACGATGAGTCTCGCGTGTCCAACGTGTCATGGTACAACGTCCTGATCTGTGCGTGTGTGTGTACTGTACATACAGCTATCGGTTCCATTGATATACATGTTACATGAACTTCACAGAAATGGAACATGAAACGAAAGCCAATTCCAGCAGTTCTGTGCTTCGCGGATGAAAGAACCTTGGATGGTCGCAAAATGACCTTGAACAACATGGCAGAGGAGGGATCAAAAAGCAGTGGCTGCTGGATCTGACATAGGTGCTCCCACCCACACAAGGTTGCAAAAGAGTGCCCAAAACTTTGACACAAAAAGCTGGAAAGATCATTACATCAATTGTTGGATGTTGACTGACAGAAGGACTATTGTTGATAGCCCCTCCAAGGCAAGCAAGTTTTCCAGAACAGATGTGGCATGTCACAATACAACCGGCTTTGTAAAAAATCGTAAACCCCAACCCCGTGAAACACTCTTACCTGGGCCACTAAGCACAAACAAAAACATGACATTCCCAGGATACCTCGGCTACCGCAGCAGAAAACATGCGGGTACCCAGCAGTTTGTCTCAAAATAGGGTAGCCATGGGTAGCCTATGATCCACTGGTTTATCATCAAATTTCGCGTTCATATCCATTAAATTCCATTCATATCCATTCATATCCATTAGTCACCCCATAAATTCCACAAGCCCAGCACCGCCCAGCGGACGTTTTGCCCTTCAGCGTTTCAAGGCTGCGGAGATGTTGTCCAGCTTCCTGGCGAAGCGAAATGAACATGCTGCTGTTTCAAAGGACATGGATATGTGTTGTATAAATATGTGTGTATATATATATATGTATTATACATATGTAAATATGTAAGTAAGTATTGGATACCTAGTGATGTACATATATGTATCTTTGCAAATCTCTCTGAATCTGGGAGAAGTCTGCGGTTTTCACTCATGGTGTGGCATGTTGTGATGCATGACACATATTGTGACGCTGACGCTTTGGAAGATGTTTGGCACGCTGTTGTGGCAACCTACTTTCATCCATGGGCTGTGGTCCTGGATACAAGTGGTAGCACATTTGAGAAAAAAGTGGCAGCCCAGGCACCCTGAGATGTTGTCCAGCTTTTCGGCCAAAACCTGTTCAGATAGACAACACAGTGGTCCAGTGGTCCAGGTCTGTTCCAGTTACTCAGTTGGTGTTTAGGGCAATCCCAAAACTCATTGACTCTAAGAAACAATGACTTGGAGCTGTTCTCTGTTTTTATCTGGCTGCCCCCACCTTTTGTGGCCCTGTGAGCGGACAATCGTCAGAGCACCGGCCCCAAGCAGATCTGTCCTGAAAGGCTGCAGGTCAGCTGTGCCCCAATGGCATGGTTTCTAGTGGTTCCTCCAGTTTTATATTGGCCTTATGTTATGAACCACTAATGACCGATATAAAACTGGATGACCATAAGACCGAAACAGCAACATCAGCCACAAATGACCAGGTCTGACAATTTCGGGAAGCCCTCAAACCCCATGGACGTTCATCATCTCCGTTCATCGAGGACTCCTTGGATGTCCAGCACCAACCATTCGGCCCAAAGTCGCCGCCCTGAGATGGAAAAAAAAACGTGTTTTCTCAATGAGAAATGGGTTGTTACTGAAGAAATGTGTTTTTTTTTCAAATGAAAAACGGATCGACCTACCATTTCTGCAGCTTAGGGGGCTTTGTTTGAATGACTTTGCATGTCTTCAAGCCCACTTTTGCGTCTGTTCATGTGTCAAACACCTCGAACAAGAATGATCGGTCGAAAAGAGTGACAAAGTTGCTGGACTGGGTCAACTTTTGTCAAAAATGATAGTCACCTGACAAATGGATTGGCAAAAATACCAACAATGACCCTGTTTTTTTGGGTCCATTGCTACCCCACCTGCTCGATGCAATGGTAGCCTTCGTCCAGCGTATCAACCTCGGTCAGAAGATATCATGGCTTTGTCGTCCTTTTCCAGGTGAACTTTGCCAGTTTTTCTTGCTATGAAGCCATATGAGCCATGGTCAATACTCACTATATGGTTGATGGTCATCCCATCCATAATAAGGATCCTTATAATGGTTATCATAAATCCCTATGAACCATTGGATGACTAGCCCCTATTAATGGTTATTAACCATGAGTATTGACCATAGCTCATATAGTCATTGGAGCCCCATTGGCCACCGCAATATCTGAAAGATTTAAAAAAAAATGCGCCTGCACTGAAAGCCAACATGAAATCCACTCATTCCCAGTCTCCAACGATTCTTGCAAAAGAAATCAAGCAATTTCACCAATCTTCAGGGTTTCAAATCCCCCAAAATAAGGCCAAAAACCTCGAGAGTTAGTACCCAATAGTTGGCCCACTGATCTCGAGTGTACTGCTGTAGTACTCTGAATCCTGACACCCCCCCCAAACCCCAACAGCCCAGCAGCCCCGAAGACACAGTGGGATCCAGCAGCTGCAACTTTGGTGAACCTGACACCAATGCTGAGATAAGATGTCTTGATTCTCCGGTCGAAAAATCACCAGCATTCTCAACCATCCAGTGATGCTTCCAGCCAAAGATTCATTGTTTCGGGGGGGCTACCCAGCCAGAATGGGACTTTCTTGGCACCGGACCAAGAGTCTGCCTCGATGAGAAGGGGGGCGTGTTGGTTGGAGGCTGGGGAAGTAAAACTCATCAAGCAGATGGCCATAAAACTCGTAGCATCAACGGCGAAATACCATCATTAATGTGGTGGGGATATCAAACAAAATTGGTACACTATTTACAGCAACAAAAATGGGTACAAGGAAGCCATCCTGTTTTTAGACACCCCGCGTTCACATTTACCCAAGTGCAAGCCATGAGCGATCTCCAAATGCTGAACAACGCTCTAGTGATCTCTAGTGGAGATTTTCCTCTGCGAAGCACGCTATGTGCAAATGGTCTGTACTGCAATGGTCTTGGAAAAGAAGCCATGCAAGTCTAGGATCTGTGCCTTTTGCACTCATCTACCCTTTGTCTTCGGAGGCTTCGCCTTTGGCTTCACCGCCATCTCTTGCTTCTCCTTCTCCTGTTTTTTCTTCCACGCGACTGCCACCTTGAAAGAGCGCTCCAGCTCCGCCTCCGAGTGGTCCTTGGGCTTCACCCTGAACATTCCATGGGCTCCACCAACTTGGCATTGGGCATGCCATTGTTGCTCTCGCACGCTCCACTTCACCCCCGGGTATGGCACCTTGGCGCGGAACACCGGCAAGTTTGCCAGTGTAGGCACAGGCTTCACCTGGAGCTGCAGGCCATGCTTCTCCCGAAGCTCACGAGCCTTGGCCTCAGCCGCTGCCTTCTCGGTGAAGAAGCCGCCAGAAATTCGTTTCCTTTTGTTCGTGTACAACAGCACCTTCCACCTTTTCTCCTTCTTTCCCCATGAGACACCAAGCACTTCGCTGGTGAACTCGGGGTCCTTCAGCCTGGGCTCTCTAAGGATGCCCTTCTCCACCAGCTCTGCGCGGAAGATTTTTGCGACCTCAAGAGCTGCTGCATCGGCCTCGGCCTCACTGCGCCCTTGGACCATGAACTTCTTCACAGCAAATCCTCGTGAAGTCCAGCTGATAAATTCGCCTTTGGAATCAACTTTCGGAAAGTTGACCTTCCATGCGAAGTTTGTGCAATTCCACCTGATATTCGGCACCCCACTTTGCTTTGCCAGCCAGTATCTCCTCAACTGAGCTGGCTGCTGCTCCACCGCAAGCAGCAAGGGGTGCTCAGCAGCTGGCATTACGACTTCGGCTTCTTTGGTCTCTTCGCCTCTTGGCGTCGCCTCCTCATTCGGCACTCCTGCAGATTCGAAGACGTCCAAACCTTGCGTGTCATGGCTGCCGTCTGCGGATGAGAGCATCATTTCCTGCGGAGCACCTGTTTCATTCTTGACCTTCACGCTATCAGCAACTTCCTTCTTTTCAAAACTTGGCTCTTCTGCCGTCACACTCTCTTGCCTGTCGCAGCCGGCCAGGCGGCGGATGTGATTCTCCATGTCCTCAGTCTGCCTCATCAACTGCATCCAGAGATCATTCATCTCTATCTTCGACATCCTGTTCTCTGGTCTTTGGGGACCGACCTCATGCTCCGCGCTTCTTTCCTTCTTGACCTTCACACCATCTGCAGGCGTTGCGCGGCACGTCAGGCGGCGGCGCTTGGCAGCACCGGATGCCTCGAAGGACTCCATGGCTCGGGTGGGAAGATTCGGGTTCCCAGGTCAGCCTTTCTGTATCGCCTGGGCTGCTTGTATGCACGCAGAGCCCAAAATGGAAGCGGCCAGACACAACTTGTACATCGAAAATTTGCTGTCAGCATCTCCAAATGCGGACTTTCAGACAGTCAATTCAGGTCACATTGGTCCTCAGAATCCTGTGTAATTGGGACACTGGGGGCACGACTTCGGTCTTCACGGTGAAACACGTTTTGCTTTTTGTCACTTCATCTGCGGACGTGTTGCCTCGTCGAGGCTGAAAGGGAAGGATTGACAAGCATGTCGCACGTTGGACTAGGAAAGCAAAACACTCTGTAGGACAAAGTGTGAAGGAGAAAAGAAACAAAACCTGTGAGCATCGGGCGAGATGGACGTCTAGAAATACGATATCTAAATATATATTTATATAATAATATGTGTATATAATGTATATAATTATATACATATATAACTGCCATTGCGTTTTCATGCATCGAGATCAAGCCCATTTCAATGTTATTCTTCCACTTCTATCACCAGTCAACACAACAGCCTTCAAGCTGTCTCCAGTTCCTGGGGAAGAATCAAGGAGTCCGAGAGCTCAAACCACCGGGTGGCCCCGATTCTACGCACCTGCATCATCCGACCTAGTTCAAAACAGCGGGAAGGGCCGCTGCATTGCCTAGGGGCCTAGCCCTAAATTGGAGACTCTGGTGGCCATGGATGAAGGCATCCTGCACCAACTACATGACCACATGGATGCGAACATCTTGCATCATATCATATCTTGCATCATCAGACATTATGTTTTTGGAGAATGAATTGGACGTCCCAAGTATTGCATGATGATCGTCGTCGTCGTCTTCTTCGTCGTCGTCGTCCTCATCATCATCATCATCAACATCATCATCATCATCATCATCAGCATCAGCATCATCATCATCATCATCATCATCATCTCATTGTCATCGTCATCACAAGACTAGACCCAACAAAAAGTACACCCTGGGCATGCATAGGCAATTGGATCAGATTGGATGGACCTAGCAAGTTTCTTTCACATTATGGCTCCTCTTCTTCTCCTGAGCCTCTAACTTCTTCGCTGAGTGATTTCCATCCTTGGTGTTTTGCAAAGAGCGCCCGGAATGCGGCGGAGCAATGCAAACCAAACAGGTAGCGTGAACTATGACAATTGTCATAGGGATTCATAGGGATCTACCCTCTGGTAAACTAACATAGCTATGGAAAATTACCATCTTTAATGGGTAAATCAACTATAAATGGCCATTTTCAATAGCTACGTTAAATTACCAGAGGGTATGTAACATTCTCACAAGGGAAGCCATGATTGAGAATCAAAAAAGCAAAATTGCGAAATTGCGAAAGTCAAGAATTCCACCTGCCACATGCCCCACCTCTTGTTACTGTGCCCACCCGACACCATGAGATTTGGCGGGTTTATGCTGGTGCTCAGGATCAGGGACCGTGTTCGCCAAAAACTGCCACCAAGGCGCCCAAAGCTTCTCGGCCATGCCTCTGGATGCACAGGTATTCAAGAAGGTATCTAGTCGCTAAACTTGTCACTGGTCATTTTCAGGACTTTCCAGCACGTTCATTTCTTTGCTAAGCCGTCACTGTGTAAGGCATGATGCTAAGGAGAGAACGCTCTCCGGGCAATGGTAAATTTGGTAAATCGGTAAATTGGTAAATTTCGCCGCTCTTCGGGCCATGGTAAATTGGGTAAATCGGTAAAGTGGAAAATTTTGCTGTGTCCGGGCAAAGGTAAATTCGGTAAATCGGTAAATCTGTAAATTCTAATCTCGTAGTATCATGGTATAACTTTACTTACGAATTTGCCGTTTTACGGTTTTACCGCCTCTTCCTCCTCACGCTCCAGTACATTGATACATTAACGCCTTTACGCATTTACCATTTTACAACAATGCACTGGCACTTATCCCCTTGAAATTGGGAAATTACAAGTTTGCTTAGCGCACCAAATTTACCAATTTACAGTTTTACGGGTTTACGGTAAATTTTGTTTACGGTAAATTTTGCAAATTTACCAAATTTACGGCTTTACGCTCCGAGAGCCGCACGCTCAGATCGTAAATTTACGAATTTACCGTTTTACGGGGCGTTTCTCGGGAACAATGGAATTTACCATTTTACGGTTTTACCGTTTTACGGCGTGCCTTGGCAAAAGACGTGCCTTAGACCCACGCCTTCCACACAGACCCCACAGTTTCTTTGGTTCTATCTCAGCGCTTTTTTCAACTGCAAAAAGTGTTCCCTGCCTTTTGTGCTATTCCAAGCTTCTTTGGTGCCATTCCAAGCTTCTTGACCGACCTGCAAAAAGCAGGGACGATTAATGTGAGGCATTTCCATAAATGTGGATATCCCAAAATGGATGGTTTATAATGGAAAATCCTATTAAAATGGATGATTTGGAGGTACCCCCATTTTAGGAAACCTTCATATGCTGATCTTTGGATTCTTTGTAGTTAACGAACTCTATTGGGACTAGCAACCCCTCCTCAGACCACTCCAAGCTGCTGCACCTCTGAAACTGCATGGGCAACCTCAAACTCGCGAAAGACGTACCAACGGAAAGTCCAAATTTCCAAAACACCTCTTATGAGGCAAGATGATTTGGGTAAGATGATAGGAAATTCGCCACTCCAATCAATTCATTTGGCACCGGATATTATATGTACCATACCTGCAGTTTCAGTCCGAGTCTCTGAAGCAGTGGCATTCCTGGGCGGCAAAGCTCCCGGAGCTTCAAAAACCCTCGGAAGTTCCATTAGTTAATCATTAGTTGCAGCCATAGTTTGTTAGAAAACTACCTATCGTTGTGCCCTGACCATGGATCCAACCTGATCCAACTTCTGCAACTGGGGTCCCAGTACCATTGCCACCCAGTTTTGAATTTTCAATGCCAGGTATCTCTACTTTCTGCCACGCTTTGCCTATCCAAGTGCCATGACCTCAGCCCAGGGATGGCATGTGAACCACAACCGAAAGCTGCCAGAATCCGGTTTACCTGCTGACAACCTGGCCATGTGGCCATGAAGTAGTTCCAAAATGTTCCAAACTCAGTCTTCTTTTTTCCCGGCAAACTTGGCTGTCTTTCAGCCAAGGGACTGCTTTCATTGTGGCTCTGGTTGCTCTTGTTGCTTTTCACTGGTTCCTGCCGCTCCCAGGCGACCATTTACATCCTGTCGATATACCACAAAGGTATCACATCCAAAAAAAGGATTGCAACCATCCTCATTAATACCCTCTCCTGTGTCATTGTCTGAAAATGTCTGAAAATCTGCTAACGCAGATTAAAATCTCAGAAATTTCATGGTTGATCTATGTTGGTCACCAGTTTCCCAACTGAATGACCATCAATTGGGGGGGTTGCCCTCTGGTAATTTAACATAGCATAACATAGCTATATATTAAAAACATTGCCATTGAAATAGTGAGTTTTCCCATTAAAAATGCTGATTGTCCATAGGTTTTTGTATGTTTACCAGGCCTACCAGGCCGGGTAATCCTCCCAACAAAGTGCATGGGGTGAACTCAGGTCCTCCTCAACCCCGTGGATCGACCTCATTGGATCTTTAACAAAGGGAACGAATCTGCAAAGAACCCTGGGTTTTTCCCGGAAAAAACATGGGTTTTTCCCTGAAAAACCCTGGTTTTTCCCGGAAAAACCCTGGTTTTTCCCGGAAAAAACATGGTTTTTCCCGGAAAAAAACCTGGTTTTTCCCTCAAAAACCCTGGTTTTTCCCTGTAAAAACATGGTTTTTCCCTGAAAAACCTTGGTTTTTCCCGGAAAATATGGAGGTTTCCTGTACCCTCTGGTAGTTTAACGTAGCTATTGAAAATGACCATAGAAATAGTGGATTTTCCCATTGAAAATGGTGATTTTCCATAGTTATGTTAGTTTACCAGAGGGTAAATTGTCCCATCCAGTTCTAGGCAAACACGGAACTGAACTCAGCTCAGTACTCGTTGGCGGTTAAGTGATGACGCGTCTGAACCATGGCTAAACTCCTGGCGCGACAGGTTCCTTCACCATGCGGACCATCCAGAAGAGTAGTCCTCACTGACCTGGAACTCAAATTCCATCATGTACAACTAGGCCCAAGAGGAACAAATGGTGAATTTCCAGTCTTTTTCAATTGAAAAAATAGGATTCCCCCACAGCCATGGTTACCACAACAGCTGAAGCTTCGCTCCTCGAGGTTTTGCTCATTGCCTCGCACCCCTCCTGTGAAACCAAGGAAGGTCGTGCAGGAAACCAAAGGTCTTATCAGTCTTACCAAAGTCCGCATCTCCTATCATTGTATCAAGTCTTAGAGTCTTACCAACAAAAAAACATCACTTCAACCTATTCTAAGAAGTTGTTGTAATTGACAGCACCACGTCTTGGATCAGAAAGGCGGTCTACCATGTGTGTCTAGCACGAGATGCAAGACAGCCAGAACATACAGTAGAGTAATTTATTAGCCAGGATTTATTAGTCAAGGGTTGACATTACATCCTCAACCCAGTTACGTGTATATTGATTTGATCTGTTTTTGTTGAAAAGTTAGAGAGAAAAACAGATGATACTTCATATTATATACCATATATAACAGTTATGCAGCTATGCCTATATCTCTCCCAAAAAATAATGATGGTTCATCATCAATTTTCCTGTGAAAATAGCCATAACTGGCAGATCTCTGTTAGTTGGCCGCTCCTCTGCAGTGGCAAGCCCGGCAAACAGCATCAGCAGTGGGTGCATGACCTCAGAAAGATTACCATTTTCCTAGGATAAACTCGAGGTGGAAAATCTACCAAAAAAATCGATGATTTTCCTAGAAAAACCATAGGTTTTCCACATCTACTGTAGCTTACCCTAGGGTAAGATTTTGGCTACGGGTTAGTTCACTCTGGTTGAACCCCTTAGTTCACATCAAAATTGCTCCCTTAAAAAAGGCATTGTAGGTATTGATCCATAGCCATATGCCCATAGTCACGTCATTCCATAGTATGGGTCATTGTAACCCCATTTACATCTGCTTCATGCAATCCAACTTCAGTTTTTGCTGCTTTCTATTGCATGCTGTGGATACTGTAAACCCCAAGACTAAAATGGCAGAAGTTCTGGGGCAGATCACATTGTTGTTTGCGTGAGTTCAAAAAAAGCCGGCATCTATGCACTCAATGTCTCAATGTTCAGTGCGGTATCAACAAAAAGGAAGGGAAAAAAAAATAAGATGAACCCAAAGAAGTACTCGAGTCTTGCACATTTGCAAGCACCTAGTGACATTCCAAGTATTCCCAAATCTCTGTTGGTGCGTTCCGAGGTCCCCGACGCTGCGGTGCATTTGTTTGAGCTTCGATGCCTTTAACGATTTCGAAAGGATTTTTCAAAAAACTATCAGAAGCATCAGCGAAGACATCTTCCAAATGGGGAAAGAATAACAGCAGCGGCATAACTCGTCCCGCCTGAGAAAAACCGTGGAGGCTGACGGTATACTCAGCTGCCAACACTGGACTTCCTTGAATTGAATCTGTCGAGGTTGCCAAACTGTTTGTCAAGGCCAAATATCTGCCTGAAATGCCAGTTGTCCAACTGCGACTAGATATGAGAAACAACTGTTTGAACACAAGAGTTTCGTCACATCCACAACCACCCTCTGATTTGTTCCTTGGTTGTTCCTTGGTTCCGTGGTTGGCAGCTGCCCGCGAAACGGGTAAGGTGGAAAATAGCGGGGCAAGCTGCCAAAGCCGCCTCTCGAGCCCATGGCGGACGGATCGACATCTCCACAGGATATAGTGGAGATATACCCAACACATTGATATGGTCTGACAATTTAAGGGAAGACCCCAAAATCCCATAGTTTATCATAATTGTCCGTATCACAATGGACATTTGGGGGTTAGACTCTAACGGTTAGACCTATTTTCAGACACGTCCATATATGAGAAGAAATGATACTGTAATTAAAATGATGTTCTCATGATAACGCGCACAGCCTGGAATGCTGCATGTCCATCAAAGTGCACATCTTTCCTTCAATATCTCAAAATGACTACGTGCACACTACCTTATACACAAGGCTGGAGCCAGTAGCGGCTTTGCTGCCACCAGTACCATCCCAACTTTCAACAATGATTGTCACGCTTTAAGCGTGCTTCAAACTTGCAATATATAAACATACTGCGCAAATCAGAGGCTGTTTCACCTCCCATCTGCATACAATCTGAGATCACTTCTCAGACAGAAAACGCAGAGGTGTTGCACTGGCCTTGAGATGCTGAGCTGTAGGATCTGACAAAAAAAAGGTCGTAAATTGTCGAGCAGGAACCAAGGATATGAAAAAGAACTAAGTAAACGCATTTAAAATGATCTAGAAAATCTAGAAATTCTGAGTTGATCTACTGAAATCTACTGAAAACCATCTCCTTTTTGATGCCTCATGGACATTGGTTTCGCTGTTGGCAATCCGGATAATAAAAACCACTGGATGTCCATCTGATGGCTCAACCTCTGTGTCTTCCACACGTCGCCGACTCAATCGCTGGCCCCTTTGGCATCATGGACCGTTGCCACTGTCCTGTCTGGCCACAAAGCCGTGAGGAGAGAGAAGGATCATGAATGATCATGGATTGCGAGAAGGATCATGAATGATTCATATGGAGGGTTGTCAAAGTGCAAATCTGTGAAAGCAGCATTTTGCGTTGATTCTTTTTCGGCGTGTCGTTTGTTTAGTCAGAGTATTAGAAGCGTCTTGGGCGCAAAAAGATGCGGTTGGGACCAGATTGTCTATGAACTTGCATGATTCCTTACTGTATCTCCAAGTTAGGTAGCATGTGGGTCAAGCTTCCTTCTTGAGAATGTTGTTTCCGCATGTTTTTGTTGTGTTGACTTCAGTCCTTTTTTGTGTTTTCCTCATTTTGCTCTTGAAAATTCCGTCGCACCTCCACTTTTAGCTCGGCCAAGATCCCTTCAACGCCTGCAAAGACACTGTGGCAACCCCTTGGTCCCTTGGTCACAACCAAAAAACGCGTCATCCTTTCAACGATCCCTGAATCACACTCGGAAAATCCTTACAATGATTCCACGGTGGAAAGTTCTGGTGAATTTGGTGGATAGGTTGTGACCCGCTTCGCGCTGCGCCTTGATCCTGACACTGGGTCCCCCGGCAGTCTGAGTTGACCGTTCTGGCAGAATCCAGTGAGAACCTTGCAAGGTGTCAGAGCAGAAGATGTTGGCAGTTTCTTCGTTTCTTCCATCTGAGAAGTCTGAGAAAATCCAGTCCAACCTGGCCACCAAGTGCTCGAGCAGGATTAGCGTTCCCGCTTTCATCTTCTTCTTCTTCTTCTTCTTCGTCGTCGTCGTCATCATCATCATCACCACCATACATGCCGCTGTTTGCATTCTCATTATATAATTTGAAAGAGGTTGATAGGACTCTGCTGTTTGACGGAAAAGAAGATGCAACTTCAGTTCAATTCGTGATGAATCATTAGTGACCATCGGAATGAGGGGACAACATCCGTAACAACCAGCTACTTCGGTTTTCAAAGCCAGGTAACCCGTTGGGTTTTGACCCATCCTGTGGTGCATGAAACCATGAAACCCACAAAGCATCCTGAAATTCACGGAATCTTAGGTCCCCTACGGATGGCCACTCCCGACCTCAGGCGACCCGGTCACCCTCCTGGGGGTGAAAACCAACTTGAATGTTGGTGGCATCGGAAAAACCCAGCTCTGTAAGAATCAAAGGTTTTCCAATGGTTTCGATAGGTTTCGGTCTTTCGGTCAGTGAATAGGTCCAGCAAAGTCTGGTTCCACCTGTTTTCGGCCACAACCTGTCGCTCCAGATCACCAGGGTGGCCCGGCCGGCCCGGCCGGACTGGGGATTGGAAGGCTATTAACCTCATTGCAGCAATGTCAGTTGAAGATATGCCGATTCAACCGTCATGATATACTTCTATGCCATCCATGCCATCAATGTATACCTTCGCTATCCATCATTTGCTACATTAAAAAAAAAAACAAGTGTCTCTGTACCAGAAGTATCAAGGGACTGCATCCGAAAGGTGTCAGTCAAATCCCCATGGTCACGCACAGCAGCGCACTGGTGATAAGAATCGAAGAGTGCTTTGCAAGTTGTTTCTCTTTGTTATTCTCAAAAGTCAAGGGTTCTATACCAACCTGAGCATCCCAACATTCAAACATGATATTGAATGATTGGTATTTACGATCCTTGCAACACGTCTCCCGAGATATACGAACACTCGTGGGTTTCCTGGTTTTGTTGGGTTGACTAAGATCAAACCATTTCCAGTAGATGTTCTGGGACCAATTGAATTTGGAATACATCCCTAAGTATATGGATGGGATGTGACGAGCAAATAACCCATATTTGGGATTTTTGTTGGGTTTCCATAAATATCATAAATGGGGGTACCCATTTATCGTCATTTATCGCTTTTTAAGGGAAAATCCCATCTTTTTTTACGGATGGAATCCATAGGGGTAGCCCTTTCTGACTCAGGAAACCTCCAGAAATATCCTGCTGGGAACGTCACAGGAGCTCCACTTCCAGGTCCAGTGTCGAGACCTGGTGAGATGCCAGACCACCAGCGGAATTTTTTTAGGCGCCAGAAATGGTGAACTAATGGACTGATTCATGGGAAAATGGTCAACTAATAGTTCTACAACTAGTCAACTAATAGTTCTTCAACCAATAGTTCAACTAATGGTTCTACAACTAATACTTCTAACTTTCGGATTTGATGCTTTCAAACTCACCCTCAGAAATCCTCGAGCCTGGTACGCTTCTCCCCACCTGTCGCTCCCAGATGACTCAGGCCACAACACCAAGGAGGTTTCCATAAATGGGGGTACCCCAATAGCTGGATGGTTTATAATGGAATATACCAAAATAAAATGGATGATTTGAGGGTACCCCTGTGGATTGGAAACCTCTAGCTTAAGAAAACAATTCCTGAGCTGGCACAAACCCCTCAAAACAAGGCACCATTTCAGTCAGTTGTGGTGCTGGATCAAAATGTTCCCATTCATGGGGAATAGAATGACTGACTCCCCAATATTTTGGGGTGTATACCATGGTGTACTGTACCCCATTTTATGGGCAAAACCCACATGTCTCATAAGCTGGACCGATGGGCAAAGCTGCTCCAACCCACAGAGTCCCAATCCTGCATGTGGGGAAACCATATATGTTTGAAACCACCGAGTTACGTCTTGTCGTTCGTATTTCCATTGGTTGATGTCCCAATTTCTCTCAGATCATACTCCCACTTCAGCAAATGTTTGCTTCTCGTTAACAAAATCATTTAAAATCCCAGGTCTTTAAAGTCACATCTCACTCTTGCTAGCGAACTCCCATCTTCTGGCTTGTAAAATCCCCATTCAAGAAAAAAAACATTGTTATAGTAACTCCCCCAAAAAAAAATGAAAATGTGATTTATCACTGGTTCAGTAGGATTTCGTTTTTCTGTCCTTTTTGGGGTTGCTATAAACCAACGCCACTGGACCAAAGTCTTCACACCTCTAAACGTTCCTCCACGGTGGCCAGGTGATTGCTGCTTTCCTGGTAACTTGGTGGAACCAAAAAAGGGGGCAGAAAACCTTTAAACTGCAAACAAACTAAGCGGATATGATATCGTGGAAATATATATATATACCTGTGGCCAAGGGCATATGTAATGTAATGTAATGTAATGTAACTTAATGTAACGTAATGTAATGCAATCTAATCTAATGTAATGTAATGTAATGCAATGTAATGTAATGTGTATGTATGTGCATATGTATGTGCATATGTATGTGCATATGTATGTGCATATGTATGTGCATATGTATGTGCATATGTATGTGCATATGTATGTGCATATGTATGTGCATATGTATGTGCATATGTATGTGCATATGTATGTGCATAAGTATGTGCAGATGTATGTGCATATCTATATGCATATGTATGTGTATATGTATGTGTAAATGTATGTGCATATGTATGTGTATATGTATGTGTATATGTATGCGTATATGTATGTGTATGTGTATGTGTACATGTATGTGTATATGTAAGTGTATATGTATGTGTGTATGTATGTGTATGTATGTGTATATGCATGTGTACATGTATGTGTACATGTTTGTGTACATGTTTGTATATATGTATGTGTATATGTGTATGTATGTATATGCATGTGTACATGTATGTGTACATGTTTGTGTACATGTTTGTATATATGTATGTGTATATGTGTATGTATGTATGTATGTATGTATGTATTCATGTATGTATTCATGTATGTATTCATGTATGTATTCATGTATGTATTCATGTATGTATTCATGTATGTATTAATGTATGTATTAATGTAATGTAATGTAATGTAATGCAAGTATGTATGTATGTATGTATGTATGAATGAATGAATGAATGAATGAATGAATGTAAGTAAATGTATGTATGTCAATGTATGTATAAGTATGTATATGTATGTATGTAATGTATATGTAATGTATATGTAATGTATATGTAATGTATATGTAATGTATGTAATGTATGCAATGTATGCAATGTATGTATGTATGTATGTATGCATGCATGCATGCACGCATGTATGCATGCATGCATGCATGCATGTATGTATGTAATGTATATGTAATATTTGTAATGTATGTAATGTATGTAATGTATGTAATGTATGTAATGCATGTAATGTATATAATGTATGTAATGTATGCAGTGTATGCAGTGTATGTAATGTATGTAATGTATGTAATGTATGTAATGTATATGTATGTATATGTATGTATATGTATGCATATGTATGTATATGTATGTATATGTATGTATATGTATGTATATGTATGTATATGTATGTATATGTATGTATATGTATGTATATGTATGTATATGTATGTATATGTATGTATATGTATGTATGGTATGTAGTGTAGTGTAGTGTAGTGTAATGTAATGTAATGTAATGCAATGCAATGCAATGCAATGTCTGTCTGTCTGTCTGTGTGTCTGTCTGTGTGTCTGTCTCTGTGTCTGTCTGTGTGTGTGTGTGTCTGTGCGTGTGTCTGTGCGTGTGTCTGTGCGTGTGTCTGTGCGTGTGTCTGTGCGTGTGTCTGTCCGTGTCTGTCTGTCTGTCTGTCTGTCTGTCTGTCTGTACGTACGTACGTATGTATGTATGTATGCGTTGATGTCTGGGGTGTATGGGATGTATGGGATGCATGGCATTGATGCAGAAATCGAGGTATGTTTGTGTACATGCCTGCTCGTCACTCTATGGGGTATCATATACTACGTGGCCAGGACCGTGCAGCCGGACCCTGTGTGGGGGGTTGAGGGGGGTTCATGGTACCATGTTAATGCGCTACTTAGGGTCACGTGCGTTGGTGTAGCTTTGCCTGACGTAGGCTTGGTGCTAGCGCGTTTCACCGGATCGACATCCCCTCCCCCCTGTGGTGGTTTGGGGGGTTGGGTGGGTACATGGAATGTAGTGTGTGCATAAAATATACATGGAGAATTTATACAATACGCGATAGAGTACGTGCAGTTTATATACAGTGTATCCAGAGTATATAGACAGTACGTACATAATATGTTGTATAGGTGAACAGTATGTACTATTTAAGGTCAGATGTAGTTCTACGGTAGTGTATAGTATACAGGGAAGTATGTAGTATATAGTAAGCATGTTAGTGTGCTACTTTGCGTCACGTGCGTTGGTGTAGCTTTGCCTGGCGTAGGCTTGGTGCTAGCGCGTTTCACCGGATCGACATCCCCTCCCCCCTGTGGTGGTTGGGGGGTTGGGGGGATACATGGAATGTAGTGTGTGCATAAAATATACATGGAGAATTTATACAATACGCGATAGAGTACGTGCAGTTTATATACAGTGTATCCAGAGTATATAGACAGTACGTACATAATATGTTGTATAGGTGAACAGTATGTACTATTTAAGGTCAGATGTAGTTCTACGGTAGTGTATAGTATACAGGGAAGTATGTAGTATATAGTAAGCATGTTAGTGTGCTACTTTGCGTCACGTGCGTTGGTGTAGCTTTGCCTGGCGTAGGCTTGGTGCTAGCGCGTTTCACCGGATCGACATCCCCTCCCCCCTGTGGTGGTTGGGGGGTTGGGTGGGTACATGGAATGTAGTGTGTGCATAAAATATACATGGCGAATTTATACAATACGCGATAGAGTACGTGCAGTTTATATACAGTGTATCCAGAGTATATAGACAGTACGTACATAATATGTTGTATAGGTGAAAAGTATGTACTATTTAAGGTCAGATGTAGTTCTACGGTAGTGTATAGTATACAGGGAAGTATGTAGTATATAGTAAGCATGTTAGTGTGCTACTTTGCGTCACGTGCGTTGGTGTAGCTTTGCCTGGCGTAGGCTTGGTGCTAGCGCGTTTCACCGGATCGACATCCCCTCCCCCCTGTAGTGGTTGGGGGGGTTGGGTGGGTACATGGAATGTAGTGTGTGCATAAAATCCGCCCACACCGCTTTGGCGGTGAAGGCGTGCTTATTGGGGGGCAACAGCAACACTAAATGCTCAATGACATTTGTTAATATAGCAGTCGCTATATCAGCTTTAGCTGGGGGGGGGGCCCAAAAACGGTTTCGCACCGAGACCAGAATACGGTGGTGTTTTCGACATTTTTCGAGGATTTTTGGGTGTCTGAGCGCAAGAGGGTATTGAAATGGAATTTTGGGTCATTTTGGTAGCTTTCCGGCAATGGAAAAACGGCCAAAAATGAAATTACTTTACTTCGTGTGATCCCCACCATGACATTTACACATTTTGTTACTCGCAAATCTTCTGGCATTCTATCTGACATATCCTCTGGCATTCTATTTGGCATATCTTCTGGCATATGTTCTGGCATATCTTCTGGCATTCTATCTGGCAAATCTTCTGGCATTCTATCTGGCATATCTTCTGGCATTCTATCTGGCAAATCTTCTGGCATTCTATCTGGCATATCTTCTGGCATTCTATCTTGCAAATCTTCTGGCATTCTATCTGGCATTCTATCTGGCATATCTTCTGGCATATGTTCTGGCATATGTTCTGGCATTCTATCTGGCATTCTATCTGGCATATCTCCTGGCATATGTTCTGGCATATGTTCTGGCATATCTTCTGGCATTCTATCTGGCATATCTTCTGGCATATGTTCTGGCATATCTTCTGGCATTCTTTCTGGCGTAAATTCTGGCATTCTATCTGACTGACATATCTTGTGGCATTCTATCTGGCATATCTTCTGGCATATGTTCTGGTGTATCTTCTGGCATATGTTCTGGTATATCGTCTGGCATTCTATCTAGCAAATCCTCTGGCATATGTTCTGGCAAACATTCTGGCACTTTATCTGGCATATCTTCTGGCATTCTATCTGGCATTCTATCTGGCATATCTTCTGGCATTCTATCTGGAATATCTTCTGGCATATCTTCTGGCATTCTATCTTGCAAATCTTCTGGCATTCTATCTGGCATATCTTCTGGCATTCTATCTGACATTTCTTCTGCACATTCTTTGTCCCATATTTTCCTACATGAGGTCCGGCAGGGAACACTTGGCGTGGATACTCGCGGTTGAGGTCCGGCAGGGAACACTGGGCGTGGATGGTCGTGGTTGAGGTCCGGCAGGGAACACTGGGCGGGGATGGTCGTGGTTGAGGTCCGGTAGGGAACACTGGGCGTGGATGGTCGTGGTTGAGGTCCGGCAGGGAACACTGGGCGTGGATGGTCGTGGTTGAGGTCCGACAGAGAACACTGTGCGTGGTTGAGCAGGAGGAGGAGGAGAGGAGGAGGAGGAGGACGAGGCAGGAGGAGGCAACTGACATAAAATCTAACAACCCTCACCTGGCAGGTGGGGAAAAAACATTGTACATAGCAAGATTTTGCAGGGTTTTTGGATGCCAGAGCATTGAAAACATTGCAAAAACAAGTGTTTTGGACTGACGTTATAGCAAAAAACGTGTAAATTACCGTATGCTTGACTGGAAACATTACAAAAACACTGTCAAAAGCAATGTTTTGGAAGGATTTACTGCCTTTATGGCAAAAAACGTGTAAATTACCGTCTGTTTGACTGGAAACATTGGAAAAACACTGTCAAAAACAATGTTTTGGAAGGATTTCTTATATATATGTTGGAGTTGGCTACCGGCATTGGCACATGGAAAAATTGAAGAAAACACTGTAAATAGCGGTATTTTCAACGGTTGGGGAGATAAGGGAATTGGAAGCATTGTCGAACATGATGTTTTCGACCGGTTTTATGGCGACAAAAGTGTAAAGTACCGTGCTTTGAAGGAAACCATTGCAAAAACATGGAAACACATTCAAAGAACACGGGATTTGGGGGACTATCTAGGCGTCGTTGTCTAGCTATTTGAAATTCCGCAGCTTGGAGAGCCTCCAAGGGAGGGAAAAGTGAAAATTCCATAGCTTGGGAAGCTGTCACGGCGGGGAAAAGTGAAAATTCCCTAGCTTGGGAAGCCCCCACGGGGGGGAAAAGTGAAAATTCCCTAGCTTGGGGAGCCCCCACGGGGGGAAAAGTGAAAATTCCCTAGCTTGGGGAGCCCCCACGGGGGGAAAAGTGAAAATTCCCTAGCTTGGGGAGCCCCCACGGGGGGGAAAAGTGAAAATTCCTAGCTTGGGGAGCCCCCACAAAAGGGAAAAGTGAAAATTCCCTAGCTTGGGGAGCCCCCGGGGGGGGGAAAAGTGAAAATTCCCTAGCTTGGGGAGCCCCCACGGGGGGGAAAAATGAAAATTCCCTAGCTTGGGGAGCCCCCACGGGGGGGAAAAGTGAAAATTCCCTAGCTTGGACGGGGGGGAAAAGTGAAAATTCCCTAGCTTGGGGAGCCCCCACAGGGGAAAACCACCCTTAGCCCCTCTCACGGACCGAAATAAACCTGCGGTGTGGGCGGCCACCCCACGCGAAGCGGGGTGAATATACATGGAGAATTTATACAATACGCGATAGAGTACGTGCAGTTTATATACAGTGTATCCAGAGTATATAGACAGTATGTACATAATATGTTGTATAGGTGAACAGTATGTACTATTTAAGGTCAGATGTAGTTCTACGGTAGTGTATAGTATACAGGGAAGTATGTAGTATATAGTAAGCATGTTAGTGTGCTACTTTGCGTCACGTGCGTTGGTGTAGCTTTGCCTGGCATAGGCTTGGTGCTAGCGCGTTTCACCGGATCGACAGCGCGTTTCACCGGATCGACATCCCCTCCCCCCTGTGGTGGTTGGGGGGGTTGTGCTCTCACTCACATAGTGTAGGATAGAATAGTAGCCCCGCGGAGAAGAGTGTATGGATGTAAAGAGGCAATAGGGAAGGAGACTCGCCACTGGACGTGCGGCACGGGGGGTGGGGGGGAGGACCATACCATGGGGGGTCTGGGAACCGGGCTCATATATATATATATACATACATACATACATACATGCATACATGCATACATGCATACATGCATACATGCATACATGCATGCAGACATACATACATACATACATACATACAGACAGACAGACAGACATACAGACATACAGACATACAGACATACAGACATACAGACATTGACATACATACATTGACATACATACATTTACATACATACATTGACATACATACATTGACATACATACACTGACATACATACATAGACATACAGACAGACATACATACATACATACATATTTATATATATATATAAATATATTACGCGCAAACCCCCCAGTTCGCCCGCACAACTGTTAAGGAGATTTTGAAGGGAGTGTTAAAATTTAACATATATAAAGGGAACATTCAGCATGTTTAAACAGAGTTTCTAGGGAATCAAAAAATTTCCACCCCCGTCAAACTTTATATTCAAAGGTAATATTCAACATGTTTCAACAGAGTTCCTAAGGAATCATCAAAACCGCACCCCCGTTGAACTTTATATTCATGGGAAATTTCAAGGAGTTTAGGGTGTATGGTTGATGTTTTGATGTTGTTGATGTTGTTGATGTTGTTGATGTTGTTGTTGGTGAAGATGAAGATGAAGATGATGATGATGATGATGGTGATGGTGATGATGATGATGATGACGATGATGATGATGATGATGATGATGCTGATGATGATGATGAAGATGGTGATGATGATGATGATGATGACGATGATGATGATAATGATGGTGCTGATGCTGATGATGATGGTGATGATGATGATGATGATGATGACGATGATGATGATGATGATGATGCTGATGCTGATGATGATGGTGATGATGATGATGATGTTCTAACATTCAACGCACAGGTAGCCTAAGCTGTGCGTTGCGAGTGAAAGCCAAGATCACGGACATGTGCATTTTGTCCAACAAAACACAGTGTTTTTTGATCTTCGGGGACGTCGTCGACGTAGGCGCGGGCAAACTGGGGGGTTTGCCCGTACATGTTGTAAATTTTTATATATATATACCCAACAACATGATCTTTGGTGGACCTGAAAAATGGGCTATACCGGCATACCCCAAAATGGCATCTTTAGAAGGGAAAATGACGACAAAATTCGGGAAAAATGGGGGTACCCTATTTTCGGCCTGCACGGCCAAACCCAAAAGTGGTGTTTAAAAGAAAAGTCGATGTCTGAAACACCAAGAAAGGGATCGATTCTTCAATTTTCGAAAGAAGTCCCTTGCGCGAAAAATGCTGGTGATGCCTCTTCGCAGACTGATGCGAGAGCTGTGGATTGAATGACCTTAGCTGCACAAGCACCACAGAAAATCTGGCTAAACACCTTTCCTCCACCCGTTTTGCCGGTTGCTGATCCACCCGAAGACCCTCATGGTACCGCCCTTAAAACCCAAGGCCATTCCAATTTGTTGCGAGTCATTTCAGCTGGTGTGAGGCACATCTCTGAGGGAAGGACCACATGTCCCATCTCCGAAACATCCGACATAGCACCTGCAGCACGGATTGGCATGGCACATCATGGGCACCTGGACCCCCCATTGTTTCACCATGCACACTTTGTCTTTAAAGAAAAAATGCGGAGAAAAACCACAGTCCAAGGGATTATCATCCATATTATTCGATCATTTTCTCAGAAAAAATTGCCATCTGTGGTATCCCCTCATTTTGGATATTTAAACTTTTAACCATCAAAAGACATTAAAGCCTGGTAAACCCCCTTGCCATGACCATGGATAGCATCTGGGCGGCCCCACTCTCACTTTCAGCACTATGTCTGCTGTCGCGGCGGCTGTCTTTGCTGATCCTCCGCGAATCCTGCTGTCGCATCTGACCCGTTGGAGTGATGAGTTGACCATGAGCTTTCTGATATTTCTTCCTCATGTTTCAGGTCTCGACCATGCACAAAGCCGCAAAAAAAGGAAATACATTGGACCTCTGCAACTTTTGACTTTTGCTTCCCTATGCCGCCAGTCAACTCTACAGCAACCATGGCCACCACCGAATCGGTGGAATATCAATACGTTCCTCTTCGGGTCTGCAATCTCCACAATGACGAAAAGGGGTACATCCATGGACGTCCAGGGAAAAAATGGCAGGAAACCCGGAAACCATGGTCTGTTTCCTGCAATTTTTAGGGGGGTTCCTGTAGACGTTCCCATCATCCAATCAATTTCTTTGGCCCTCTGGTCACCTCGCCTTGCTGATGCCACGCACCAGTGACGGAGAAAGGCAATCCTGGCGATGTGGAGCTGAAAATAGGGATGTAAAACCCCAATATATGGCATTTTAATAAGTAAGGGAAATATGGGGAAATGATCATAAACCATGGAAGTCGAGAAGCGTAGTCGGGGGTACCTCATTTTCAGACAAACCCAATTGTTTCCTTTGATGGAAAGGTTTTAGTGAGTTGTCAGGTCGCCCCCTCATCCGCTGTGAGACATTCACAAAAACAATCCAAAACTTCATGATGCTCCCATAAACATCGCCCGGAGTTTGCCGCTCTGTGCTAAGACATCATGAGTAGATGTCCGTGTCAAATCAAGTGGTACGCATCAGGAGTTTTGGACCAGTCATATCGGCTTTGTCACGCCCCTCACTGTTAACCGTCACAGCGGCAGTGGTAACAGCAAATTGCAGGGAAAAACGAACAGTTGCAGAAAATTGCAACCCACCCAAATTTGCAAAATAAAATGCATCGATGGTTTAGCTGTAGCTGTAGTAACTGTAGTACACTGAATGCTTCCAGGGTTGCCGACTTCCAATGATTCAATTTCATTTTAGAAAAAATGCCGAGGTCCGAAGAAACTACAAAGGCGCGCTGGAGAAAAACTAGATAGAGCCGCTGGTTGTGGCAGCGACTTCTTCATGATTCAACTTCAAGCATGCAACGATGCAAGTCGTTAATCTTACAGTTCTGAATGGCAAGTGTTTGCTGATAGAAGCAACTCAATGGGCATCTATTTCTCTCCGACCATTATCACAAAGAAAAAACATGGATAGGATTAACTTGTTCTACTTGGGGTGATCTCCACCAACTGACATATCCTGACAAATACAAATAACAACAAGTGCCATTGGATTAGTCAAAAATGGGACTGGGTCCAGTCAGCGCAGCATCTTGATCAACATGCCCAAAATGAACAGAGCGGTCCATTTTAGGATGTTCATCTACCAGTTCTTGGTGACTTTGATCAGTGACTCACACAGCAATAGCCACCACCAGTCGACCTCCCCACAAACCATGCCAGTTACCACAGACACATCACTGAAGCCACCTCAGAAAGGGCTGCGATCCGTGGTGCAGTTGGTGCTATAAATGGTTACACAACCATCGTTTTCGGTGGTTATATCCCAACCCATGCAGCTTCTAGTCATGGTTATACCCATGGCACCAGCAAATCCTCTGAAGGGTCCAAGAGGCTGCTCACGCTGGGCTGGCTTTGTGTCCGTTGCATACCTCGTTTGTTGCACACATGTTGTTTGATCAACCGGTTAAAACCAGGACCCGGTCTCAGATTCGAACACATTTCTGGATGAAATACATAAGTAATGTGGTAAACCCAATAAGCCATTCTCAAAGTTGGAGGTTTGTTGTTGGGTTTGCCACGTTACCAGTCTACACATCTAAATGCACATATGGTTGCACGCGCACCATGCTGCCACTGAACGAACCCAGTGTGCATAGGAGCGCCGATGGTTGGACAAGTCTCTGCTGCTGGTGCAGCTCTCGCAAGCGCTTCTGCGCTTCCAGCTGCCGTATTTGGCCCATCTGGCGCAGAAGTTCTTGGTTCAAGGAACCATGCAGGTCCCATCCCAGGCGCTTTGCCAGGGGACATTCTGGAGCGGGTAGCACTCGGACATCAGCAAAGGCGCTACAATCCCACAGAACATGCAAACAGCCAGGAACTTCATTGGCCCCGCAGTATGGGCAAATGTCAATGGGCGGCAGCACAGCTCGAAGTCTTTCAAAATTCAAAGCAAGGAGTCATCATGCCACCACATGCTACGGCAAGTTCATGCGCCGACACATCACGAAGACTCTTCCGGAGACCTTCGAGTTGATCCAAAGAAAGGGCAAAGCTGTTGTCCTTAGCCACTTTGGAGTCAATGCGGCTCTTGGAGAGCCATTTGGTCAGGCGCAATTGTCGCCAAGACATGCGCAGATCGCGCAAACGGGCGTCCACAACGTTCATGGGGACACCAAAGTCACATCTTCGCACCCCTTCCTGGAAGCCTGAAGTTGTAGCTGTCCAGCCAAGCGGCCGCAGCTGAGCCGCAAGAGCCCTGACAAAGGTCGGGGACCATTGTACCTGGAACCCCGTCTTGGATCGAAAGTGGTGCCACAAGAATGACGCCCGCAAGGTCCTCTGAAGAGAATAGAAACCCAAATCACTGGTGTGGCCAAAGCCAAAAATCTTTTTGAGCTCCGGGCAAGCACGTCCTTTTGGAAAATTTTTGGTTTTGGTGGACAAGTTGTAGAAATTGAAAAAGGACTTGCATTCCGACTGGCTAGGGAACCGGCCACAAATCCATTGTCCCCATCCGGCCATAGGAGTCAGGACGGTGGCAGCAAGCCGGCTTTTAAGTTTCAATCCGTCTAGATTTCTGCACAGCAGCAGCTTGACGCTGGGACTCCAACTGGCTAAGCTCCCGGCCCTCGCCGCCAAGCGTGGCTCCAAGAACCTGCATAGCGTCACTGGCCTGAAAACCGGCCTGCAGCATGGCTGTCAAAGCTTCAGGTGTGCAACCCAAAACTGAGATTTAGCATGGTTTGTCTTTAGGCGGAGCATGCGTTCCACCATCTGCCAACTGGACATGAAATAATGCAGCGCATGCAAATCACCATGTAAATGGTCTGATGGATATGCGGGTTTTCCTGCGTCATCTTTCTGGCTGGCCCTGCAAGAAGCAAGCCCATGCAGAAGGGGCTCCAAGGGTCCCCTTGTAACAAAGAATGAACATTTTGGATTTTCCGAGGATCGACATGTGCCCCAAAAGTGACCCATCTTTGTTGTTGCGCCCAAGCGCTTTCAAGAGCCCTGACGACAGGCGCTGGCACCCTTGCACGGGTTAAGAGCGGGACCGTGATCTGCCAATCGACAGATTCAAAAGCTTTAGCAAAATCCAAAGAGGCTCCAAAAGGATGAGACTCGGGAGTCGTTTCCTGTGTCAGAGAAAGCAACAAAGTTTCCGAGCCAACGCCGGGTTGACACCCAAGTTGGAGAGGAGCTAAAGCATGGGTCAGTTGCTGAGACAGCTGCTGGAAACGAAGCTTGCTCCAAGCTCTATACAAAAGAGCTCCGACCGAAATGGGACGAATTTTTCCCTTGGGTACCAACAGAACCTTGAGATTGCTCCTTTGGTAAAAATGTTATGCGCCAGTGGCACAAAGCCTGGGGCCAACAACCTCAATTTTCGACCAATTGGAAAATTTCCAAGAGGCGCTTCCAACATTCTTCCGGCAGGAGCAGAAAAGCTGAGGCGTCCCAGCCATCAGTGCCTGCCGCTTTGTGTCTCATGCTGGACACACAACTTTGCAAAGCAGGGACCGTTAAGTCGGGCAACCTAAGTGGAGGCAAGGTGGGGGAATCCACTCATCAAATTCCAGAAAAAAGGTTTGGATGGGTGGAGAATACGCAGCAGGTCCTGTGAAAAGTTCTTCCCAAGTATCTCGAAGGTGCGCTGCTCCTGCAGCCCTCCCTGTGCTGAGCCTGTTGGGACTTTCAAGTGTCCAAGGCGGTGCTTTTTGCCGCAACCACCGACAAGCTCCCTGATATGACACAACAGAATGGCGCCAATTGTTCAAAGCATCTTTCGGGTAGAATGTCTGCCGTTCTTGCTGATGACTGGTCAAGGCTTCCTGAACAGCATTCGCAACAGCCATGTCATCTCTTTTGTGTTTCTTGCAATCAGCCAGGGTGGCTTCCAGGATGGACAACAAAGAGGTGTCACTGCAACAATCTTGAGCTGTAGCTTTCTGTCTCTTGGGTGCACGCTGAGAATGCATCCACTGATTTAACGTGTTTTGTAGCACATCGGCCAGGTTGCCCTGTTGCTGTTGGTGTTCTCTTCGCTTCTTTGTAGCAAATGAACCCGCCCCACCATGTCCACCGGACAGGCGTGTCCACACGGCAGCATGGTTGTAAACATGGATCTGGTTTCTCTTACAATCAACTTTGGGCTTGAGTCGAGCCTTCCAACAACGCTGTGCATAGCGCCGCATTCTTGTCTTAGCTGCTTTGACCCTTCTTGCAAAGTCTGGCTGGGTACAAGCAGCATTTGTTAGCATGTGGCTTTACTGTGGGGAACAGGCGACGGCGTCGCAATCTCTTGTGGCTTTTCTGTTTTCGTTTCTTAGTCTTTGACAAGCTAGCGAAAATCCCTTGGATTCCACCGACATAGCAAAGAACGGCAACATAAAACCAAAGGTTCGTGTTCAACCATTGATATGTTCTTTCAGCATCCAGTGAGCAGATGTGCAAAAAACTTTCTTGGGTTTCAGGCCAATCAAGACTGCTTATGTGGGAAGTGCCCACACAGTCTAAATGCACCAGTTCAACAGAAGTGCCTCAAGCTACACGATATACACGATAATTCTGAGCATTTCTGAGCTGCAAACGTGGAAAGGTAGGGCTTGCCGGACCATCTCCCTGAAGGCGTTGTGGCAGTATCCCGCAACATCATCCAGGCCCCAACAGGCCATATCAACAGGCCGGTGAGCCCCCTGACCGCCCTGACCTGATCCGAGGATGCAAAGGAGCTCCGCCTCACTGAGCCCTGGCGCGCGTCTGGGAGAAAGTTGGATCTGGAAATCCACGAACTTTTTATGGAGATTGATAGCTGGGGAAATGCTTCGAACTCAATGAGTTTCCCAATCTGAAAGTTCTCGTTTTCACAGCTGAGTCATTCTAAGTATCTGGGTGGTTTTTGGTACTGATGGACTCCTTCCAGGTCTGATGGAAACCAATCCAATCCTGTAGAATGTTCAAAACCTCTGTTGCTTGATGAGTAGTTCGGGTTTTGTTTGCACCCAATACATATATATATATAACATACATACATACATAATGGGGATTGTCTCCATTTCTGGGAAATCCACATTAACCAACCCGTTGAGGAACCTGTTGAAACCATGAACTCGAATCACCAGCCTGGTCAGACTCGGCACCTCTTCTCGCAATGCCCTGCCAGGTATGTCATCATGGCCGCCAAAAAAAAAACACACCACCGCCCAAAGCCCAAGGGCCCAAGGTTCCGCGCCCTCAGCTTGAGCAAATTCTTTTGAAACGTCATGGGCAGAGTCCTTAGACGTCATGAAATGTCATGAAATCCATTTGCAACAAGGTAACTAGTAACCAGCTGCCGGAAGAACCAAAAGGACGAGTTGCAATCCACTTTTCATGGCAGACGTTGGCGACAGAATGGCCTGGCATCCAAGGGTTTGATTGCAAGTTCCACCTTGGCGTTTGTCTGAAAATGGGGGATTTAATTACGCTCAATTTGTGGCCAGTTTACGGGGAAAATGTAACCATCAAAATTTGGGGTGACATACCCATGGGAAATCGCCTAAGGAACACATCGTGTACCCTATCGTCTGGGTCTGCATGAGTTCATCCCCGGCCTCCGCCTGCTCCTCGAAAACGAAGCCTCAGAGAACATCAAGGGACTACAAGGGGTTGCTCTTTCTTCATTCTCATCCTCATCATCATCATCTTCTTCTTCATCATCATCATCACCATCTTCTTTATCATCACCGTTCATCACAATGGTCATATATTGTCGTCGTCGTCATCATCATCATCGTCATCACTGTCATGGTGTCAGCATGTTGTAAAGTCAGCAGCTGTGGCCACCACGATGCAAAGACCATTGATGCGTGGTTTGATTTTAGATATGGTCGACTTAAATGGAGATGGACCGAGCTGGAAGTCGGAAACTACACCCCAGACCCCAAACAGTTTCTGCAGCGTCTGTGCACTGGCAATTTTTGATCCATGTCAAGTGAGCACAGCATGAATCACAAGCAACATTTTCTCATGCCACGGGGTTTCGATTTTTTGGGATGCCATGTGTATCCTATCTGAGACAATAAGGGGGAGACAAGGGTGGGAAACAAGTGGTGAAATGCAAAAAAAAAATGTGGAACATGATTTTATCTTCAAACAACAAGAAGACGCAAAGGGATTGAAAGAACAGAGACAAACACGAAACACAAATAAAAACATGATGAAGACATATGATTGGTGAGAGACAACTGATGGAAGACACGCAAATGCGAACAGGCGAAAGAGCCGGACACCACCACAAATCCAAACTGATGATTGGAAACAAGTCAAAAAGGGAGACAGATAAATGGGAGACACCTTGCGAGAGACACATGATGAGAGACAAGTGAAAGCAAAAAAAGATACATCCGAGAGCCGGACACCACTAGGCAAAGCAGGAGACAAATGAAGGGAGACAAGTAAAAAGACATCCAAAGAGACTGACACCACCAGCCAGACTGGGAAACAGAGGAAGGGAGACAAGTGAAGACAGCAGACTGGGAGACAAATGAAGAGAGACAAGTGAAGAGAAACATCCAAAGAGCCGGACACCCCCACCTGGAAAGAGGCGGACACCTCTTAAGAGAGAATTGAGAACCCCAACAGTAAACTGTTTGGGAAACAATCCTTTTATCTATATCTTTGTCTCTATCTCTATCTATCTTTCTACCTACCTAGCTAGCTAGGTATCTATCCATCTATCTACCTACCTAGCTATCTATCTTTCTAATCTGAATCTAATCTAATCTAATCTAATCTCATCTCATCTCATCTCATCTCATCTATCTATCTATCTATCTATCTGATCAAACAATCCCTTCTTCCTTAACTTTCTCAGCTTGGATCACGACTGCGCCACTCGTTCCTTTTGCTGCTCCGCGAGTTCAGAGGCCTCGAAGGGTGGCAACTGTAGTGGATCTCAGGCTTGAAAGTTCAGAGACTGCTTTTCAGAGACTGCTTGCAGATTCATTCGAAATTCATCAAACGATCCCTTTCACATGAGAGCTGTGGACGAATTCATCAGTTGTCACAATGATTTTGGCATCCTAAGTTTGCTCAGGTTTCATACAGATTTTGTTTTTGTGATTAGTGACTCCAACCCAAGAAAGTTGATCTGTCAATAGCTAGCCATCTTCCATCCCTGTTTTGAGATCTTTGCGTCACTACCCATCAGAGCTGTTGACGCTTGACTTTACCAGGATCGCTCGTCCATAATCTGAGGCTCGCACTTAGTACCTTTCAAAGGAGGAGCCGTGACAAATCCAAGAACTATGCCGCAAGATGTCGGAAATCAGTTACAAGCTATCACCCAGTCTTGAGAATAAGAAGCCAAAAAATAGCTGAATCAGCAACTGCAACTGTTCCCCCGGGAACATTCAGCTTCACACCTTGCGACACTTCTCCACCAAAACTGGGATCCTTCGATGCGCATCTTACCACACCAGACACAAATGTCCCAGAAAAAGTCGCGTGAAAATTGAAAGGTGAAACCCATGTTCGAGAACATAGTATTGGTAGTTTTTCAGCAGCACAACATGTCACAGGTCATGACACTGATTTTGTCACGACGCTCGTTCGCAGACATGGATCCAAGCCCAGTAATGATAATCCCCTCCCATCTCTCCTGGAACAAGGGCTTCCATCGCTCCGGCTTGCAATTTGGACACTTACTGCAGGGCCAAGGAGCATGGTAAGGCAGGTAAAAGGCAGGTAGCAAGTAGCAAGCTACATGGATTGCCTGCAAAGGTTGGAAGAAAGGTAAAGGGAGTGCTGCTGCCATGAAACAAGCGCGCCTTGGGCACTCTCAGCACTCTCTATACATGTACCCAGGGGTAATGTGCAATGAAGATGACTTCTTAGTATTAAAAAAAAACAGAAAACGTCAAATTCCAGAACGGGCCGCCCTCATGCTAACGCACATTGACTTTGGTAGCTGAGGCTACCCTGTGATTTTGTTGTTTGGAGGATTTGAACCATCGAAAATCATCGCCTCTCCAGAAATGGATCAACAAATCCCAGCTCTCCTTTGCACGCTTGTTCGGGTGGATGGCTTTCGGTGGCCTGCCAACAAGACTAAACAACTGGCAGTGAAAGAGGCCTTTGTTGCTTGAAAAATAGCGTTGGGTTGATTTGGAAATGATGAACTTTAAGACTTCCCAGCAAAGCCTAAAACATTACACTGAAATGTGTGCGCTCACTTTGGTTGCAGTTATAATATATTCATATATCGAACTTGGAAACCCTATTCACCCATGCATTGCGGGATTGAAACGGACTGCTGCCAAATCAGGACTTGATCATCTTTAGCCACAATACCCGACAAAATGGAATGTAAAATCGTGGATATAGCAATAGGCTTAAGCGCTCGCCGCATGCGCTGATGCCAGCAAACGCTGGCAACTCTCAAATCCTGTGACTCAAAGCGTGCAAAGCTACATGTTGTTCTTGCTTGAGAAGAAACAAAAATTACAACAGGATTGGGTTGCACTATTTTTTTTACTATGTAAATCCCTATCATTCCTGGTGCCCAAAAAATGGTATCCCCACAGTCTTCCCCCTGCCTTCATCCTCTCCCTTGGAGCGTCTCAAAAACCTGAGCGGCACATTTTATGGTCATCCATCCCATAAACCTTAGGGAAACCTAACATATATGCTGAAAACCCAGTGTTTCCAGAGGAAAAGATCTACCCATCGTGGTTTCCACATCTATATTAGTTCGCAGGAGGGTATATGGAGATAATATCGAAAAATATGCATGGATACAATATAATACATATATATATATATTATATATACATATCATAGTGTATACATTTTGGGATTATATGACGCAATACATATACATATATATATATTATATATTATATATATGGAAAAAGTTGTATATAATTCCCTATTACAGTAAAGCATCTTAGCATCGCATGCCACGCATCTCGAGCGCCCCACATGGGAGCTTCTCCGAAACCTGGCTGCCAGGTTTCAACCCCTGCTGGTTGATGATTAGTTCGGGGCTTATACTACCCTTTACCCTCTGGTAATTTAACATAGCTATTGAAAATGGCCATTTATAGTGGATTTTCCCATTAAAAATTGTGATTTTCCATAGCTATGTTAAATTACCAGAGGGTATCTGGTTGGTGGTCTCAACCCCTCTGAAAAATATGAGTCAAATGGGAGTATTCTTCCCAATATATGGAAAAAAGGAAAATGTTCCAAACCACCAACCAGTTGTATATTGGGGATATGTCATAATCCAAGAACGGGGAATCCCGTTCTTAACCAGCCAGTAGAATGGAATGACGGAGAGATTTTGAACAATGCTCAATTGGCTATGAGTCAAAAATATGATACCCTGGGTACCTAAGTCATAGCTGGTGAATGGATGTTTATCCCTGGATGTTTATCCCTCCGGTCATATGGCAATAATAGGTTTTGACCCATCCCCAATTATGATCAAACAAGGATGAAACCTGGCCCTTGCGCAGCTGGCCCTCAGCCACCTCTGCCAACAGCTTTTCGCTGCGAGAAGCAGATCAAGGTCAAACTCAAAAGGCTGTAGAGGGTTAAGATCCCACGCCAAACCTGGCGGAAGATCAGCTGCTAAGGGGAAATGGAAGTGATATCAACTGGTTGTAGTCATTCAAGGTCTATCTATGTCTATCTGACTATCGAAAGACATAGCCAAGGAGAGGGCCCTACATCCAGCATCTCAGCTGTACCCATCCCCATAGCACCAAGAATCAAAGGGGGCAGTGCACCTGCTGATGCTGCAAGTTCACAGAGTGAATACAGATCCAACCTCCACAACTGGGATCAACATGACCCAGCAGCGGAGATTTCACGACTAAGGCAACCCACATAGATTTTGTGGCCGTTTCCATTACGCTGCCTGCTTTGAAACATAATCAATCAGCCATTCTTGAGTATTTGCATTGAACAACATTGAAACTGGCGCGCCCAATTTCTTGGCTCAGTCCCGGTGAGATCTCCAAATGGATTGCTTCAAAACGTGCCACTCGTGACACTCTTAGACTCTTAGACAGCTTGGGGAAACGGAGCCGGACCGAAGCTTTTTAGCTGTGCTTGGCTGCAACCAAGATACAAATAGTGGCCAAGACCAAAATACCTCACTTCAATGGCAGCTGGAAAAGATGATCTGTTGGTCACACTATGTCACTATGACATTTTCTTCTGCCTTTCCATGCAGTTTTCAAAGGTCTTCGAAGAACCAGTTCTGCGGAAAATTCTTCATCCAGGGCAAGGCACCGTGAATGGCATAGTGCCAGAAGATGATGCTGCAGCGTGATGTTCCCTCACCATCTTTCTCCTGGACAACAGATAGCTCTTCAATTTAATTCCAAACCTCTCTGCCGGGCAAGAACTGTGGGAACGGCTCGAAATTGTTGAACGCCGCGAATTCCAAGAAATGTAAAATGGTTTAGTTAGAGCCTTTGCCAAAACCGAAACTTGCCGGGCCTCAGCAGGCATCACAGAAGTATATGAAGTCCTGGAGCATTTTCCCTCCGATATATGAGCCATGAAAAATACCTCCGTTGATGGGTTAATTGGCTGGTGGAGGGTCAACTAACAGTTCGATGTGGAAAAACAACCATTTGTAGATCATTTTGCATGAAAAACCACGGATTTTCCATATCTATTCCCAGGGTAGACTGGCTCATTGGTGATTATTATGTACTAACCAACCAGAATCATGGGATGACCGCAAAATAGCCAGTGGATTTGGGAAAGATAGTTGTGGGGTACTCCATTTTCAGACAGACTATATACTGCAGGGTCTTGCGCTGGAATGACGTGTTCTCTGGGGAATCCTTCAGTTCGCACAACTTGAAAGCAACCTGTCGTTGTCTCAGTTTTCGCCTACCTGCAAGGCTATTTCTAGAAGTGCTCCAAGTTCACAACTGATCTGAAACCATCCCTCCAATAGTCATGTCACCATTTCACTGACCATACGTGGATACGTGACCTAGATGGCTTTGGGTCACAAACCAAACGGTACCCTGCAGTTCACGACCCAAAAAAAAACTGATATAATCATGATTATTCATCATCTGATATTCATCTGATACAACAGTATTGAGCCATTTTGACCTCCGGTCACAGGGCTACGTCAGCAGTCCTTCCAGAGGCGCCCAAACACCAGAGGGTCAGCAGCAGACATGTGACCTAACAGCATCCATACAGGTGTAGGACTGGATCTGTTTCACTGGATTGGTTTTGTTGGGTGGGAAGATCTTCACCGGAAACCATTGTTTTCCCTATCAATTTGATGGGTTTTCTGTACAATTTCCCCTAAACTTTAGAACCAATCCACTGACTGTTGTCTAGTGAATACCTGTGAATACTATGAATCATGTGTGGATACATCCGTCTATTTTGCAGAAGACGCAAATCAACATGGACAGTTAGTTGCTTGGATGCTTTTCTTGGAATGCACTGTTTCTGGCGCCCGTGCCACTCCAAATCCTGCACTGGTGATGTAGGCACCAAGCCTGCATGCCATGTCAGTGGACCAACAGAAGGCCAACAAATTCTTCAAGACTCATGTGTAAGTTGTTTATCCAACTATGAACCTGCCTAGATTTTGTTCCACAAAACCTTCCTGTCAAACAGGGCATCTGTTTCTTGGTACTAAGGCAAAGCATGCATTCACCTATATTTTTTGATTGCTATATACGTATTGTATATACAGATATTATAGTGTGCATGCATGCATGCATGGATGTATGGATGTATGTATGTATGTACGTAGTACGTACGTACGTACGTACGTGGGTATCTTTGTATCTATCTATCTATCTATCTATCTATCTATCTATCTATCTATCTATGTATTGTATTGTATTGTATTGTATTGTATTGTATTCTATTTGTATTGTATTGTATTGTATTGTATTTGTATTTGTATTTGTATTTGTATTGTATTGTATGTACGTATGTACGTATGTACGTATGTGTGTATGTACAATATAGATTTACCCCTAGACACCATGCATTCAAAAACTTCCAGGCGCCCTGTCTCTACAGCCACAGCCTGCTGGGGTGAAAGACCTCCTCGCCCTCACTGGCCACTGCACCCAGCTCCACCGTGAAGAGCAGCAACCAACTGCGATGGCACCGTGGAAGCGCCACAACAGCGGGAAGTCATCTGCTTTAGTACAATTCACCGATAAATGGATAATATATATATATAAATATTATATATATATATAAGTATATACACGCTCCCATATAAATATCTACAGATTGGCAGATAGGCAAATAGGTAGATGGGTAGATAGGTGGATAGAAAGATCCATTTTATGAAGGTCTTCTTTTCTCACTTCGGCATCACAAGGGAGCAAAAAAAACAAGACCTGGACCCACTAGCAACCAATTTATCGCGTCAGAAGTTCGGTCATTTAAAGCCCACATCGGCCAGACGATCAAAAACATATGTCCAAGCTCAAAGCCGGAAAAATCAGCCCCTTGCTATTAGCTGGACACAACAACACTTTGATCCAGGAACTCGCCTGCCAAGGGACAAGAGGAGAACGGTGCTGTGCAGCCTGAAATCTGCAGGGGCATGTCCTTCACTTCTACCTTTCACATGGGACAAGCCATATGGATGCCCGTTGGGAAAACCTTGGAAATGATTTCAAATGATATAAATAATTCGAATACTTCGATCGCCCGGCAACTTCGTGTTCCTACTGCCCTCTATACAGGATGGAAACCAGCTGAAGCACCAGCTTCAAGTACCACACTTTGCCAAGTGGCGTCAGCTGAGCATTTTTCATGGACCTGGCCGCCTCACCTCAGAGATGGACAGGGAGAGAGATGAAAGTGATTAAAAGTGTGTATTCTGGATTGCACTCTATGTACAGTAATTATCTGGATATCCTCAGCAGCTTTGCACTTGTAACCTTCAGTAAACTCTAATACTGTACAAACCTCTCTCTTTGACTTTCAACCTGAAAATGTCAACTTCTTCAAGGATGGCTCGCATGACCAGCTGCAGACATCACTTGTGCCACCAGGGCACGTCACTTGCGACACCGGAGCGACTCACTTGCAACACCGGAATCACTCACACATATAGTTTCAATACGCACTGATCATTCGGGTGGGGTGGGTGGGGCGGCAATCACGTTCATGTTCACTTGCACACACAGCTCCAAGTATAGCAGATCCGGAACAAAGCATCAACTGCTAATGCCAGAAACCTAAACAAAACCGGCGAAATAACGATGCAAAAGTGGCGGCAGAAGCGATACCCCGACCAACAAGCACTGTGCTGCTGCACATCAGCAATATCCTGAGACTATCAGTCAGCCTGAAAACCTGCATGTTTGAGCCAAATTACCACCACTAATTCTTGTCACTTTGCACGGGCAACATTCTCAGCTCAAAACGTCTGGCAGCTTCCATGGCTGACCCTCAGGACCATCGGCATGTGAAAATGTGAAAATAGCCCAGGTGGGGCAAGAAAGAAGCGGGATGAAGTTTTAAGTGTTTGAGAGTTTGAGGGTTGCTTGCCGTTTCTCGACTGCTTGTGGAATTTCCGCTGCGCTGCCTTCTTCTAAGACTGATCCTAGCTATCCCAAATGTTGTTGCCCCGGGAAAAGATTACTGACCTACGCTCCAGGCACCTGAAAGTTGCAGGAGTTTCTCTCTTCTTTGTCGAATAGTGGAGTGGTTGTCATCTCGTTGCATTGGCATTCATGTCATGGAAATGTCTGCGCGTTTCTCCTATTTGATCCTTAAAGAAGCTGATCATGTGCATCCAGTCAGCTGCCCCTCGTGGCCTGAAAATCATTCCTTTCCTCCGCAGCAAGCAGCTGTTGTCACCAGAATACCAGGAAATTTATGAAAAATTGTCATGTTTGTGAAATCAACCCACATCCTCAAGAAGCCATCATCCAACCTACATCCTCCAACATCGAACCTCATCCAACTCCACATATCTGCCCTTTTCGCTCTTTCACCCGCGGCGCGTCCCCAAAGTCCCCAAAGCCTGGCCCTTGGCCGGCTGCGCTGCGAGGATCCCCCGAGGTGTCGATTTGTGTCGATGTTGTCACCAACACACACCTTAGGCCTTTCAGGCCTTTCAGGCCTTTCAGGCCTTTCAGGCGCCCAATTCCTGCCAACTCGTGCGGACCTCGATACACGCTGTTGGAGGCATCGAACAAGACTGCTGTTGGAAGCTGGACTCTCGACCCGAAAGAAAGGAAGTGGTGTCATGTCCTCATAATCTTTGAGACATCTTGGGATAGACTGATAGATGAAGTTGGCAGTGTTTTCAACTTGCTGAAGTCTCATGACCGTCATGACCGTCATGACCTAACTCATGTTTCTCAGCGAGTTGCCATTTGTGGCAGATTTTTGGCAGCAAAATAGACATCCTTAGCGAATCAGCCGTGCTCAGCCCGCCCTTAGCTCCCTGCAAGCTGGGTGTCATCTCCAGGTCCCTGGCAGCTCCATGGCTTCAGCGCCCAAAAACCCCTCCATGGAGATCAGCTCACGAGGCGAGCCTTGCATCTCTTGAAGGACTTGGATTCATCGTCAAAGAAGCCCGGACAGCTGTAGCTACCTCGAAAAACGATTCATCAGATCTGGATGGATCTGGAGACAGGTCTTTGGCAAGTGTGGGGACAAGGAGTTTCTGTATATTTCCGCTTCCTGTCTGAAAATACCCCATTCCATCCCACGGTTCATCACCATTTCCCCCATTCTTCAATGGCCATAAAGTTACAACCCATTCCAAAGTGTTGATTTTCGACACACCCAAATATCATGTTGTACCCCAGTGCACTCCATTCCCATTTACACTTTAGATTGCTTGATTATATAAACCATCACTTTTATTGGTTAATGTGGGTTAAATCCCAAATGCTCAATACGTATCTCCCGATACTGTGGATGGTTACAAAATCCTGCACCAGCTGGAAACTGTTGGGATTCCTATGAAACACTGCAAATAACGGGATAAAACATCTACCAGTAATCATGGGACCATAGTAATTGTTGGATTTCCTATAAAAACACTGCAATAACTACCAGTAATACTAACTCAGTGCTTTATTCTCGGACTATATTCCTAGTTGGGAATAATAGGAATAACTATCCCATTATTACTGGTAGATCTACCATCAATGTAATCCGTATTTATTATTACTGGTACTAAAATAACATCTACCCTTTGTTTTACCAGTAATAATGGGATATATTTTAGTACCAGTATTAGTATTATTATAGTAAAAGGAACCCATTATAGTACCAGTATTAATAATGGGACTACAATGGGATAAAACATCTACAAACTGCTCTCGGTGCCTGTGACCTTGGAGAATCGCAGTTTCTGCTTCTCACACAGCGGGCACACAGGCCTCGCTTGTGACCACAACGGCAAACGGAAAAGAAGAATTGGTGCATTCAATCCATGCGTCCACATATGTGTACAAATATATGTGTATATATATATATGTATACATATATATATATACATATGTATAGTGTATATATATATACATACCTATATATATATGTATATACACACATATATACATATATATATATATACTGTACATATATATATATATATGTATGTATGAAGGTTTCGGCTGAAAGTGTATTCATCAGGTCCCCCCTGGTGGTACACAGGGTTCTCTGAAATCTTAGCGGGCGTGACCGCCATCACGTCGCCCGCGGGCAGCTGCGAACTGGTGAGCACTTCGTGGCAGCCTTCCAGTTGAGCTCTCACAGTCCAGGGCAGGCTGTGACCTCCTTTGCTCATTGTCATTGACATCGTGCTCGGGCTTGGCATCTACCTCCTGTACTTTGTGTACGTTGGGAAGCCTCTCGTGCATGGTAAGCTACAAGCTTGGGTACCTGTTGGTGATCCTTCTGGTCCAGCGCAATTACACCTTCGAAGAGGAGAAGGTTTCGAAGGCTCAGAGCCAAAGCCAGATTCCAGTGGCATTGCCACAAAGTGGGACTGTCTTGCCTGACCCCTTCGCAGCTCTTGGACATCAAGCGACGTCTTGGAAATCACCATTCTCAAGACCCAGGTTTTCTTGCCCATTTACAATTCGCAATGTCTACAACAGTGAAAACGCCGTGGATGTGTGCGTGGTGTCGGAGGTTGAATCGACACAACGCAAACCGCTGTGGCAAATGCGACAGCTTATGGCAACATTGTGTAGATGTCAATTACCGCCATGGACAGCAAGGCGGCAATTCACCGAGGAAAAGAACACCCTCGAGAAGCTATGCGTCTTGGAATCAAGGGAGCGATTGGGGAGATCATGGACAAGGTCATGGACGAAGAACCAAGACCGATGCCAAGGGTGCACAATCGCCGAGATTGAAAAGATCCGACACGCCGAGGGGAAAGAAGAAGAGCAAGAAGGAAAAAGCAGACGATATGCCAGCTCTGGATCCGCCATGGAACGGAGACGACAATGCTGCTTTGCCTTCGCCATCCATCCCAGACAACAAGGCAGAAACAAGACTGCAAGAATTGGTCAACGAGCTCAAAAAGCCTGGCAACACTTTGACGACTGGCGTACAGCAAATTGTCTCAGAGATGCCGGACTCTCCTGCCGCCACAGCTGCCAACATGCAGAGTGCATGTGCAAAGTTGGAGAAAGCTCGCAAGAACTACAAGGATGCGTTGAAAGAGCGGCACAACATGCATGCGAAGTGGTCCAACTACCTCGCCCAAAGTGTCAGCAGATGGAAGAAATTCGCAACCGAGTTCACCGAGAAGGACCAGGGATTGGAAAACAAGGTACAAAAAGCCAAAGAGACCTTGCAAGCGGCCAGGGAAAGAGTCGATGTCACCAAAGAGGCATTGACCAAAGTGGACGCAGAAATCCTGGACGAAGACCAAGTGATCTCGGCAGAAGAAGAAGAGATGGATACTACGGAGAAGCTGGACTCCGCAGACACCATCAAAGCAGGTATCACAGACATGGTAGCAACCCTGGAGAATATCACCAAGCTCACGGCTCCTGCAGATCCAGATGGACAAGTTGCCAAGAGAGCTCGTACAGAAGAAGGTGGTCCTGGCTCCTTGCCATCGGCACTAGTGCCTTTTGCAAGGCCTGGCAAGCAGACCTAGAGGAGGCTTGCTGGAGGCCGGACGCAGTGGAGTCCTTCCAGAATTTGCCACAAATCTGGAATCACTCCATTTTGGAAGAACCGACGTTTCTTTCACCATGGGCTGCATCCATTCAAGGTCTTGACCTCGCATGGGAACTGGATACAGCGTTTTGTCCAGCTGTTCCACAGATCAAGACAAAGACACGAGTCAAAGATGCACATGTCAGTCTTGCCACTGGTGTTGACTTCTATGTGGGCCATGAAGACGACATCATGATGGGCAAGTGGAAGACATCTTTGACGGCACCAACTACAAGTATATTATTTCCAGACCCTGCAGATTTGGTTGAAGGTACTGACAATGATCTGACCTCGTTCATGGCTGCAGTGGCACCGAATAGTCCCTCGCCATTGGCTGAGGCACCAATTACTTTGATGGAGAACCCCAACATTGCACAACAGACGGATGAGGAGAATCATGGCCCTCAGGTACAGGAGGCGCCACAATCTCCCACTGATGCATCAGATGCGGTCTCTGATGTGCCAACGGAATGGTATCCCACAGTGGTTTACTCACTTCATCATGAACCAATCTCAGCATGGCTTGACTGGGATGATCGTGACGAAACGTACAGGCATGTTGCGGGAGCTCTTGATATTCATGTTGATAGATTACTTCATCTTCAACAAGTTTATTTTACACCAGCAGATTTGAGAAGACTTCATGTTGAAGCTCTGATTGCGTACGAGATTGGCGATATTCCGGAAGGAGCTGATGGAAGGGCAGTTCTTCTTGATATTGAATTCCACAGTCATTTACCCAGAAGAACGCCTGAGATCATCCGACGCATTTTCCTCTTGCCAAGTCGAGTGCAACGTTCGGGACTATTGCAAGGTCTTGGACTTCTTCCACACTGCACTGATGCTGAAGGAACAGAGCTGATTTGGCACAATGATGATGTGTGCCGACAATCACATTCCACATGGATTGACCTGACGGATGGGGACTATGTGCGCATTGCACTACCTCCACATCCAGCTGAACAATTGAATCATCTACCAACTCGATTTGTTGCAAGTGCCAGGTTCCGTGGGCTGTCTGTACAAGACATCTTCTCCAATGACCTGATGACCAGATTGGGCTGGATGGAGCGTGGCACAGTCACAACCAGATCGGTGCCCACTGACTATGATTTTGATTTGCATGAGGATGTGGCATTATTTCAGACTCATCAATTCACGCCTGCCATCATTGACGCAGCAGTCAAACGCTGTCGCCTCGACTATGACATGACGCCGCTGCGCCAAGCCGCCAGGTCGGATGAGGAACGGGACCCAAGACCGACACAAGGAATCCAAGATCAGCTACCAGTCATTCAGGGACTCCATCTACTTTGGCAACTACAAGGCGCCTTTGAGAGAGGAGCCATAGAAGCGGTTTTGCACATTCAAACATGGTTTCTCAGCTTTCCCCGCTGGGGCCAATGCCGAGAACCACGTGGCTTAGCCCTTGGACCTGCCTTTCAAACATGGCAGCAAGATATGTTTGATTTATGGCGAGATCGACTGGAACCTGATTTCCCTGCAGAAATTTATCTTGTGGTCCCTACGCCACCAACCTCACCATATCAGCAACAAGATCGACCTCACGTGATTTTAGTACAAAGAGCTCCAGCCGAAGGACGTGCAGTTTTGGTTACGGCAGTCAAGCCAGAACATCCCATGGAGCATCTTGCGACGTACATGCCTGTGGTTGCGGGGAAAACAGACATCATCATGGTTGCGCAACTTGAGATGCACTGTCTACCGCAAACATCGGAACTCCAATGTATGATCTGGCATGGTGATCGTCAACTGAACACTGGACAGCAATGGCATTTAGTCCATGGCACTGGATTAGAGATCATCATCAATCCTCCTTTACCTGGACCGTCTGCCAATGTTGCGTGGGATCATAGCGATGATGAGGTTGAACTGCTGCAACGCACTTCTCGCCACACCGTCTCGCTTGATGAGCTGATCCCGAATGTAGAAGTTGTGAAGCTCAAGGCGGAAAATCCCACGCAGATCTTACCAACGTATCTTGAAATTCCAGCGCATTCAGGAATAGCTGGAGTACAAGCCGAACTATGTCATTGGGGACTATGCTGTGAAGTGCATCGCTTTGGCAAACGAAGCGAATTTCTTTGCATTGATGAGACTCACTCAAGAGATATCACGAAATTTCACTACATGCTTTGCCATGATGATCTCTGTGATGAAGATGGTGCAATTCTTCACTCCACAGATGTAGCCTTGCAGCAACCACAACTGATGGAGCTCTTATGCTCACTTGGTTATCCACGAGCAGTCATCATGTCGCACTGTGAAGTTGACGTACATCTCTACTGCGTGCGCTTCATGAACGTTCAACCAGAGATACAGGATGACCGTCGAAGCAACAGAGTCCCAACTCCATGGCCACAGCGACACGATCTTCAATGGCAACAGAGAAAGCTTTTTGAACCTCCTCCACTTCAAGACTCTGACTCTGACAAGGATTGCTGTGTGCAGACGCCATTTCTTCAGCAGCACATTGTCGAGCTCACCAGTGCGGGCACTTATGCTCTATGCACGGACTTCTCCAGCCTTGAACTTCCAGAGTACATCAAGGATGTGATGACATCGGCTGCTACTGGTGACCTGAATGCGGATTGGGACAGATGGCTCATTTTCACTGATGGCTCCTCGCAGACAAAGAACAAACATTGCACACCTGAGTACGTTGATGCTGTGCACACTCCAGATGCATGGGCAATGCTTGTTCTCGGTGAGAAATTCCACAATGATGGCACCAGTCAGATATGTCCACTTGGATGGACAGCGCACCCAGTTCGAACAGATCCGACTGGCTGCTGCTATGCAGGTGCCACCAGGATCGGTGCAGATATCGCAGAGCGCGAAGGCCTGCTGTGGGCTGGACTATGGCGTATCACTCAGAATTGCATAACGCCTACAGTATTCTGTGTCGATTCCAAGATCACCAGTGGTCAGGCAATTGGTGCTATTGGTGTTTCTGAGCCTGATCTTTCGTATCGGCTCCTTCGTGGTGTATTCCAATGCCTACAGCGGGGATTGCCAAGGGGTCACCTGGAAATGCATCATGTGCGAGCCCACACCGGGGACCCATATAACGAATTTGTAGACTGCATCGCCAAGCGTGAGGCGTCCTGCAGCTACAATTTGCCTCGTCTCAAGATCGACATGCAGGATTGGATACCCAGAATACCTCACCTATGGTTGAGATTCAGCGGCTTTTATGGACTCCCAGCATGGCACGAAGGTCTCCATGTACCTGCTCCAGCACTGCCAGCCACAGCCCTGAGTTGGACTGATAGAGTATCATCCCGATCCTCTGTGCCTGTGACTTGTCAGCTGAGCCTTGCCACCATGAATGTGCTCTCTCTGTCTAAAGGCCCGGAAGGATACGGAGGAAAATTGAAATTTCTATATGATCAAGTCCAAGCACATGGCCTGAACGTCATTGGCATCCAAGAAGGTCGCAATGAAGAGGCTTTCAGCACATCCCATGGGATGTTCCGAGTATGTGCAGGGCACTGTGAAGGCCACTATGGTGTCGAGTTATGGGTCAATATGCAGCAGCCAATTGCGCATGATCCAGAGAAGAGACCACACTTCCTGCAACCAAGCCACTTCCAGGTGACCTACAAGGACCCGCAGAGGCTCATTGTCAGATGTGACAGCGATATGCTTTCGTGTTGGTTCTTTGTTGCGCATGCACCGCATAGTGGCCATGAAGCACAACATAGAAGCTCCTGGTGGTCTCACACTGACGAACTCATTCATCGGTATCGAGATGGAGCACCATGGGTCTGGCTCATTGACGCCAATGCGGCCCCAGGGAAGGCTGACAATGTCGTGGTATTTGCTGATGGAATGACTACCAGCGTGAACACAGAACATTTTCGCAATAGCCTGGTCACCCATGAACTCTGCTTGCCCTCCACTACTGACTGCCACAGTGGAAGTCGCAGCACATGGACGAGTTTTGATGGTACCAAAGGTCATTGCATTGACTATGTGGTCATCCCCCAAGATTGGCTTGGGTACTGTACCTTTTCTAGCATCATTGACTCCATTGAGTTTGGTAACCTCAAAGAGGACCACAAGGCAGTTGGGCTCCAACTAATCTGGCATGCAGAGAGCAGTCAAGAATCAGCTGGACCCCAGCCGCACAAGATTGATTGGAGCCAACCACATGTCCGACAAGTACTACAAAACCATATCCAAGGCCTTGCCGCAGACCCATGGCATACTGATGTAGAGCAACAAGCCAACACTTTGGCAAACCAGCTCCATGCAGCAATGCGCAAAGGACCAAAGGTCAAGGCAACTGCCAAAAAGCCATACATCACTGATGACATTTGGAACATGCGTGCGAAAAAGGTGAAGATCCGCAGGAAACTGCGGGAGCTGAACCGACGATCAGGTCTTCATGCTTTATTCACTGCATTCAGAGCCTGGACAGATCGCCACTCTGACGAAGAGTTCCAAGCATACCACATCCACAGCCGAACGCTTTTGTGCTCTAAGTTTAAACTTATTGTTGCACATCGTCATGTAGCGCACCAACTACGACAAGCGTTGCGATCTGCCAAACATGTTTTGCTGGCGGATCGACTTGAAAATCTTGATGAGACCACACCGGCAGCTAATATACTCAAATGTCTCAAAGAGTTCATTGGACCGACCAATTTGAAGCATTGCAAAAAGAAGCCAGTGCCATTGATCCACAATCAGGATGGTCAGCCATGTCATCTTCCATCAGAAGCTCTGGCCACGTGGATTGACTTTTTCCGAGACATGGAAGGAGGACAGAGACTGCCATGGTCACAGTTGAGAACACACTGGATTGATGGTCTTCGAGCAGAACAAGAAACCAATTTCCAGATTTCTTCGACAGAACTCCCGACCTTGACTGACTTGGAGCTGGCAATGAGACGCACAGCGTGTGGAAAAGCTCAAGGAGCTGATGCGCTGCCAGGGGAATTGCTTCACTTTTTCCCTGTGGAGATTGCCGAGCTGGTTTTTCCGACTCTGTGGAAACTTTTGCTGCACGGTCAGGAAGATCTATCCTACAAAGGAGGAGTCCTAGTGCAGGCATACAAAGGTCGAGGAGATAGCAAGGTATGTCAATCTTTCCGTTCTTTGTTGATTTCGAGCCAGATCGGTAAGACAATTCACCGTACGATCCGTACGTTTCAAGCAGATCTTTTCGAAAGATTCCTTCAGACGCATCAGGTCGGTGGCAAGCGCAAAATGCCAGTGACCTATGGCCTTCATTTAGTTCGTGCACACCTTCGGCGAGCTCAGCGTCAAGGAGAATGTGCGGCGATCGTCTTCGTCGACTTGACGGAGGCATTCTATAGAATTTTTCGTCCACTTTGCATGAACAATGAGCTCACTGATGAAGCTCTGGCCGCGTTTCTGAAGAAGCTCAACATGCCCGAGTCTGCCGTACACGAGCTATGGGCCATTCTTGGTGAACCCAATGCCCTTGAGATGGCGAAGCTACCATACCATCTACAGAAGAGCATTGCTGCGATCCATCGCAATACCCACTTTTGGATGAGGGGCCAAAGTGATGTGGTTGAAACAAGGTTTGGCTCCAGACCGGGCGATCCTTTTGCCGACGTATGCTTTAGCTATGTCTGGGCACGAGTCCTCCATCGCCTGCAGGAGCACATGCAACAGCACCAGCTCATTGACCTGTACTCTCAGGTTGAGGATCTTCAGCTCTTTGGTGACAATGCTGCTACGTTGCCTGAAGCAGAGATCCCAAGGACTCCTTTTTTGGGGCCAACTTGGATGGACGATACAGCAATTTGTCTGAGTGCTCCTGATACGCCACAACTCATCAGCAAGGTCTCACATACCACATCAAAGCTGCTTGAACTTTGCACGGAACACGGAATGTCACCAAATCTAAAACGTGGCAAGTCTGAAGTTCTTCTCAGCCTACGTGGCAAAGCTTCACGCAAGCACAAGATCGAGTTATTTGGTCCAGATGCTACTATGACAATTCCGATCCTCACAGAGCACAACTCGTATCAGATGCCCATCACCAACAAGTATCTTCATCTCGGAGGACTCCTACACCATGGAGTAGATCAACGTGCTGAGTTACGCCGACGGCTTGCCATCGCCCATTCTGCGTTTACACAGCACCGACGAGTGTTGTACCACAACACACGCATCGACTTCAGCAAACGGTGTGAACTCTTCCAGATCCTGATCATCAACAAATTATTGTATGGCTCCGAGAGTTGGCTCATCACAGATGACAAGACTGTCGCAACCTTTCATGCAGCGATTTTCCGCCTCTACAGAAGATTGCTGAGAATTCCTCATGATGAACATGCATACCATGATCAGATTCTGGCTGATGTGGGCTTGCCCAATCCAGATACCCTGTTGAGACGGCAGCGTTTGCGATATTTGGGTACACTGTATCGCTGCGGGGCTGACCATGATTGGGGTATACTATCAGCAGATCGAGATTGGTGCGCATATATTGAAGCGGACTTGCAATGGATGTGGAAGCAACTCCAACGCAGTTCTGACTTACCGTCTCCGGACAGCAACTATGCGCACTGGCAACACCTGATTCGAAGTCACCCCAAGTATTGGAAGAGACTTATTCGACGTGCAGTGACACATGAAGTTCTGCAAACCCAGCGTGTGTGGAGAGTGCAAGAATTCCACTTACATGCTTTACGTCGTTTGGAAACCATCTTTGGGGTGCCATCACAATGTTTGCCAGCGACAGTTGAAGCCAGCACTATGACCAGTTTTGGATGCATGCAATGCAGAATTGGATGTGCCAGCAAAGGAGGGGAAGCCGCTCACATGTTCAAACGACATGGACAGGTTGCAGCCACTCGTCGGCTCTTCACAGAGCCCACTTGTCCGGCTTGCCTAAAGGTTTTCCACACGATGCAGAAGACGAAGGCGCACATTCATTATTCGCAGCGATGCCGCCAGATCCTCCGTAGCCAAAGAGTGCCAGGAGACGTAGGACCAGGTGCTGGCTCCATTCATGATCGAGAGCTCGCAGAAAGCCATGACAGGCTCTTGCCGCCTCTTCAAGCTGAAGGTCCCCTCAATGTTGCCCCGCGCTTACGTGCTGATCCGGGTATTGATGATTCCTTTTTCGTCTACATCACGGACGCGGTCGGGCCTGGCATGTGCATGGAGGACTTCATCGACACTCTCAAGAATTATGCGACAGACCATGCGATTTCATGGACGGCTTGGTGCAACACTGTGCAGTTTTTTGCAGAGTCTTTTGGTGCAGATGATGCGATATTTGCGAACGTTGCCTGGACGGACATGCAGAATTGTCTTCGGTCGTTATGCAATGAGGAAAATTTTCCATTCTTGCAGATGGTCAACAAGAAGCCGCTTCCTGCCGATCCTGTGAGTGTTTTGGAGCAGCAATGCGTCACAGCGAGTGAGCAGATGAACTATGTGGCTACCCCGCGAGCGTTCGGACAACATCGTGTCTTATTGCACGCGTATTCCGGACGTCGTAGGCAAGGAGACCTACAACACTATATTGACCAGATCATGAAGGCCAAGGAGGTGTCGTTTGTCCTCCACGTCGTGTCGATGGATATCGTCATTGACAAGGTCTATGGCGACGCTCGCAATGCTGCTACAAGGAAGTATTGGTTGACGGCCATTCGTGACCGAAAAGTGGTCGCCTATGTAGCTGGCCCGCCATGTGAGACATGGACAGTTGCGCGTGAGCACGCTGTGGCCGATGATCGTGTTGCTCCTCGCCCTGTTCGCAGCGCTACTGAGCTTTGGGGCTTTGAATGCATGACCTTGCGCGAAACGTGCCAGGTCAATGTAGGAAATGAATTGCTTTTCTTTTCCTTGGAAGCACTGATGGAATTAGTGCTCACAGATGGATGGGCCATCATTGAACATCCGGCTCCTCCACAGAAGGAACATGCACCCAGCATTTGGAAGCTGGCCGTAATTCAAGCCCTATTAGCGCTACCTCAAATTGAAACATGTCGGTTTTGTCAGGGACTGCTTGGTGCTTTTTCTCCCAAGCCCACGCAGCTCCTTCTTTTGAACCTCCCTGGAGTGATTTTGGCATTGCATCGCTGGCGTGTGCGCCGTGAACTACCGCGCGCTGCCGCAATTGGTTTAGACTCTCAGGGACGGTGGTGCACTACTCCGCTGAAGGAGTATCCACCGGCTATGTGCGGAGCACTAGCTGAATCTTTGGGCGAAGCCTTCTGCTCTGAGCCCACTGCTGATGCATGTCAACCTGCGCAGTCTGACTTGGACTTGTGGAGAAGGCTCCATGCTACTGTGTATGGTCGCTTTGTTGGAGCAGACTACGCAGGTTGAGAACATGTACATGGAATTCACATGCAGTAGGCCGCTGCGCAAGCATCTTGGAGCCTAGAAGCAAAAAAATGTATGTATGTATGTATGTATGTATGTATGTATGTATGTATGTATGTATGTATGTATGTATGTATGTATGTATGTATGTATGTATGTATGTATGGTATGTATGTATGTATGTATGTATGTATGTATGTATGTATGTATGTATGTATGTATGTATGTATGTATGTATGTATGTATGTATGTATGTATGTATGTATGTATGTATGTATGTATGTATGTATGTAGATATATATATATACATATGTCCATATGTATGTATACATAGATATACACCTATCATATATATAATATACATGCGACTGTTCCCAAGTATAAATATATTATATATGTGTGAGTATACATATCCATCGGAGAAAGCATGCATCGGAGAAAGCATGCCTTGTAATGGCATGCATCTATCCATCCATCATGATCCATCCATCAGTTGCATTTAAACAAATTAAACTAAGTTACATTGGACAAAATATGATCAAACTACACGGAATTAAGTTGCACTGGATACATCATCGTCGTCGTCGTCGTCGTCCTCCGCAACTACATGACATTACATGTATGGTACATTTGGAAAGGAATACATATTCGAGCACATCTATTCAGACCTTACACATGCCCCCAAATATTAGATACTAAATCTATCAAGATCATTGGAAGTATAAATCACATTGGACATGTATGTGTATATGTATCTGTATAATAGATAAATAGATATATACACATACATATTTATATAAATAAATATATATACTTCCCATATATATATATATACATATATATATATACATATATATATATATAAATATGGGATTACATCATAATAGTATTGTTTTGTTCATATTCGTACCACTAAGATCATCAATATCATCCCATCCCTTCTGAGCTTCCCTACGGGACGCCTAAGGCTTTGGCTTCCGCCACTCGATCCAAGAGCTCCTCCTTTTTCCCTGACCTCGGAAGGTCAGACCTGGTGAATGGCACTGAAATGTTGGGGAACATGTTGGGAAAACGTTAGCAGAAATGGGATATGTCCAGGCATTTCAGTAAAATGAGGACGCGATACAACACATTGGATTCCTGGGGAATTTGGACGCCTGAGTCGTCCGCTTGGGCAAGCCATTCTTTGCCAGCATTGCTCCTGCACTGTGCATCTTGGGCATCTGGAAGTTTTGCCTTTCTCAATTGCACTGCGTTGAATTGCATTTTCAAGCCCACACAAGAGCCTTGGTCACAAAAAAAACAATGCATCATTTAAGATTGCACTATGAAGTGTCAAGTGCGCTATTGTCTTTCAAACATGTTCCAACCATCGATTGGTGGATCCACTTTGGAGCCGGTGTTCCCAGCCTAAAGCTGCCACGTTCTTCTTGCAGAGCTCCGCCTGCAATCTGTTCCCGTCAGCCACATCTGGATATGTCGGATATGTATCGTTCCCGATGGAATCTTCAGTGAGCCTTCAGTGTCTCAATGGACTTTTGCTCCTCTGCACTGAGGGCACTTGCTTGATCCTCCTGGCATGAACACCGGGTATTACAAGAAAAGAATGTCGCGGAAAATGAAGAAAAGGTGAGAAGGACTGTGAGAAGACCTTAGATCCAACCACTGCAATGACCAAATTCTAGTGAAAATTTTAAATGTGCAGCCTGCTTGCACTCACCATGACAGAAAATCGTGATCAAGCTCCATTTCTGCAGTAATTGTGGTCTTGACGCCTCACTATCTGGACTTCTTTCTAAAATCATCTTCCACTTGGTAATGGCTTTGCAATTTTCTTGGACCTATCCACCCTCAACGAATTTGGGGCTCAGCAAATGTGTTGACGAACACCTGACTGGCGAAGAACTTTGATTTCTTGCTCGACCTGAATACATCACATCATCAAATCATTACCCTCTGGTAATTTAACATAGCTATTGAAAATGGTGATTTATAGTGGATTTTCCCATTAAAAATGGTGATTTTCCATAGTTATGTAAACGTTTACCAGAGGGTAGGATTTTGGGCTCCAAAGGCTTTGATTGGAGCGCACAATGCTGATATCCGATAAGATATCTTCAGGCCCAGGCTTTTGATCGGGATCAGCTTTGCGCTTATTGCCCTGGCAAAGTCGGTTTTTTTTTATCAGTGGATGGTCCATAAAACGAATGGAGGGACCAGAAGCTGTAGTTTTATACATTTTATCTACAGTTTGTAATGTTTGTAGTATTAGATATATAATAAATAATAGAATACAATAGATGATAATAGATGATAATAGAATATAATAGATGTATGTATCAGCAACAGTATCCAAAAATCCAAAAATCGTCTCCCAACCAGCATCCACCATCATCCCGCCTTGGGCGTCTCAGTCTCAGTCTCCTCACCCCTGCAACTTTGCAGCAAAAGCTTCACCTTCGGCGTCCATGGCTTTTTGGGTAACTGGGGTAACTGGCAGCCGAAATTCGTGTTTTGGGGGACATTATATAAATGATGTTAAACTTCCATGGCTCCAAGCAGATTCTCCTATATGCATAATGCATACAAATATATATATATATACATATATACTAATATACATACATATGTATAATAGAGAGATTAGATTCATGATTAAGATATCTGTATACATACACACTCATATGAACACGTGCGTATGTAACTGTTCAAAAATGCTCACAGGCGTCCTTTCGTTTTCTGCCACTTCTGAATGATCGAAACACAAATGTGGAGAGATTTTGGTCACCACCGGTGCTTACTTGTATGGAAAACCTTGCAGTTATTTAGTCTCCTTCCAGTTTCACCTGCCCACCTGACTGAAATGGATGCAGGATAAAATGTCAGCAAACTGTGGATACCGACCAAATGCCATCATTTATGGGACAAGTTAAAAATTTAAACCCTCCAGCAACTTTCCAACATCTCTGAATCATCAGGCTGTCATACCCACCTTCTGTTGGTCATCTTCTTTCAACGCATCAAATCCCGTGATGCTATCAGGCTCCTCACGAGCAAATGTCAAGCTGGTGCCACACGGCCATACCCAAAACCCTCAGCTTCATCGCTTCAAGGGTCAGATGCGCTTCGAAAATAGCATTCCCGTTATGGAGCTGCCACATTTTCTCCTCAGGTAGGTGCTGTCGGAACCAAGTTTTGCCTTTGATCTTGGGAAAGCAGCCTGCAGCATCAGCCAGCCATCTGATAGGTGTCTGGGTTTGTCCCATAGTAGGGTACCTCAAAATCAGTGGTTTCTCAGTTCTTCTCTTCTGCTCTAACCGGCTAACCCATATTGACAAAATCGAAGTGACCAAGTATCTTTTCACCATCAACATCAAGAGTGCCACTCAAATGAACAAAAACATGTTCGGTCAACGTGCCTAGACCAGATTCGAACGCTGTTCGTAAATCGAGCCATTGGAGCATGTCCACTGGGACAGTGAAATCACTGAGATTCTCAAATATGTTTCAAGCCCTCCCTTTTGCAATTCATCATATTCATCCCCATATCCCCATGTCCCCATGTTCTGTTTCACCCTGCCTTCATGATGCCACTTGGCAGATTCCATGCTATGTGCTCTTTTCCTGTCAAGCCATAGCAACCAACTCACTCGTTTCCTGTCAATAAAAGCCACTTATTGAACCATGGAGCATCCACAGTACCGCATGAGTTCTGAACATTCCCAGGTCATAGGCATCACTCACATCACCCGCCTTGCTTCCGCATCATCCGGCGCAGCATCTATGAGCACTTTCAGGCCGATTCTTAAGGTGTCCTTTTCCTTAGGCAACACCCCATGCAGCCATTGGTTGGTGGGAAAATCTACAGGAAACCATGGCTTTTGACCACCAATTATAGAGGGTTCCTGCAGATTTCCCCCTAAACCGATGCTGGGAATGCAGCCAAGTACTCACCTGGCTAAAAAAACAGGTTGAAAATAACCGAGGCAAAGACTGGGGATCCCAGCTTCTCAACCTATAGACTCCTCGAGATCATTCCAAAAGATTCTAGATCAAGAACTGAAGCTCAACCCAACATCCAGAAAATCAACATAGATACGGAACACCTACCATTTGTTAAGAATATTCCTTGTGTGGGGTTCTTGTTTTTCGCTTGGATCCCGCCGCTCTCCTCCGTCCGCCGCCGCCGCGCCGCACGCATCACTACTCATCACTCACTCACTCATCACTCACTCACTCACACACTCACTCCCTCGCTCACTCACTCACTCACTCCCTCCACTCCCTCACTCACTCACTCACGGAGGAGCTGCGGAGCCCTCTGGAGAAGCTGCGGCGCGCGTGGGCGCCGCTGGCCCGCGGCTGGCTCTCGTGTTACAAAGAGCTTCCTGGCTGCGTTTCGCGTGGCAGGCGCAGTACACAGAGCCTCCTGGAGGAGCTGCGGCGCGCGTGGCCGCCGCTGGGCCGCGGCTGCCTTTCTCGTGGCAGGTGCAGTACACAGAGCTTCCTGGCTGCGTTTCGCGTGGCAGGCGCAGTACACAGAGCCTCCTGGACGAGCTGCGGCGCGCGTGGCCGCCGCTGGGCCGCGGCTGCCTTTCTCGTGGCAGGCGCAGTACACAGAGCTTCCTGGCTGCGTTTCGCGTGGCAGGCGCAGTACACAGAGCCTCCTGGCGGAGCTGCGGCGCGCGTGGCCGCCGCTGGGCCGCGGCTGCCTTTCTCGTGGCAAGCGCAGTACACAGAGCTTCCTGGCTGCGTTTCGCGTGGCAGGCGCAGTACACAGAGCCTCCTGGCGGAGCTGCGGCGCGCGTGGCCGCCGCTGGGCCGCGGCTGCCTTTCTCGTGGCAGGGGCAGTACACAGAGCTTCCTGGCTGCGTTTCGCGTGGCAGGCGCAGTACACAGAGCCTCCTGGTGGAGCTGCGGCGCGCGTGGCCTCCTGGCTGCGTTTCGCGTGGCAGGCGCAGTACACAGAGCCTCCTGGCGGAGCTGCGGCGCGCATCGCCGCCGCTGGGCCGCGGCTGCCTTTCTCGTGGCAGGCGCAGTACACAGAGCTTCCTGGCTGCGTTTCACGTGGCAGGCGCAGTACACAGAGCCTCCTGGCGGAGCTGCGGCGCGCATGGCCGCCGCTGGGCCGCGGCTGCCTTTCTTGTGGCAGGTGCAGTACACAGAGCTTCCTGGCTGCGTTCCGCGTGGCAGGCGCAGTAGACAGAGCCTCCTGGCGGAGCTGCGGCCGCGGCTGCTTTCGCGTGGCAGGCGCCACTTATCATTCACCCCTCATCACGCACCACTTATCACATCTCACTCATCACTTCTCACTTACCATTCTCACAGCTCACTCACCACTTATCACATCTCACTCATCATTCACCACTCATCACTACACCACATCTCACTCCCCACTTATCACTGTCTCATCACACCTTATCACATCCCAACTCATCACAGCTCCGCTTGTCACACCTCACTCATCACAGCTCCACTTCATCATCATAGCTCCACTTCTCACGCTTTCACTTCTCATCACTTCTCACGGGTCCACTTCTCATCACAACTCATCACCACTCATCACAGCTCCACTCATCATCACAACCCATCACAGCTTCACTTATCACATCACAACTTCTCATCACAACTCATCACAACTTATCACATCCCAACTCATCAAAGCTCCACTTTTCACACCACTTCTCACACCTCACTTATCACATCACAACCCATCACAGCTCCACTTCTCACACCATCTTTCACACACCCTCTTTGACACACCATATTTTACACACCATTTTTCACACACACACACACAACTTTGTCACCCACCATCTTTGATACACCATCTTTCACACACTACTTTGTCACACACACACAATCTTTCACACACAACTCTGTCACACACCATCTTTCACACACCATCTTTCACACACCATCTTTCACACACAGCTTTGTCACACACCATCTTTCGCACACCATCTTTCACACATCATCTTTCATACGCAACTTTGTCACACCATCTTTCCTCCACCTCCTCCTTTGTCTTTCCTTCCTTCCCTGTCCCCGCTACAACATTTCTGGCTCATTATTGGAAGAAGGTGACTTGTGGGGTTATCCGGTCCTTTTATTTATATCTATATCAATTTGCCACCGGGTATATACCAAAGCCAGACCCTGCCAGGTGACGATCTTCTCTTTGCACTGCTTGCAAGCAGAGCGGGAGCTCTTGGCATATTCCAACTCAAACCTCTGGGCGAGGAAACCTATGGACCTATGGTTTTGTCAATGTTTGTCGCACAACTAGGCTACCCCAAAATCCAATGCTTGATATTGGTTGATGATCGTTTGGGAGTGTCGGAAACCTTGTGCCCCAAACTTAGGGCCAGTTCAACAGGGAAAACGATGATGAAGAATCAAATGTTGGGGCACCCGATTTTCAGACAAACGGTTTTTTCCGATATATATATATATATATATATTGAAATGGCAATCCATTGCGGTATATCCCACTGGACAAACCTGCTGGCTAGAGCTTCGACCAGAAGTCACAGAAAAGACTCCAGTCCCAAAGTTCAGTATGGTACTTCCTATGACCAAAAGGATCATGCAACCCTGATCTAACCATCTTTTCGGATCAGAAAAGAGTCCTGACACAGCCAATTTGACATACCGTGGGGTTTTTGTTCCTGAACCTAGAACGTCCCCCCTACCACTCACAGTAGATGAAGTCAAACAAAACCCACGGTACAACCCTAGTCACTAGTCATTCTGCCCAACCCTTCTATCAATGGATTAGTTTCAGGGAAAATCTAGGCAAACCCATTCTTGTTCATATTTTTACATATTTTTACCATCCTTTTTGGTGGTTTCCTGTAAAGCGTCTCCCTCGCAGCTCCGGTCCGGCAAGCCACCCAAAAGATGGCATGGCGATGGCAGTCGAAAGTGGCTGGAACCGTGGCAGCTTCGCTGGTTCGAAACCTATGGGACCATCCAGATAAGCATCCACCTGTAGTGAATGTGGAAATTATCGCTATAAAATGCTATAAAATGCTATAAAATGCTAAAATGTTATAAAATGCTATAAAATGCTATAAAAATGCTATAAAATGCTATAAAATGCTATAAAATGCTACATCAGCTTAGAACTGAAGTGGTTCCTTGGACCTCCGGTCACGGAAAATCAGGAAATCAGAGGCCAGAGGACGAGTCCGCCATCTTTTTCCGATCCGACGCCCTGAGCCCCTCATGGCCCGAGGCACGAGGCACGACCTATGTGAAATCGATCTGGAAATCTGAGCCGTTTGGCCAAAGATCATGAAAACCAACGTGGTTTCCACCTACCTGGCAAGAGAACCACCTACCTGGCAGCTAACCAACATTTTCTGGGGAAACATGGGAAACATCTTGCCAAGACAACTCAAAGGGTGATCTGTCTTCTCTGCAATTGTTTCTAGCTGCTCTTCCTTTAGATAGCGTGGCATAGCAAGCTGCTCTTCAAATCTGTCTTGCTACGTCTGTTCTTCAATCATTGGTGCAAAAGGATCACGGCTGCACACTGCAGCTGGCCTAAGAACTGGAAGCCCAGATTGCCTGATTATGTCCATCATGGGCTTCTTCCATTTCACCAATCCTCTCAGAAGCAGCCGCAGCATTTGGCCCTTAGAAAGCACGTGCTTTGAAGTGAAAGACAGGGAGAAACACCTTGTTAATCTGAAACGTTTTACCCACTTTGAATCCTGAACCGCCCGATGATCACTGTGGGGAACCCGCATCTGCAAGAGGTTGTCCCCATCTTCACGGTAAAGTACTATCATAGTCGTACCCACTTTTTGCTGGCAAAAGACCCTCTGCTCATTGGTAAAAATAATAGATCACTACCAGTAGTACCCGCACGAGGCGGGGCGGAAGTTGCCTTAAAGATATATATAAGACCTTTCTCATCTATAGAACTTGCATGCGCCGTGCGCCAGCCAGGCCCGTGCGTGCGTGCACTCTGCGAAAGTGGTGTCCTGTTTCACATGTCACATTTGAAGCTCCACTTCGCACTTCACGCTTCACACTCCACACTTCACACTCCACACTCCACACACCACACTCCACACTTCACACTGCACGCTTCCCACTGCACACTCCACACTTCACACTTCACACTTCACACTCCACACTTCACACTTCACAGTCCACACTTCACACTTCTCACTTCTCATTGCTTTCTTCACACTCCACACTTCACACTTCACACTGCACTCTTCGCGCCCCACGCTTCACACTCCACACTTCATCTCATCTGAGCTCTTCTCGGCGCTTCTGCACGTCAGCAAGGTTGAGCGTAACTCATGTTGATTCTTCTACATGCCAAAAGGCGTAGACTATAAAATATTTACAATATTGAGGTCATTAATGCCAAGCGTTGATGCATTGCATCAAATCGCAACGGCAAGTGTGAACATGGTGTAGTTGTTACCTGTCAAGGAGATTCACGCAGTCCAAGCTCGACAGCTGCTTTTTTCTCTGCGCTACACTTGGTCGTCTAGGCTTTTGGCAGCTTTTCGGCCCGCACTGGCACGAAAGGCTGGAGAGCTTATCACGTTGGAAGCCTGGTTGGCCGTCATGGCACTTCACGAAGCAAATCAGGCAAGAAGTTCTCACTATCCGCAATGACATTGCGGACCCAAGCTGCATCTGCTTGCGACAAACGACATCCTGCACCTGCTCGGTAAGCACTCAACAACATGGCCGCAGCGTGCACACCATCATCTGTCAGGGCAACGCAGCGCTGTTCTGCCAAGGTATCGTCTTGTTCCGTGCAAACAGTTGTCAAGGCTTCGAAACAACCAGCGCAGAGTCCATATTTGAAGTAACCCAAACCAATATTCCTGCGCTCCTCGGTTGGGATACTTCGTCTGCACGCGAAGCATAGTGAATTTTGCAACGCGTTGTAGACGTGCAATGCAATCTTCAAGCTATGCTTGAGAGCTGCCATTTCTTCGAAGCCAATGTCAATCCTCAAGTTTTGCGACTCCAAATTTCCTTCCTCTTCCACTTTGCGTTGCAGCAAGTTTCTAAGGTTGGCGCTCTGCAGCACACATGCATTCGTAGCTGTCGAAGCAGCGCTCACGTTGCTGAGCGCATGGAGATCCAGCAATTCGAAATCGACTGCCAACCGCCAGAAGTCGCAAGGTCCGATAGCCATGGTGGTTGCCCTCGTGGACCGCACTGTCGCACGAGGATGGTCGCAAAGCGATTCTCTAACAGCAGAGCGTAGCTGCAATATGAGTCTCCTGTCGTGTAATACAGTAAGTAGAGACATGGAGGTATAGCAAGGTTATGTGCGTCACGGCATGAACTAACTGTATTCCGTGCAACTTCTCTTACTGTACTTTATCCTTGGAAGTCATCACTGCAAACAGCTGCAAGCACGTAAAACCAGAGATAGGACATCGATGCTGGCCTTCCGTCTATCATGCATAAACACATCTTGTAATACTTCCAACATTTTCCGGTGCTTAGACAAGCTTTCAACGTCTTACATTCCAGCACCTTCAAAGTCGCCGCTTCCTTCTCGATGTATGACCACAGATCAGCAAAGGTCCCCGATTGCGCCATGGCTCCACCGCGTCTTAGGAAACGGGCCGCACTGCCACGTCTCCTTGCGCACTGCGACGTCCGAAATTATGAGCATGGCTGTCTCATCATGCATGCCTTTCTCATCCACTATTAACCGCTCCAAAACATGAGAAAATCTTCGTGACTAACCATGAGACCTGAAGACATGACACCTCTGACAAATGCACGTTCCCAATTCTTTCTTGCTACACATGTTTGCCTCCTGGAAAATGCAAACGGCTGCGGCCACAACACATCGCCACCGTGGTTTCTAATCAAGAGTTCTATAGCTTGTTCCTGAACATCAATGTCACAACATTTACCTACATCAATATCGCGCACAAAACTCGAAATAGCAACCTACATCCACGAACTAGCTGACAAACTACTTCCCAGTACTACTTCCCAGTACATACTACTTAGCACTACACAGCTTGCACCCACTACTACTTTGCACTACAATTCCCAGTACTACTTTGTACTACAAAACTTGCACAAAGTACTCCCCAGTACTACTTTGTACTACAAAGCTTGCACAAAGTCGTTTCCAGTATGCTACAATTTGCTGCTCCAAAACCGGATCTCGACGCCAAAGCAAGAAAAAGACGATTTTGAAGCATTTTTGAAAAGGAATTTTAAAAGGAAAATTACTAGCGCCAAATTTGCGAAAATCTGACAAATGACTATCGCAGCCTGGATGCAGCCACTCCAATACGATTTACAATCTTCAGCTGCAAAAGACAATAGTATTACGCATGCAGCCGCGGCGGCAAGCAACCTTGAGGCAGCCACTCCAATGCGATCTGCAGAGACTGAGTTGCAAATCACAATAGAACTAAGCGCAACGGCGTCGGAAATTGCAGCTCCAAAACCGGATCTCGACGCCAAAGCAAAAAAAAGACGATTTTGAAGCATTTTTTAAAAGGAATTTTAAAAGGAAAATTATTAGCGCCAAATTTGGGAAAATCTGCTGACAAATGACTATCGCAGCCTGGATGCAGCCACTCCAATACGATTTACAATCTTCAGCTGCAAAAGACAATAGTATTACGCATGCAGCTGCGGCGGCAAGCAACCTTGACGCAGCCACTCCAATGCGATCTGCAAGCACAGATTCCAAAACACCCTATAACTACGCACACACAACCACACCCAAAGCAGCTTGAAGCCACCGTTACACTGCGGCAAAAAAAAAACGATAAACCGACCGCAGCCGCACCCGCCGCACAGACGAGGTACCTTTCATCGTCGCCTGCAGCCACTTTACACGGAAAAACACAAGGTTTCGTGCTCCGGCTTCCTCCCCAAAACAGAGCCCTTGCAACATCATGCAGCCATTCCAATGCGATCTGCAAGCACAGATTCCAAAACACCCTATAACTACGCACACACAAGCACACCCAAAGCAGCTTGAAGCCACCGTTACACTGCGGCAAAAAAAAACGACCAACCGACCGCAGCCGCACCCGCCGCACAGACGAGGTACCTTTCATCGCCGGCTGCAGCCACTTTACACGGAAAAACACAAGGTTTCGTGCTCCGGCTTCCTCCCCAAAACAGCGCCCTTGCAACATCATGCAGCCATTCCAATGCGATCTGCAAGCACAGATTCCAAAACACCCTATAACTACGCACACACAAGCACACCCAAAGCAGCTTGAAGCCACCATTACACTGCGGCAAAAAAAAACGATAAACCGACCGCAGCCGCACCCGCCGCACAGACGAGGTACCTTTCATCGTCGCCTGCAGCCACTTTACACGGAAAAACACAAGGTTTCGTGCTCCAGCTTCCTCCCCACAACAGAGCCCTTGCAACATCATGCAGCCATTCCAATGCGATCTGCAAGCACAGATTCCAAAACACCCTATAACTACGCACACACAAGCACACCCAAAGCAGCTTGAAGCCACCGTTACACTGCGGCAAAAAAAAACGACCAACCGACCGCAGCCGCACCCGCCGCACAGACGAGGTACCTTTCATCGCCGGCTGCAGCGACTTTACACGGAAAAACACAAGGTTTCGTGCTCCGGCTTCCTCCCCAACTCATCACTTCCCTTCCTCACCACTTCCCATCGTCACCACTTCCCATCGTCACCACCTCCCTTCGTCACTGCTTCCCTTCCTCACTACTTCCCTTCCTCACCACTTCCCATCGTCACCACTTCCCTTCGTCACCACTTCCCTTCGTCACCACTTCCCTTCGTCACCACTTCCCATCGTCACCACTTCCCTTCGTCACCACTTCCCTTCGTCACCACTTCCCATCGTCACCACTTCCCTTCGTCACCACTTCCCTTCGTCACCACTTCCCATCGTCACCACTTCTCTTCGTCACCACTTCCCTTCGTCACCACTTCCCATCGTCACCACTTCCCTTCGTCACCACTCCCCTTCATCATCACTTCCCTTCGTCACCACTTCCCTTCGTCACCACTCCCCTTCATCATCACTTCCCTTCTTCACCGCTTCCCTTCGTCACCACTTTCCTTCGTCACCACTTCCCTTCCTCACCACTTCCCTTCGTCACCACTTCCCTTCGTCACCACTTCCCTTTGTCACCACTTCCCTTCGTCACCACCCGTCATTAACTGCTTCTTATTCTTTTGTTATGTATTGTTATGTGATCTACCACCCTGCATCATTTCAAGTCGCTGAATTCTATTTGTCCGTAACACGGAAGTATTGCTTCCCAACTTCCTTTGACTATCGTTAGTCATACACCATATATTGTTGTCTTTCCCATCTTTGTCGAAGGATTGGATGAAGGGTACATTTATGTTTTTTTTCCATATATGTACGGGGAAATACCGTTGTTTCCTGTATTCGTGTATTAGTTTCGTCAACCCAGTGACTTTCCCCTTCTTTTATTACTATGTTCAAACACTTAAAGCCCGGTAACTTTCCCTTGATTTTACACTCAAATAATTTTCCAGGTCCTATTCCCCACGATTTTTGCGATTTTGCTGAGCGGCTTCTTTTTTTTGGATCGTTTGGGCTTCTCCTCCTTGGCTTTGGCTGCTGGCTTGGCAGGGAAGGGAGGATCTGCACCTGGCGATTTGGCGATTGTTGGGTCCAAATGGTGCTTTGAAGATAATGTATTTCAACAATATTAGATACTAGTATATACCGTACATACGTATGTATATATATATAATAGTATATGATGGTGTGCATACATACATATATGTATACCTATATACCATGTGTTTATAGAGAGAGAGAGAAGGAACACATCTGCTCTATGTCTATAGAATCTATTCTTCAGTGTCAACATGACTCAAACAGATTGCCCGGCACGACACAACAACGCAGCTGGAGCCTGCGGGAATGTTTTGGAACGCCTCGCTCGGCACCAAGTCAGTGGGGATTGTCATCCCCAAAATGGCTTTCAATTGACCGAAAATGCCCATGTTCTTCCATTTTGAAACCCTGAGAGAGGATGTGACGACAAGATGCAACCACTTCTTGCCTCATAGCTTTCCTCACATCAATATTGGGAGGAAAATCCAAGCTACCCTCCGGATTCTTTAACATAGCTATGGAAAACCACCCTTTCTAATGGGTAAATCAGCTGTAAATGACCATTTTCAATAGCTATGTGAAATTAACCAAGGCTGCATCTGGCGCTCAGCGCACGAATGGCAGTTTTCGGCGCCCGCACTGGCGGAGATTGCATGGGCACTGCTGCAGTCCCGGGCCTCGTGACCATGATTGACAGCCATTTACCACAATGGTTGCTTACCTTCGTACGTATAGCCCAGTCAGAGACCAGATCACGCTTAACCTTAGATGCCCTGCAAGAAATATAGTTCTTTATCTATCTAATTATATGATATAGTATGATATAGTAGATACATATTGTTTATATATATATATGCACACATATCCACTTACGGAAAAGAAAAGAAACAATGAAACTACCCTTAACCAATGTTCATCTTGTGGAAGATTCATCTGAGGTGCCCAACGCGACAGCCACGGGTGATGCACCACTCATCTGGCGCAGAAAGAGATGGAGGGATTAGACATGTTAATAACAGTTAGTATAGACTAGATAGATAGATAGATAGATAGGTAGATAGGTAGATCCGTAGATCCGTAGATCCGTAGATACTTAGATACGTAAATACGTAGATACGTAGATGCATAGATGCATATAAACATAGATACATAGATACATAGATACATAGATATATAGATATATAGATACATAGGTATGTACAGTATATAGTTTCGGGGTACCCGTGAATAATTCATTTGAATAGGATTTTCGATTATAGACCATCCATTTTGGGGATTCCCCATTTATGGAAACCCTCTTGTACTAGAATCGCTGAAATCCTGTCCTGTTTATGGTAACCGACAGAATTACGGAAAAAAAAAACCGTTCAACTTAGACAGGCGTCCGATTTTTCCATAATTGGATTTTTCCCCATAAGGGTTCAAAATATCCCGGAAGTGATCCGAACCTTTTTTTTTCCATAATTCTTGGAGGTGGCCATTATTTCCATAATTGATTTTTCCTGTGAAATCAGGGGGCTAGGGCAGATTGACCGGTTTTTCCATTTTTTTTCCAGAATTAATGTTTGGGGCTCCACCTATTGGACATGTCATGGATCCACAATTCAAACCCGCTTTTTTTGGGGGGTTATGGAAATATGTATGCAAATGCAAGTATGTAGTATCAACCTGATTTTTCAGCGGCGGCAGTTGATTTTTGGATTTATTGTTGGGAAGCTAATGGTGAAATGGGGTTTACATGTACATACCCGTATACATGATATTATGTATATCAATGGCAGGCTTCAGGGGCATATACCAGATCTTTAGACACATATTTTCTATAATTCAATATTCCCCCTTAAAATGCATTCAAATTGCGAACATCACATGATATTATGTATATCAATGGAAAACTTAGGGGCATATACCAGATCTTTAGACACATATTTTCTATAATTCAATATTCCCCCTTAAAATGCATTCAAATTGCGAATCGATGGACATACAGTCACCGACAGAATTATGGAAAAAAGAAATTATGGAAACAATAATTATGGGAAAAAAAAAGGTTCGTAACTTTTCTATCATAGACAGGCTGCGCCTGTAAATTGAAACGTTTTTCTTTTTCCATAATTCTGTCGGTGACTGTAGGTCTAAACTTCACAGCACCATGGAAAATGGAAGGTTTACTCCGAGGGTTACCCATGTTCTGTCCTAGAATTATCGTTGTTCGAAGTGCCCCTGCTTGATCAGCCGGGTGCCATTGGCAGCTTCCTTGGCTCCTCACACTAGTCACCACGAAGCTCGCATTGCCAGATGGAGATGGCACAAACTCGGGCGCAGGTCGAAGGGCTGTGTCCGATTTTTTTCGGGGAATACACCCAGTTTCTGGCAAATTCAAATTAATCTTGTTGAAAACATCATTCAAATCATGATCAAGCTTTTTATGTGGGGGTTACATTTTTTGGGGACAATCCGATGACAATCCTGTATTGTGTTATTTTTTGTGGCGGGATAGTCAAGCCAAGTCCACAAAGGAATCTCCCAGTAACCTTCTGTTGAATACCAAGAGTACCCGCGCCGTCAAAACAAGGTGTCCCAAAAGACGGGATACCTCGGATACCTCCAGTGTATTGCTATCAAATCAGAACATGTTCACAACCATTGGATTTGGAGTTATTATAGATTTATAAATGTGGGAAATCCACCATTTGTAGGTTTTCGAAACCCCATAGATTTCAATACCTGGGTCTCCCCTGCCCCAGAGCCGGGCTGAACGGAGGTGATGACAGGCGAACCAGCTCCAGGAACAGGAGAAGGCACAAACTGAGATCGGCGGTAGCTGTGGAAGGACAGAAATAGAGATGATTTGAGTGAATCCAAGTTTTGTTGCGTCTGGAATGTGTATATAATATTATATAAATATTATATATATAACATATGAATCATATGAATATTTATATAATGAATATATATATATACCTTTTGATACTCAGGAACGGCAACTGAACATCCTGAATACATGTTATGAATGGAAAAAAAACGAAAAATCATCTAGAAATGTCGATTTTCTGTTGAGGTGTTTGGGTGATGGACTTGCACCAATGGTCCAATTTTTCCGGACACACAGCCTCCTGCGATGACCCACATGAGGTGAAACTGTCTCCATACTAACTTGGGGAGATTTTACACGAAAGCTAAGAATGAAACTGTGTTATGCAAACAATCCCGAAATCTGATATGCTTGTCTTTCTATATCTTTCTGATTCTTCATGATCTGAAAATACTATTAGTCCGACTGAATCTGAATTTGGTTTTTAACCCAATTTCTTGTCGGCTGCTTGGTCTCCTCGCAACTCCCGAGGATGATGTCACAGCTGGAGCAGCAGGCATTGGCTGTGCTTGTGGCAGTGTCATAATTGGCTGTGCCTGTCTGGGCTGATCATCTAAAATCCAGCTTTGCAAAGGACCCTTGAAACAAATCACTTGGTATCTCCTTTTCCCAAGTTTCTTTTGAGTTCATGGCTTTAGTGTACTGAGTCAAAGGAATAAAGTGCGGCATCGCAGCTTGCAAACCATCAAAAGGACTCCTAAGGTGGGAAAATGGATTTCACGGGTTTCATTATCTGAGATACTGCAGCTGAAACTGAAGCGCGAACTACTACTACACCACCAGAAAGTTTCAGTGCAACAACCCCTGACACAACCAAAGTCGCGCCCCTGCGCTGCGTTTTCAGGCCTGACTTCCAATACTCTGCATGAAGGGAGGGGCTTGCAGCGACGTGGAAACAGGTCCTGTGCCAAGTTCTGGTGCTATTTGGCACAACATAGACCGACCACAGACCCATGGTGATTCATTTCCTAGGGCCACGATCGCCGTACACGTCGTACGTTGGGTATATGATTATGGTAGAGCCGGCAGGGCGAACGGTAGAGCGAAAGCTGCTCACAGGCAGCAATTACAATCAAACCACAATCATCAATGTTTCTTTCTTTGATCGATTGGAAAAAAACGGTTCTCCTTAGAACACAGAACCTTCCAGCCCAATCCTTGCACATCACAGCCCTAGCTGCCAGTTTCATGGCTGAATGCAAAGAAATCATCTCCCCCTGTCGAATTCTGCAGCCTCAAAACAAACTTGGTACCTATCCCGGGTCGTGGCCAAGCCTCAAGCGCCCACTTTTGGAAACGGTCATTGTGGAAGCCATCAAGACGACGACAAAATGTTGAATGGTGGACATGGCATTCCAGGTTGTTTCCCCAAAAATGTTAAAACATGTTCGCCCCAGCCCGGACGTTGCTCCACACTTACAATCGTCATGATCATCATCGTCATCATCATCATCATCATCATCATCATCATCATCACCATCATCATTGTCATCATCTTTATCTTCATGAGGGGTCAAAATTCGCCACCCCCTCTGAAAAATATGTTGATTGGGGTAATAACACCAACTATATCTCCATGAGGGATCAAAATTCGCCACCCCCTATAGCCTCTGAAAATATGTTGATTGGGGTAATAACACAAACTATATCTCCATGAGGGATCAAAATTTGCCACCCCCCATGAGCAATATTTTGATTGGGGTGATAGCATCAAATATATCTTCATGAGGGATCAAAATTTGCCACCCCCTATGAGCAATATGTTGATTGGGGTAATAGCATCAACTTTATCTTCATGAGGGATCAAAATTTGCCACCCCCTATGAACAATATGTTGACTGGGGTAATAACATGTAATAACATCAATTTTATCTTCATATGGGATCAAAATTCGCCACCCCCTATGAACAATTTGTTGATTGGAGTAATAACATCAACTTTATCTTCATAGCCACCTGAAGTCAGACGCGGAGCAACGTCAGGGTTGCAGCGAACATGTTGAAACCTTCCCTTTTGCTAAGGATTGTTTCCTCAAATGCTCCTCCACTGACGAAGGCAGCTGTGGGCGATGTGGACACAATCGTCGGAGTGGCAACATTCGCAGGTGACCTGGGACTCTTGCAGCCATTGGCCATGCCAAGCAGGAAACGAAACATCTCAGGATTGCACCAAAACTCAGTTGTTGTTTCCCTGAAATAACCGCGATCTCTACAGTTTTCAATGAAATTAAAGAACTGTCGCGGTACTGGTTAAGTTCGCACCTTCATCTTAAAACTTCCAAACGATCCAAGAAGGAGAACTGATCGCAGGAACCCTCCACCAGCCTAACATAGGCTCGGTTGGGCCCGCACCTCAACTCATGCAGTCGCGATTCAAGTTGCACGGCGGGCAGATGTTGTTTCTGCAACTAAATCCGCTGAGTTTCTGTAGTTGCAGTAATGGAGATATAGTGGCTAACAATGGCAGAACGATCTCAATTTCAAGTCCTCAGCTTCAAATTTTGACCGTCTCTGAGTGGTCCCAGCAATCGGTCGGCATCGCACAGGACTGCTCCTGTTTCAGAATTCATGTGGCTCGCCGAGGAATGAAAGCCACCAAGCTGTCCGCATGGATTAGCCCAAAAATGGTACCGATATACCCTAACTTACCATTCTGATTCTGATATGAGAAGCCATTGGATCTTTGGGGCCCTCTTTTGGATCTTTTGGGACAAAGCCACATCATCCTTCGACCCAGATCCAACTTCTCTCAGCCTTGCAGTCCCTGCCAAACCTGCGCAATCCCACCATCCACCAGAGGATTGGCGATTCGGCATCGTTCAGATTGTTAATGTTTGGGTCCGGAATTGTTTTAGGATGTTGTTTTTCTGTTTTGTTTTTTTTTCCGGATTTACAAAGTCGTCCATGTTCCTTGCTATTTGCAGCATTTTGGAGCTGGAAGCTGCCATTTCAACGGTATTTGAAACATTTTGGAGTTCCAACCTCTCATGTTCGATGGTATTTGCAAGATTTTCGTGCTTGAGCTGTTGTTTTGGTTTAGTATGTTTTAAAGTTTGGTTGAAAATTTATTTAGGTTTTGTTTAGGACTTTTTCGGGTTGGTCTGGGTTTATTTAGGTTTGGTCTAAGATCCATTTAGGGTTGGTTTAGGATCTATTTGGGGTTGATCTAAGGTTTGTTTGGAGGTGGTTTAGGATTTATTTTGGTTTAGTTTAAGATCTACTTAGGGTGGTTTAGGGTTACTTGGGGTTACTTGGGGTTCATTTCAGATTGAATTTGGGTTTTACTTCGGGTTGTTTGCCGTTTTTTGATGGTTGTTTCGGGTTTATCTAGGGTTGGTTTTGGATTATTTATTGATATGATGTTTCTTAGGGTTTA